AACAGCATTTGCAGTGCCCTGTAAGCCACGGCAATGCCATCTTCAACCCCGTACATTTCACATCCACCTTTCTGGCTTTACATTCACGAGAGCATAGCCGTGGGATTTGCGAATTGGTTCATTAGCAGGCAGCATCAGGCGCCAAAGGCTTTGAGGAAGAAAACAAATATAAACCGTGGATCTTCCGGTGGTTATTGCTCGTATGAAACCAGGCCGTTCACGATCGTATCTCCTTGATGCTGATGAAGATGAACCAATTTACTATTGGTCTTTCGCTGTTTGTGATACTTTCTATCTCTTGGGCGCAATTCCCTCCAATCCCCAGTGGACTTAATGTTGTTACTTCAAAGGTCAACTCGCAAGTGAAGATCTCTTATAAAGAGGTGAGCATCATGCGTACAATCGAATAATACCACCCCTCACGAAACGACAGACCGACGTCTGCGAGACCACAAACGGAGTCAGATCCTACAGTGGTTACGTCCATCTTCCTGGTTCTCTCCTGCCAGATGTTGGCGGTTTCGATATAAACACCTATTTCATCTATTTCGAAGCACGACACAATGCCTCCACCGCTCCGCTTGGTGTCTATCTTGCTGGAGGTCCTGGTGAAAGCTCAATATATACGGCTCTGGCAAGCGAAAGTGGACCGTGCTATGTCAATGTCGCTGGCAACGATACAACGATCAACCCTTGGTCATTGAACAACTACGTCAACGTGCTTTACTTGGATCAACCTGTTCAGACCGGTTTCTCATACGACGAGCTTGTCAATGGGACTTTCAACATTGAGACGCAGATGATTACTCCCGAGAATTTCAATACCTCAGCTTTGCCAGAGACAAATGCAACCTTCCAAGTCGGCACGTTTTCCAGTCAAGATCCCTTGCATAGCACAAATACAACCGTGTCGAGCGCGAGAGCTCTGTGGCATGCCGCCGAGCACTGGCTCTCCTCCTTTCCAGAGTATTCGACCTCGTCCAACAAGCTCAGCATCTGGGCCAACTCATACGGAGGATTTTGGGGGCCGGAGACGGCAGCCGTCTTCAGCAAAAGTCTCAAGGATCTTCCAGCCAAACATCCTTTGCAGCCAAAGAAGTTGACACTCGACGCTCTGGGACTGACCAATGCTTGCATAGATTTCGAATATTCCATAGAAGGCTATCCTCAATTTGCCTACAACAATACCTACGACATCCATTTCATTCCCCAAGCGGTCTACAAGGAGGCAATGGATAACATAACAAAACCCGAGGGCTGCATGGAGCTCATCAAGACCTGTCGATCGCTCGGCAAGATTGGCGACCCAGGATTCAACGGAAACAACCAAACCGTCAACGAAGCCTGCATGGAGGCTTCGGAAGTCTGCTTCGGTATCATGAGCGTATTTGACGCACTGAACAATGTAAGCTATATAAGATTCCCCATCGATTAGAGAGGAAGGCAGGAGATACTAACAAAGAAATCTAGCGAAGCGACTTCGACGTGGCAATTCTGAACCCGGATCCATGTCCCTACGACGTCGCCGTGACGAACTACTTGAACCTGCCGGAAGTGCAGTCTTCCCTCGGCGTGCCGTTGAACTTCACGTACGACTCAGAGCTGATCACGGGCCTCTACGGACTGCCCACGCCATACCAGTTCCTCGGCACAGGCGACTCGTTCCGACAGGCTGGGATGCCGAACATCGAATACCTACTGGGCACCGGCGTCAAGCTCGCCTTCGTTTTTGGCGACAGGGACTACCGCTGCCCTTGGACGGGTGGCGAAGCCACAGCAAAAGCGGCCAAGTGGGCGAACCAGAAGGGCTTCGCGGCCGCGGGCTACGAGCCGATTCAGGGCATCTCGCCCGGCGCCAAACAGGGCCTCGTCAAACAGTATGGTCCGCTCTCGTTTTCGCGCATCCTGGACGCTGGCCACTCGGTCAGCGCGTACGCACCCGAGGCCGTCTACCGCGTGTTCGAGCGCGTCATGTTCGGCAAGGACGTCGTGACCGGATCACACTCTGTCGGTCCTGCATACCACACCACGGGGCCCCCGGAGAGCTGGACCTGGCGGAATAAGATGCCCGCGAACGTGCCGCGCACTTGCATGGTCGAGGGGAAATTTACGCCCACCAATCCGTGGGAAGCCATAACGCTGTCGTGATTATATTGTAACAGAGCATTTCAGGGTTTAGCGTGCACGTGCAACAACGCACAGAGGCCTGTCCAGCAGCTTGGGAATCGAGAACGCGTTTCTGGCTGCTACTGACAGATCAACACCACCCCCAGAGCGGGAGCGGCTAGGGCAGCGAGCGGATAGCACGGCGCCGGCACTGAGAAGTAGGAACGGGCCAATTAAACACTCAGGGACAGGTAGACAGCATCAAAAACATGGAATACTCTGTTAAATCTTGTAAGGAATGGCACTTTGCCAACACTGTGAACTGTCCCGCACTCCCCCTACCAGCCCATTTTGGTTTGACATGTGACTAGACAACTCTCCTTCCTGCTCCCACCCCTCCCCCCAATACCATCCCAGCATAGCCACTTTGCCTGGTTACAATACTTGCATTAAAAGTAGATCCGACTTCTCCTGAGCCACGGCTGACACATGTGAAGGAAATGCCGAAGGCAAACCTGACTCCCGCCCAGGCACAGGCTGCTCGAAGGTGGTCCCACTCAGGCCCTTCCAAGTTGCTTTAAGCTGCTCGCGCCCAGACTGCTCAAACTGAGTATACCGCTACTATGGAAGGGATGATGTCTGCTCTAGAGCCTGCTATGGTCCAAGACATCTCTACCGTGGCTTGGCAAACCGCCCAAGGGCCAACTCTTACTGCGTCCACCCAGACTGTCTAGCCCCCCCAAGCTGCCCGCTCCCGGCAATTTGCCGACCCAAAAAGTAGGAAGAGAGGCGTGCGAGGCCGCAGAAGAGTATGTTGTACAATATCTTTTTACTTTTCAAGATTGACGTGACTAGATCGACAAAGGGCAGTCGGGAGCCTTTCAGAATGCACCAGCACGGCAAAACCCTAACTTCGAAGACTTGATAGGTGCACTAGTCACTGCCATCTCTCAAGCTATTGCTGCTGGGGCTCATCAAACCGTACCCCAGTTACCCCAGGAGGCCACCCAGCAGCCTGTCTAACAAACCGCCCAGCCGTCGTGCCGCAAGGGCAGAAGAAGAGGCGGTCGAGGGCGTGGAAGAGTACGTATAAAGCTCTTAATTGTGATTCAGATACTAATAAGCCATATAGAAGCAAAAAGCAGCAGGACTCCCCCCAGACGTAGTCCGATTTCCAATACCCCTGGCGTGGGATCCTGTTGGCTGTTGTAGGTGCTGTGGTCGGTTGGTATTTTTTCGGTGCTGGAGTGTGGTCTTTCAAGCACGGATGAAAGGTCTCGATCAATGACATATACCGCTTAACTCTTGGATGAGAGACCATGGCCGATCTTGAGACATGTTGGCGATAAAGGGTGTGCGTAAAAGAGCCAGGAGACTCCTTTAACTGAACGCATGCCACCTTCCCCCCCTGGTTATCCCGACCCTCCGGAATCAAAACCACCTTTGGCCGCCCTGCAAGAGGCCGCCGGAACCAAATGCGTTCCTTCCTCTTCATCTATTAAGAACTCTGCGGCATCTCACCCTTCATCGGAGTTTCCCTACTTACGTTTATGCTAGTCTGGTGCCGCGATTCCGACCAGATACCGGCAAGAGGCTCTCATCGCAACATCACTCCCGAGTTAGCCGCGATATCCCCAGAAAGTACGCTAAATGCTTTGGCCCAGACGGTCTAGACAACGAAATTCTTGCAGGCATGGAATCATATTCTATGCCGATCCAGTGATTGCAAAGCAGAACAACTAGAGCGATATAGACCGCCAGTGGCGCTGAGGAGGAGCTCTAGTTCGCACGCCCTGGTGCAGGGGAGCCCGGGAAGTAGAACACAAACTTACACCCACCAGTGTGCAGATGCCAATAGTGGCATAAGTCCGGAGCGGGGATTGTGGAGTAGACTTATAGACTTATGTCTCTGCTGCTGTTGACCCATGGATGTGCTAATGAAAAGCCATGCACATTTTAGCGGTGGACAAGGTTTCGAAGGCGATGCGCCACGATAGATTTGGCGTCTACGCAAACGCTAGGGATGGGCTGTAGTCTTCGGGCCAGCACCTGCTAATACTAGATCGAACTCAATACCAGCGTCGTGGTGAATTTCAACCAGAAGGTATTTCCATGCCACCTTGAAAAATCCACAGACAAGCAGATTTTCGAAATGCCTCGAATTCAATCAACTGGCAGTGGGTCAAACCCCTGGCTCCAACCAATCAGCATTCAGAGCCCCTGAGCTCCCTGAGCCTTGTCGCATTCTGGGCCGCACATTCACGCTCAGTTAACCTTCATTTGCATGTTTGATAAGCTGTGATCCTAGCTCGCTCAATAACTTGAGTTCTGAGAAGCTATTCCGACTTTCCCGGGGCCTACGTTTAATGCTAATACTCCGGAATTACCGACTAACAGCGCCTTCATATAATATATGGCATTGAGTTGCTGGTATTGACTGGCTAGTCGGTCTTTCTCAAAGGCTTAGGCTCTCGTATTCGAACTATCCAAGACTTGGCACTGAATCGAGAGAGATGCAATCCCTCGAAAGGAGGGGAAACTGGAGAACCGTGCCTGCATCGTCGTTTCCAGATCCCGTGATCGCCTTTCCCGCGTTTGTGGACTTCCCACCCCACGGGGCTTACCTGAACCAATCAAGGTGGGCTTTGTCTCATTTGAGATATTAGTTTACGGCGCTTTCAACGTTATCGTCAAACACGGCCATCGGACACGAGTTCTGCGGACGCTTTGTGTTCCACGTTTCTCGACCTATGCGAGGCGAAGTGGCCCGCGGCAGTTGATCCGATTTTGCCCCTTTTCGAAACACAACATAAAACGAAAGCGTATCTGTTACTCGGCCTTTATGCACATCTTTCACCGCATTCTCTGTAAGCATTGCATGCGTTTCCATCACAATGACATCCAACAAGGTGCCCGAGAAACAAGTCGATGCGGAGACTGAAAACGCAAAACCAAAGCATGTGGAACAGGTGGATGATAAGAGCCACGGTACGACTGAAGATGTTGTTCGACTCGAGAGGCAAGACTCAAACACAACGGAGAATCTCGACAATCTCGTCTACGACAATGAAGAAGAGGAACCTGAACTTCACATGCGGACATACCTTGCGCTTGCTTCCATCTACCTACTTCTCGTTGGCCAAGGTCTTGCTTTTCAAGGACCGCCATCCGTGGTGAGTGAACCTCTTCTTGCTTTGTCACTTGCTGTGACAGCTGCTAATTCAAGCTTCCCTATTCAGCTGCCCTATATCGGTGCGGATCTTGGAGACAACGTCCAGCAAGCTTGGATTCCCAATGCGCTCATCCTGGTTCAGGCAGTGCTTGGGCCAGTCATCTGTTCCGCGTCGGATGTCTTTCAAGCTCGAAAACCCATTCTAGTGGGCTCTTGTCTCTTGTCATTGGTAGGATCAGCCATCGCGCCCGGAGCCACCAATAGTAAGTTGAACCCGACTGGCCGCTCTCTTGGAGCGCTCTGCAGATTCCAAGTCAAATCAATATAGGTTCTAATGGTGCCGCAGTAAACAGAGTCATTGGGGCACAGTGTCTGCTTGGCGTCGGACTAGCAGCTGTACCACTCAGCTATGTGGTTCCTAGCGAGATATTGCCTCGAAAGTGGAGACCCAGTATGGACATTCCTCCCCGCTTTTTATGCCGACCAGCCGCTTACATTGGTATAGTGGCTCAAGCCTCCACAGGGATCGTCGCAGCTCTTATGGCCGTGGTAGGACCCCTGTCCATCGGCGCATTGATCAAGAGAGACAGCCATAATGGCTGGCGACAGTACTACGTACAGGTACACCGTCTCCTTGATATGAATATTGTTGACGCTCTTATTAGTGGATCGAGTTTGCCTTTTGGGCGGCAGCTGCAATCGGCATACTTTTGGGCTACCGCCCTCCAAAGAGACATACCCGCCTGGACCATCTATCACTCTGGCAGAAACTAGGTCACCTCGACATCCCCGGGTGTTTCTTGCTCACTATTGGCTTGACACTATTCACCTTCGGTCTCAGTGTCGGTGGTGGTGTCTATCCGTGGGCTAGTGCGCGCACATTAGCAACCCTCGTTGTTGGGTTTGTTTTCCTTGTATTTTTTGGAGTCTACGAATGGAAATGGACTACAACTGGAGTGCTCGACCATGAATTGTTCCGAGGAGGAAAGGACCGAGGCAGGACCTTCGCCATATGCAACGCACTGATATTCATCGAAGGTGTTCTTGGCATGGGATTCATTGTCTTCTACGGGGTTGTGTACGTGTTTCGCTGACTACTCCTTCCCATCTTTCTGATTGATCAATGACAGGTCGAACTTTCTGTTTACCCAAGACCCTTTCATGACAGCTGTTCGTGTACTGGCATTTAACGGCTTCTTTCTTTTGAGCTGCCCGTTCTGGGGTCTTGTCAGCACCAAACTCCGCATAGTCCGAGAACCTCTGCTTGCGGGATTCGTCTTCCTTACCGCCGGCACTCTCGGCATGGCGACTTTACAACCGGGACAAAATGCGAACCAACTTATCTTCGGAGCGATTGGAGGCTTCGGGTTTGGTTCTCTACTGATTTTGATAGTGACTGCTGTCCAATTGTCAACGCCGCACAGTCACATCGCAACGGCGACTGCATTGACGAATTCCAGTCGATCAGTAGGAGGCCTTATTCTCACTGCGGGTATGAGCACGGCCTTGTCTAATGGTCTCATTTCGAAGGTCCCGAGTTATGTCGCCAAGGCTGCAGTGACTGCTGGGCTTGCAAGCAGCTCAATCGAAGCGTTTGTTGGGGCTCTTACCGGCAACGATCCGAGCGCATTAGCCAGAATTCCTGGTATAACTCCAGAGATTACTGCCAAAGGTCTTGCGGCACTACAACATGCCTATGCAGACTCACTTCGTGTGATCTACATAATGGCTGCTCCCTTTGGTGTGGTCGCCATCATAGCCTGTCTCTTCCTGGGCGATATGAAGAAGACAATGACTTATCGCGTGGATGCCCCCATGGAGGACCTGCATGCTAGGCACCATCATGATTAGATGGTGCATATGCAGTAATGTTCACTAGTCGCCGCAAATTTCAGCGGACTGGGTTCGCAAACCACCAGGACATCCAGCTGGTCACCTTGATCAGATGTTAGCACTCAGTGATCAGAGCACTCAGCATCAGATGTTGCTTAATATTACAGTCAAAGCACTCAGCGGTCTTTCGTAATGGGCTCAAGTGTCAGAGGAAGCCTCTCAAAGCTTCTCTCACATATATGTTTGTTAGACATTGTAGGCTCCAGATCAGACTGCTAAGTGCGAGTCATAGTCCTCCTCCCACACAACGGTACATGAGCGTTGCCCCCAATAATATTCCCTACGCGTTCCCTGAGGCAGCATTCGGTACAATTGGAGAATTTTGTTACTGCAGAGTCGAGACAATCTCGGGCAAGATAGGGCTTTCGACTTCTTTGAGTACTAATAAATGCCAGAGCTGCTCGAAGGTTCTTGAACGCCTGAGGGATACTACAGTCTACGGTCCACTGTCTGCTACCCGTGTTGTGTGTTCATCACTCTCAAGAACTTCCTTCCGGTTTCTTCTAAGACTCCAGTGTGAACAGTATCATCGTGTTGGTGTTGAAAGTTTCCTCACTCATGGAATACAACCTATACATGCTTCGATCAGCGTGGCATTCATATTTCACATTGCAGGATCAGAAATCCGGAGATCACAAACGGTTTGTGAGCCGGATGCTCAAGGTACGGAGGCATGACATCCGGACTCTCGAACGTCAGGATGAGTCCCCATTCATATCCCTGATTAAATGACCTGGTAATCTCCATTGCCTTGCCCGCGTCAACAGACAATAAGCCCGGAATCTGTCCAACCATGGCCTTCGCTGTGGCCATGAAGTTGTCGACTTGAGCCTTCGTCGTCCCTTCTTTGGCTTGGAATAGTGCTTGGAGAGATCGTTGGTTAGTAGATTGATCGTGAAGACTTCAACTGCAAGTCACGCCTGAAGACGACGCCGTTGCGGCGTTTTAGATCACTCACATATATGACGAACAGTCATTTTCTTGTAAATTGACTTAAAAGCAATAATTCTAAACTCGGAACATTTACACACAGGCAGTGAGAGTAGTAATGGGTTCTAGAGCTGTCTCGCCCCGAGACGATGCTCAACAAACTTCAACAAATATGAGGTCTGTTCGCCGATGAGCTCGTTATCCCCAATCCCCTTTGACCAAGCATGCGCGAATATCGATTCATAAAGTTCCGCCGGTTTTAAGCGTGGTAGATATTGGGAAGCACTCGGGATACAACTCTAGAACCCGATCACGCGACTGGGTTGTTTCTCAGTGGAGACATGGTAGAACGCAAATTCATCGCAGAATTTAATTTTCCATTGAAGCCATGGTCTTTACTAGAGCTTATCTCCGGACAAACATCAATATCTTCCCAGACAAACTGATGGTGAACAGTGAGTGTCGGACTTTATTGACGGCATCTTCAGTACAAGACAAATTACCACTGCCGGGAAGTTCTATATGATGGTTGTGTGTATCTCTGTGAATCCCCCAAACACTCTGATTTGCAAGTCTATCTGGAAGCAATACTCCAAGCAGCCATGATGTACCCGCAAACACCAAAATGGTTTGATCCCGACGCCATTGGCCTCATTCGAAAGGAAGCAGTGAATCCCAAGGAGGGCAAATATCCTGGACTACGGCCAAACTTAGTCGAGCATATCGACGGAATGGAAATTATCAGAGATGTGGCGGTGCCCATGCGAGACGGTATCAAGATTTACGCCGATATCTTTCGCGCGAAAACGTTAACTGGCAGCAAGCTTCCTACGCTGATGACCTGGTCTCCATACGGCAAGCATGGACCTAAAACATTTGATCTCTTTCCTGGGTCAGGCGTTCCTGAAGGGACTGTGTCGCGTCATGCCGTTTGGGAAGGCTGTGACCCCCTCTACTGGACCAAGCGAGGGTATGCGGTTCTCAACGGCGACAGTCGCGGATCTTGGGGCTCGGAAGGCACACTCGAGATCTTGAGCCCTCAAATCGCCTATGATGGCTACGACGTAATCGAGTGGATTGCGAGCCAACCATGGTCGAACGGACGTGTTGGCCTTTGTGGCGTGTCCTATCTTGCCATTGTTCAATGGCGAATCGCCCAGCTGAATCCACCGCATCTTTCTTGTATCAACCCCTGGGAAGGATACACAGACGCCTACAGAGACCACACCCATCCTGGCGGCATCCCAGAGACCAAGTTCCTGCATTTCTCGGATTGGTCGTGCCAATTCTCTGCTGAAAAGACTGAAAATTGGTATCTGTCCAACCAGACGCATGAACTGATGGACGACTACAACCAATCCAAGCGAGCCACAGATTTACCGGCAATTAAAGTACCAGCATATATCGTCATCGACTGGGGCGACCATGGACTCCATACGAGGGGAGCATTGAACGGGTTCACATACATCAGTTCGAAGCAAAAGTGGTTAGAGGTCCATGGTCGAAAGAAATGGCAGTATTTCTATCAAGAATCCAGTCTGGCCCGGCAAGAGGCTTTCTATCGTAAATTTCTCAAAGACGAACCCAGCGAGGTGGACGAATGGCCACCTGTGCGCATAGAAATACGGGATCAATTCTATCAGGGACATTGGCGCGATGAACAGGAGTGGCCACTGAATCGCACGCGATTTGCGATGAAATACCTGGACAGCCCTTCAAACGAGTTGAAAGATGAACTCCCGGTTGATCTCTCCAGCGTTTCCTACGACTCAACCACACAAGAAAATGCTCAATTCACCTATACCTTCAAGCAGGAGACCGAGCTTACAGGGAGTATGAGACTGAGATTATGGGTCTCTACCACTGAAAGCGACGACCTAGATCTGTTTGTACGACTTGACAAATTGAACGAAAAGGGTGAAACACTTCCCTTCGTGGCCTTTTCCATGTTCGACGACGGACCACTGGCACTAGGCTGGCTGCGGGCCAGCCATCGAGAATTGGACCCGTCCTTTACCCACCATAATCGACCATGGATGAAACATCAGCGGAAATTACTCCTCAGACCGGGCGAGATCGTCCCAGTTGACGTGGAGATAGTTGCCAGTAGCACTCGCTTTCTGAAGGGGGAGTCATTGAAGGTCACGATTCAAGGCACCGACGCCTTTAGCAACGATGGCGTCGGCCCGTCCATGAAACATGAGAATTCGGTCAACAAGGGCAGGCATGTCATTCATACTGGCGGAGTATTTGACTCCTATCTAGTTATGCCAATTATTGACCCTTAAGGATGGAGTGGGACGAGAGTGCTAGCTTCATAGACAAATAAACCTGTTGATTTGTGTTCTAATGATTCAATACGGGGCGTATTGTGCATGACGCGCTTTCCGACATCCTTCTTCCGTGTAACTATGGAGGGAACGGGAAAGATTTTGCGACAAGCAAGTACAGGTGATCACCATGACAATTTGCAAGCTGTTCTAAAGAAGCAATGACGGAGCCTATCTCACTCAACACTCTCACAACCGGCTTCCAAAAGTCTCCCAGTTTTGTGCACCTCCCGCCCCTCGGACCCAGCGAGTCGGTACGGTGGGAGCTTTTGTCGTATCAATTGCCATATTCGCAATTTGTAACCAACCAGAGGCCTTGAGTGGGAATCTTGCGGACAATTCCTGCCTCTCCTCGTACGGGCCACATACTTTCGAGCCGTGAGCCAAAGCGCGAACCAACTTGGAAATATGCCCGTCGTCATAGGTGATTTTGTTGGTAGTCTCGATGATTGAGGCCCAGGACCTGCCACTTTCGCGTGGCTTGTAATTGACGACTTCGTCGTTGTAAAGCTCAGGAGCCAGTCGTGAAGCATACTGGAGGATGTCCATCCTCACCTTCCATTCGAGCAATCGAGCTTTATTTTCATCGCTGAGCCATGACTGTGCATTGATTGCCGAAAAGAATATTGAACAGTTGACCGAGTGGATGAAGAAGAAGTCAAGCTTGACCTCCTTGTCGCGCCTCTGCGCGGCGCCCGCCATCCATGCATTGACATTCATCATCTCCGCCGTTCTCAACTCGAGATCTTGCACGTCGACTCGCCATTTGGATGCAATCTCTATGACTCTCTGGGGAGCATCTGCAAGAATTTTGTCAAGCAAGGTGTTGCCGCCATCCCAATAGTTCTTATCGTAGAGAGATGGGTCTTGCCTAATTTCTTTCATAAGATCCAGCAATGGTGGACACTCCTCATTAGTTCGGCTTTTTGCCAGCTGCTCCGCTTCAAAAAGAAACGGTCCAAAGAAGTTATTGTGGCAAACCGCTTGAGCCAACGCTTCTGCAATGATGGGAGGTTGCTGGAATTCGATTCCGAATCCAAAATGGATGAGAGGATGAATAATGCCGGCATGAAGTCGTACCAATAAGTCGTCTGCAAGCTCCGTTCGAGAGAAGAGATAATCGTTGACGACCTTCTGCCAGCCTTGTGCTTCAAATTTGCGTTGGAAGAAGGCGGTATAGTCGTTGAAATAGGTGTCATTTCCAATCAAGGACTTGAAGAATCTCTCATTGGAGAGTTTTCTCACTATCGCTTCATCAACAGGGATTCGTGGCCGTTGATAGCTGATATTAGTGTCGAATGCACTTTGCAATTGAGCGGGGTTTGCTCCCAGCGCGTACGCTGTCAGGAGATAGTGGACTTGGTGATTGTGGTAGCCCTTGAAATTGAAGAACACGTGGAATGCATCATGATTTGCTCGAAGCAGAGAAACAGTTCGCTCTGCTGAGTCCTTTGATATCTCCGGGACGTGGTAGACTCCGGTCGTTGAACACGTCAGAGGAAAGTCGGTCATCTTGTCGTTGGGCATCAGGTAGTACATGGGTGAAGGCAATAACAACGATTGTCAATCCTCATTATATTCCGTACATCATATTCGTAGCCAGGCACAGAATTGACGAGCCCTCAGTGGAATGACACGTCGGTGGTGCGACTGAAAATTGCAAGACTGCAGTCTACCTCTGCCATTCTCCGTAACTGCTTTCCGGATCGGGTGGGGACTGGGTCCAGAAGGTCAGGACAAATAAAGCCCCTAGCCGCAGACAGTCAAGGCCGAGAGAAAGCGATCACCTGATCTCGATTCGCGATTTCAAGCAGATTGGGCATAAAGACGTCCATTAGCTTCATATTAGCTTGAAGTCTGGGGAACTCAAGCTGCCCGGGAAAATGTCAAGATTCTCAAATTGCTTCCGACGAGGGCTAGGACGCCATTTCACAAAAGCGGGGTGGGATATGTTGACAACACAACTCGACACCAAGCATCGGTGAGACAGTAGCAGCAAAAAGCCACGTGCATTCGTCTCGAGAACAAGTCCTGTCTTATTACAGGCACTGGAGGAAGTATAGGGCGAGCGGCAGTACTCTGTTTTGCCAGTGAAGGCGCAAAGGTAGTTGGCCGTGATGTCAACGAGAGGGCAGATTTTGAGACCACGGACCTGGTGCGCGGTGCTGGTGGCAAGATGGAATTTCTGTCTCCTTGTGACATTACCAAGGCTGGTAATTGTCAACGACCTGTGAATTTTACTACCAAAAAGTAAGGTCGGCTGGATGTCCTTTTCCACAACGGTGCCACCGCATATTTTGCTTGGATAGATGATCTTCCCAACGACGTTTGGTACCAGACAATCGACCAGGAGTTTAATTTCGTGATGCTGTTGACCCAGGTGGCGTGGCCATACCTCAAAATGTCCGGTAATGTTTTCATCATGCCGAATGGATCTGTCAGCGGCATGATCCCAGGTCTAGACCTTCCCGGCGCTGCACACGGAGCACCAAAGGCGGCTGTGATAGTGCCAGGACGGCAATCTGGGATGGAGGGGGACAGAGATGGTATTGGAGCAAATACTGTCTCTCCTGGCCTCATCCAGACTAATGCGACCAGAGCCCTGATAGAAGACCCCAAATAGCTAGAAACCATAACTACGACGATTATGCTTAAACACCGTGGCAAGGCTGAGGAAGTCGCGACAACAGCACTCTTCTTGGCATCTGATGAGAGTTCCTACATCACCGGAGCGAATATTCCCATCGATAGTGGCAACTCAGCGTGGTAGAGAGCACATAGATCAGTGGAAGAATCCAACCATCATCTCGTCTTTCATAATGCTGCAACAAGGCAAAGTGGCTGTGCTGGGCTGACAGAGGGGTAGCAAGGGAGAGAGTTGTCTAGTCACATGTCAAACCAAAATGGGCTGGTAGGGGGAGTGCGGGACAGTTTGCGGTGCTGGCAGAGTGCTATCCTTTATAGGTTGACGAGAGTATCATGAATTCCATAGCCGCTCCCGCTCTGGGGGTGGGGTTGATCTGTCAGTAGCAGCCAGAAACGCGTTCTCGATTCCCAAGCTGCTGGACAGACCTATGTGCGTTGTTGCACGTGCACGCTGAACCCTGAAGTGCTCTGTTACAATGCTACCTGATCCGCCACTGCTAATCTAGGCTGGCTCATTCGCCAACTATGACTGCAAGCGAGCTTTTTCGCCTACAGACAAAGGCTACAAAATCTCTGTGAAAGTTCTGTTCCAGCTGTGGGCATCGTGGGTCAGTATGCCGATCGCGTGATGTTCGTTTAGTCCGCGCGATTTCCGATCCAGCTCAACCCTACCATTTCAGAAAGGCCACTGACAAGATCGACAGCAAATGGTCATGAACTACCCATACCAAGTCACTACGTTGTGTGTGAGCGCCTCGTTCCTTATTTCACATCAAACCTTTTCACGAAGAAGCCCAAGTGTCTTTGTTTATTGCTCAATACCCCCTTTAAACGCTGTCCTACCATGTCTTCCTTAACGGTCGGCATAGCTGGCATCTCCGGAAAATTTGCCCTCCTTCTGGCGTCCTGTCTTCTCGAAAGAGATCCCAAAGTCAAGATCAAAGGTCTTGCGCGAAGCCCATCAAAAGTCCCGAAAGCGCTATCCTCTGCACAGAACCTGGAATTGATCCAAGGCGATGCTTTCGAGGTCGACAACATTCGACAGTTCGTGCGTGGATGTAGTGTTATAGTGTGCTGCTACCTGGGGGATGATCACCTCATGATTGATGGGCAGAAGCTGCTTATTGATATCGCCGAGGAGCAAAGCGTCCCACGCTACGTTGCCTCGGACTGGTCGACAGATTGGACGAAACTTGAAATGGGGGCTCTTTTCTCCAAAGAGCCGTGCCAACGCATCAAGGCTTATCTGGACACCAAGACGGCCATCAAAGGTGTACATATCCTGGTCGGCGGATTTACTGATGTTATTTTCGCACCGTTTTTCGGAATCTACGACCCCAAATCATTTACTTTCAGTTACTGGGGGACCGGTGACGAGAAGTGGGAATGTACGACATATGCCAACTCAGCTGAGTATACTGCTGCTGTGTGTCTGGATCAAAGTGCTGCTGGTGTCTTAAGATGTAAGTTGGAAGGATTGGAATCCGAGAAAGCGAAGGGCTTACTATTTTGACAGTTGTCGGCGACGTCAAAAGCACGCTCGAAATCGCCCAAATCTTTCAGAAAGTCTACCACATCAAGCCGAAGTTGATGAGTCATGGGTCTCTGGCTGAATTACATACAAAGATGATCGAAGAGAGGGGAAAATATGGTGCAGATTTCTATAAGTACGTGTTCTAGTGAGTATCACTCATTGCACTGATGTCAAAGAACGTAGAGCGCTAAGAACCATGGCAGTTGGTATCATTACTTTCAACTTTCGGGAAAATCGTTCATGGGGCCAAAGTACGACAACGAAATGTATCCAGATATCATACCCGTCACGATTGAAAATTATATGCGACAGGCAATGCCTTGGGGTCTTGGTGGAGCATCTTTTACCTGGGAGAAGAGGACGAAGGAGAATTGATATTTCCTGCTTGCTGGCTGAGATAGACCTTTATTTCTTTCTCCTTCGTTGCAGATTCGGACGGGCAAAGTACAGGCACAGTTACTCCTGAGAATGGCAAGACATTTGAAGGAATTGCAGTCATTATCATTTTGTCCAGCAGGGTTACAAATCTGTCCCGAAAGCTGTAGAACCAGTCTTCTAGGAGATAACAGCCCTTTAATCAACACCGTGTACTCACAATTCACCCACCCTAGCCGCGAGGTGGGGTAGCTGTCTTGGTGAATTCGTCCTCTACCATGTCGGAGACTGATTGAGATCTCGTGATCGGCTTGTAGACCTTAGTGAGGTCTCTCGTCAAGACATTCGTCTGTGCGATGGCCAGCTTCAGCGACGACATGGAATAGTGTGATATAGTTAGTATAGATAACAACACGGAGAAGCAGCATGTCTATCTCCATCCTTGACCAGTGATCACAAAACAAAGCATTGTTCACGAAGGGAATATCAGCCATGAAACTCGAACACGGTCAACAGTCATTGATGAGTACCATCAGCCTCATTGTCAGTGAACGTACCGACATTGGATTGTACCCATTGCTATTTGGCCTCTTCGGCCTGATCTTTCTTGGGAAGTTCGTTGTCAAGGTGATACACGCATTCGTACCCACGAAGTTACTATGGACTGACATACGGATTGGACCATATACCGAGTCTTCTTCCATCCTCTTTCCGGAATACCGGGACCTCTGCTGGCAAAAACGGTCGAATGGTACCTAGTGCCCGCCCAGGCGAGTCTTCAGCGTGCCCATGTAAGCTCCAAACAGTTTTCATTTCAGAACGAGCATGACTGACTATGAGGCTACCAGACTCTACGTGCACTGCACCAGAGATATGGTGATGTTGTTCGAGTAGGTCCGAATGAAGTCTCCTTGTCGAACTGGACCGCATACCGAGACATCTACAGCCGGAACACGACCAAAACAGAGCATTTCTACAAGGACACGAGACTTACAGGCCACGAAAACCTATTCACATTCCGTAACAAAGAAGCGCACGCCGCTCGCCGAAAGCTCCAGAATGTGTCGTACTCTCAACAATCGATACTTGCAAACGAGTCTTTCATTGCTGAGAAAGTTGACGTTCTTATAAAAAGAATTATGAAAAACGCCAATGAATCCTCATCGGGCCTCACCACGGATGTCTACCCACTCTGTGGTCTTTTCAGCTTAGAAGTCATCCTAGGCAGCGCATTTAATCGACACTACGGAGAGTCTGTCAGTGGCGACTCCTTGGCCTTGTTGAAGGCGATGGAGTGCACGGGGGTCGCGGGACAAGTAAAAACCGCGCTACCATTCATTACCCGATCCAGAGGTGTTCACATCCCCGGCTTCTTGGGTCATTGCTTTCGGCAATGGGATTTATGGGAAAAGATGACACAACAGCTAGCCGAAGAATTTAAGAGAAACGAGATCGATGCTGACACGGAGGAAAGATTCACGGTGACACCAATGGTGAAGCACGAGGATACGTTTCTGCACCGAAAGCTGAATCAGCAGGAACTTATCGAGGAGCTTATGGGGTTGACTTTTGCGGGCAGCGGGACAACATCCACAACCTTGGTTTATTTGATTTACTCGTTGGCGCGAAATGCTCCTATTCAAGATCGCCTGCGACAAGAGCTTCGAGGTGTCAAGGATGTCACAATCAAGGGAGTCCAGGATTTGCCTCTACTCAGCGCCATCATCAAAGAAACGTTGCGCCTCTATCCCGCCATTATCTCCACCCTCCCACGAGTCTTGGACCGCACAATGACGATCGACAAATGTATCCTACCAGCAGGCACGTATGTTGGAATGCAAAACTTTGTACACCAACGAGACTCGAGCGTTTTCCCCGAGCCGGACGACTTCATCCCGGACCGGTGGCTGATCAATGACCAGGATAAGTTGAAAGAAATGAATGCGGCTCTGACACCTTTTTCCGTGGGACCGAGAAATTGCATTGGCCAGAACTTGGCAAAAGCAGAGCTCTATCTGGCCACTGGAAAGATATTCAATCACCTGAAGCTCGGTCTCAACTCCAGTATGACGGAATGGGACATGGAGATGGAGGATCGGTTCGCCGTGGCATCTCGGGGAAAACGATTGCTGGTGGATGTGGAGGTACTGGGTCGACAAGACTGAATTGTCCTTCTTGCAACAGGTCAACCCACCTTATTCAGACAGTCGACGTATTGAGTGAAACCACCTCGAAAACAGGTGCTCATAGATGTCTTCCACAGAGCGTCTAAGCAAGCGCAATTCTATCAGAGAATGAGAGGTTGAAGTTTGTCCTCGTCTACCTAAAAAGGCAAAGGAGCCTCTCACTATAGTTTAGAAGGTAAAGAGTTTGGGCATGTCCCGCTAGCCTCTTTGACAAATTCAAGGCATTTAGCATCCATCAGGTATTGCACAGATGGCTACGATTAGACTATTAATGCAACTCTTGCTGAGTTCTCGCATTTCAAGCTAACAGAGAGCCAAGGAGAATATCTGACCAGATGCTTTGAAGACCACGCGAGCAACAAAAGCGCTTGACGACTAAACCCTCGTCGACCCAAGAACATCGCCTCCCATAGCTATAGGCTGCTTGTTGCAAAAATTGGCAACGTCTCCAAACACGACAGGTGCCTCGGGGGAGAGCATTGCCTTTTTCACGCACTCCGCATTGTCCCAGATAAGCAGCGTCTGCAACGCGTACACAGGCTTTGTGCCGTCCGCATTAGGGCCAAATTTTGTGATCTCCCATCCCTTGAGACCGTACGGGCCGAATTTCTCTTGGACGAGAGGCATATGTGTTTTGATATAGTAGGATATGTCAAGTTTGAGATCGTCATCGTTGGGATAGAAAGCGCAGACGTGGTGAGGCATGTTGAAATTGATGGATGTACTCGTCGAAATGATTATGACTAGGACAGCTGAACGTAAAGTATTGAGTGGCAGATGATCTGGACCTAGTTCGTGAGGATTTCATTACCAGATGGCGGTGGAGTGAAGTTTTCTAATTAGAACACTGAGCTGCAAATATCACGTTCACGAAACTATTAAGCATGGCAGGGTTTTAATAGAATATGCCGACGCCAGAACGCGGTCAACGGTTGTTTTCTGGTTGCATTGTCCTTCCAATCTTGACAGAGAATAGTCTCGACTGACGGAGCACTTCAAATCCGTTGTTTCTGATTAACCGATCACATGCAGACATCCTATCGAGTCGTATTTTTTTTGGTTGCCGACGGATAGGAATCGGATTTACAACCGACACAAAGGAAATTGAACGCCATTCCGCTGAGCCTGATATGTATTGCTATAGCAATGGCTTTGTCTTAGTGGCGACGACTTTTCCAATCTTTATGAGTTTAGGTTGGCAGACCAGATAAATGGGCGAGGAAACACTCTTCATTTCAACCGAGCGGAGGCAGCAACACTTCTTGCAAAGTCCTCAACCTCAGTAGACCTTGCGATACATTCTTGAGGGCTAAAATCCGACTTCGAACAATTTTGCAGCCGTCCCCAAGTATTAAAACCACTAATGTACAGATGATATAATATTGTATTATCTGCTTGATTACGGCTTAGGCATCAAGTCTATGATAGGAGCCGGATCCTTTTGCCGATCTGTCAGCTTAAGCATGCCCCTGAAACACAAGGCAACTTACAGAGAATATCTCAAGATGGTGGATCAGTAGCTGGCCATCCTTGTCCACGAGTTTAAAATGTGCCGCTGAGCCTCCCTCTCTCAGCATTCCATCCGCTGGGACAATAGTGAATTTTCCAAGGCTAATTATGTCCAGACCTTCCTTGTCCCCCAAATATATCTGCCGTATTTCATGTCTCAACCCCGGCCAGGTTCTCCAGCCCCAAGCACGTTGCTCCGCTATCGCTGCATGCTAGGTCAGAATACACTCTCGGAGGTGCATCGTACGAATTCTTGCCCTACCTTTACGGCCCTTGATCGCAGGGATTTGCGACATGATATAAACTGCGTCTTCTGCGAACAACTCGCCATACGCTTCCGCAAACTCTTCTGAATCGGCGTCGAGGAGCTTGAAGAATTTTTGGAGAAATGTTAGGGTCCGCTCAGGCACGACCGAGTCAGGCCAAGAGATTGTGCCATTCGTGGTTGCCATCATGTCGAGTAGACTGCGGAGCATAGATCAGCTGATGAGGACGAGGAAATTTGCGAGATCGCGGACGCCAAATATCTGCCCGAGCTTGACTCTTTTCAATGTGCGCAGCTCAGACTCCGTCTGGAGTCTAACATAGGGAGACGGGCATAGATCGGCACAAATTCGCCGCAGAAATCTTTCCACCCGGTGGCTCAGAGTCATCCCGCCGAGGAGGCCTTTAAGAAACTTCCTCCCAATGCTCGGCCGGTGCTGTTTGGCCACGGTTATAAATGTATGCGAAAAAGTCTGGGTTAGCGAAAGGGATGCGGGTGGGTCTGTGGGCAGTCCCACAGCGACTAGCCATCCCCATGGGGTGTCTCTTAGTCTGCAAAAGTCGGTCTTGAGGTTGAGTCCCGATCCCGTGATCCCCATCCCGGACGATGGTCATTGTGCTCGTTCGGCCAGAAAGTTTGCCGGATCCCGAGAAACTTGAACAGGTGCCTCGTGCTCCCCTGTGCCCAGAATCAAGGTTCACAGCAGGACTTAAGACGAATGCATGACGGATATGCTTCTCTAGGGGTGACCATCTCCAAAACTTCAATGGCGTCTTAACTCCGACCACGCCATGAGTGGTCCATGACTGTCACTTGCGGAACCATAGCAAGAACGCGCGGGTCTGGTCAAGGCTTTGTAACATTCGCCCGTCTTTGCCTCGTTGTGGTAAAAGAGGCCTAAGTCTTCCTATGCGAAGAATATACTTCCGGGATGAATGATGGAAGCTCCCCAACTCGTTGTTCTCAAAAGGGCCTCGAGGGGCTGGTATGCGATCACCAACACTTATCTCCCGGGATCACTGATTGAAGACTATGAAGCGCCCTCCTAATCACAAATCACAGACTTTATTATTGCCATAATTCGGACAACAGACAACACACGTTACACGATGGCTCCTAGCACAATGAAGTCGGCTCGCGTCTACAGAAAGGGTAATGACGATATTGAAGTCAAGATCGTACAGATGCCCGTCCCCACGCCCGAGAAGAATCAAGTCCTCGTCAAGGTCGTCGTAGCAGGTTCAAACCCCAAGGACTGGAAGTACCCCTTCATCGATCCCAAGGCATCTGGAACAAACACAGGCGATGATGTCGCAGGATACGTCGAGGCGGTCGGGCCCGATGTCACCGAATTCCAAACCGGCCAAAGAGTTGCTGCCTTTCATCAGCCGCATACTTCGCATGGTGCGTACGGAGAGTATGCCATCGCCGGCGAGAATTATACGTTCCATCTCCCCGAGCATGTCTCATTTGAAGAGGGAGTAACCATTCCGCTCACTGCAACGACAGCCGCAGTCGGCCTCTTCGCTTACCTCGGGCTGCCGGAGCCGTGGCTGACAACAAAAGAGTTCCAACAGCGCAAGCCAAAAGGAGGTGTCCTCGTTTATGGCGCATCCACGGCCGTGGGGGCGTTTGCGATAAAGTTACTCCGACGAGCGGATATCCACCCTATCGTAGGCGTTGCTGGCAAAGGCATTGATTACGCGAGATCCCTGCTCGACCCGAGTAAGGGTGACTTCGTGGCCGACTATCGCGATGGCAGTGACCGACTCGTGCAGACAATCAAGAACGGATTGCCAAAGACGGAACCGCTGATGTACGCATTCGATACTGTCAGCGAGAACGGCACATACCAGAACGTCGTGAAAGTTCTCGACCCGAAAGCTCACATCAGCCTTATCCTTCCGGGTCAGGAATACAAGGAGGTTCCATCAACCATGTTCAAGACGATAACGACGGGATCGAGCGTCTTTGGATTCCCGGATGATCTGGTTGACTTTGGGTTTGTGTGGACTAGGTGGTTTGGGGCTGGACTGAAGGAAGGTTGGTTGACTGGCCACCCATATGAGGTTATTCCCGGCGGGCTTGCTGGTGTGGATGAGGGTCTGCGGAGACTGAAGGAAGGGAGGGCGAGTGCGGTGAAATATGTGTATCGAATTCAAGAAACCAAGGACTGATTTGAATTGGGATTGATGTCGTCCATTAGAATGAAGAAAATCGAGAAGGCCAGCTAGAGTATTGACATAACATGAACATCAGGCTATCATTCAGATATGGCACTCTTCTCTTCGGCCCAAGTTTATCAGCTGTGCACAATCATCGAGATAGGCTGCTTATTAAACAGCGGCAAAGCAATCCTAATCACAGTTAGGTTAGATACTCGGTATGGAGATGGAGATGAGGCTCATACGTCGAAGGTCCAGTCTCGTGAGAAGAGCTCAAGATCAATAGGCTCCATCTCTTCCGGTAGTTGTAACGGGGCTGGACTCTCCTCGGATTGCTGCACCACGCGATCGATCCATGATTGGTCCGTGGCCTGCTGTTCCAGTTGCCGGAGGACATCTGCGTCGAACAGATCCTTATCGACAGCAGCCGACACCGAAGCCGCGGCCTGATGAAGCACATCGTTGTTGAAAATGGCGTTTCGATCGATGCCAGACCCCTCAAACCGCTGCTTAAGGAGTGGAATAGCGGCCGATGCGGTATATGATATTTCTGCGAGCACCTCGAGTGCAGAAATGACGACCGCAAACATGGTAAGGGCACTTTCGGTGGTCAATTTTTGCATGTTGTACAGAGTGAAAATGGAAGAGCCGGTGCGGATGATGGCGTTTGTCATGAGGTCTGGGTAAGGATCGAGGAGAAGGATGTTAGGGCGCACGACGTTATCGGTTCCCAAGTATCTAGTCTGTAAGGCGAGATTGAGCGCGATGATAATGCTTCGACACGCACAGAGTCGTAGGTCATACGGAGTGGTGTTCTGGTCAATGAAGACGAATGTTGACGGGAGCGCGTCGACCAAGATTAGATTGCCAACTTGAAAATGAATATTCAACAGTGCTGGAGCTTCTGTTAGTGGACGGAAAACGTGGTCGCGTCCGTCTTGTCTCTCACTTACTCCAATACTACAGAAGCATCAGTCTCGTGCCAGGTTGACATGAAGTCAAACAAAGACCAAAAAAGACTTACCATCTGAGTTGTGCGAGTCAGCAGCAAGAAATCTCGCTGACACAGACACAAAAGCTGCCCAAAAGTTTGTTCAAAAAGATTGCTCTCCTTTCTGGCATTGTCGACAGCTTCGGCAAGTGATATGCCCGAGAGTTGGTGGACAAGGGCATCTTGGACCCGAGTGATTGCAGCCCAGACCAAGGTTTTGAGCGGGAATGCGTGCTGGAGAACGGCAACCACCTGGTCGTCAGTGAAGGGTGTTGGCTGTGCGCGAAGAGACTTGAACTGTGGCTCGAACAATTGTGTACGCTGCCGGACAGTCGACCACACTTTTGATTCACCTGTATTCCCAGGGAGCACGATTGATGGCCTGCAACGCGTCAAGGCTCTCGTTGTGTCAGAGATGACTCCGAACCAGAAGGCCAGTCTCGACATAGACTGAAATTCCTGCTTCTCGGTGTCCAGCGGCGAGTCCTCTTGCATTAAGGTGATATTCGTGCTGGAAAAAGCGCCTCGGTCAAGCAGACTTGCAATCGAGTCTCCACTTGATGAGGGCATTTGTGCTCTGGTCTGAAGGTAGACCTGGTGACTCAGAGATGCTTCCAAGCATAGATCGCTGAAACTGTCACCCTGAGCATGGATCGAGCTTGGGATGATCGCGAATAGATATAGTGCCAGGACCGATCGATAGGAAGGTAAAGACATGATCGCATACATGTCTTTCCTCGCCTGATGATATAGGCCACAAGCAAGATTGTTCTTCATGGAGGCAAACTGGCTCCGAGCCTCGGCATCTGGATATTGTTTGTCGTTGATGAGAATCCATCGGACTGAGTAAGAGTACACGGCGTACATGAGTGCTCGATTGATAATCGGTTCAGCGCTGTCTTTTATGGGAGCACCGCCCCAGGTGCCGTCATTGCCGTTTGCGGTGCTACCAGTGCGACGAATCTTTTTGTCCAGATTGATTACCAGCCTTGATATCAATGTCGTCGGCGGTGCCTAGCTCATCAGCAAATCATCACAACAGTATCAACAACGAATCCCTACCGCGCTGGTGCCCATGAAGGGACAGCCGGCCCCTCCTATCCATAACCCAATGCGCGGCTCAAGGACGGATGTGTACACATTCCAAAGGAGACTATGGAGTCTGAGAGCCTGTTGAGACTTTGCCAAATAATCTGACTGAGCCGACAACGATGTCGGTGGCGGAAAATTGGACCGTGGCGAATCACTATCAGTCGTTGGCGAAGAAGGCAAGCCAGCGTTGTCAGGGGCATTGACAACCAGTGCCGATATCACTGTGCTTGAATCCAGAGCGCTTTCTTGTGCATATACTACTCCTCTGGCAGCTTGGGCCTTTCGCGGTCCTCTCCCACCGGCCCCCTTCAATGAACATTGGGCTCCTTTACGCTCACAGTTGTAGCATGCCTGCCCGGGTTCTGCACGGGAAGCATTGCATCCCAGGCGAGAGCGCCTACAATTCTCACAGCTGGTGATTGGCTTACCCATCCCATGGAGCCAGGAGATTGAATGCAATAGTGGAGGCGGAAAGCCGAAGGTTGGGGTAATTAAAAGTGGTAGAAGCTGCCTGGGGAAGTCCGCTACTTGGCGGAGCAAAATCTGGGGCCAAGGCTCTCGTGTGTAATTAGGGCGGAGCGCATCTTCGCATGTCTGGGCTTGTAGATGGGCAGGTCAGAGGGTAGTCTGCCACCGGTAGACGTTGATAGATTTACAACCGACTACTTCCCCTCGCTGCCCGTTGCAGGAAGTTTTTACGCTCCTAGAAAAGTAAACATTCTTCTTGATCTGTCATACCAGCAATCCCTGATGTAACAGAATAGGCCAGTGGGACGGGCACGTGAGGCGCAACGACACCCAAAGGACTCCCAGGCCCTTTGTGAGTACACAAGGTCTTGTCGAAGTCGCACTGAATGCTTATTCCGATCTCGTGATCTATTTTCGAGCTGAACCCTATCAAGCCCAGACAATGAATCCACTGGCCAACGAGACGTCGTCAGACGGCAAGTTTTAGCTTCAGCAAATCCTTTTCCACGATTTCGTCCTTCTTTGTGGAGAGCTGCTCCATATCCAGAGGACCAAACACAAACCGACTGGCAAGCCTATTTATTCCGTGGTTAGTTTTTGTTTGATGTCTGGACAGCAGGAACGTCGATCGGAACGACATACCACTCCCTCCTCTCTCGTGTAAGCCAGACAATTGTATCGGCTGACAGTTCCGCCGTCTGCGTGAGGTAAAAATGAAAGTTGTCCGGCATGTTCAGAGCTGTCTCGGTAGGCACTCCACCTGGATGGGCCGAAAACGCAAGGAGACCCTAAAAAAAAGGTCAGAGCGGCTAGTTCGAGTCTTGCGCTAGCACTCTGAACAAATTTCAGCTTGTGGTGCGAGGAGACTGACTTTATCTCCATACTCTGCCATCAAGAAATCGACCAACTTGATCTGCGCCAGCTTGGTGGTCTGGTACGCACTTGCTCCCGGACTATTCATGAACAAGTCAGTAAAGATTAGCTCCAGGAAAAGGCGCACAGACGCAGCGATAAAAGCTCCCGCACTTGTAACCATCAGCACCGTCTTCAAATCACTCTTGAGGAGTAATGGCAGTGCCGCCCGGGTGACAATAAATGTCCCCTTGATGTTAAGCTCCCATGTCCGCCACCAGTCGTCGATGTTAGTCTCGGCGAGAGGGACCCAGTTCTCAAGTCGGCTGGCATTGTCCACCAGCACATCGAGAGAACCGAATTCGCATTCCACAGTCTTCATGGCTTGTTCAACAGCGGCTGTATCTGTTATATCGGCCTGGAGCTTTAGTATCTTCGGCTCTTTGTTTCCAGCTTGCTTCGCTGCATGTAGCACCTCATTTGCAACTTCGTCGAGGTTTGAGCGTGCAAGCAGGGCTATAGCTGAAGCACCTGCTCGCGCGAATGACTTAACAGTGGCTTTTCCGATGCCCTTGCTGGTGCCCGTGACGAGGACCTTGATATTTGAGGGACTACCATTCTCTGGCTTGATGAAGGGGTATGTGTCATTGTGGAGGGTAGCGACGAACGTTGAGCCATACGGATCATCCGAGTTCGCTGGTCGAGCCATTTTGGTGAATGATTGCATTCAATTTCTCCTGTGGTGACAATGTCGGTCCTTGAAGGACAGCAGCAGATTTAATATATCGCCATCTCTGTGAGCGTCGTAGCAGCAGAGCTCAAGTCTCGTAATTTGGTCTGGGCAGTCCCCCGTCCCTTAATGATTGCTGGTTCTCTAAAGAAGCATTTACTGGTTGAAACTTTGAGCGTAGTGGTAGACATACATCACGAGATCGGGAATATGGACCCAGTTGGCATACGTATGGAATTAATCGTCCGTCGTTCTGACCTTACTCCCACTCCGTAATCTTTCGTGTCTGCCAGGAAACCGACTCGAGTTTCCAAATGGGTGCTAGCAATGCCTCCTATGCCACGAGTCCAGCGCGTTGCTCTGATGAGTGCTGTACTGTGCGGCGCCACACAAACCTTCAATCCTTGCATGAGGTTCCCCAGCACACGATCGAGCATCAGGGTGGGCCAACGACTCGTGGAAAAGACGGTGCTCATCGCCTTTTTTTTTTATGACAGATATCGTCTACGTCACACGAGGAAGTGCTCTCTCTCCAGCCATCGTGGGTTCCGAACTAGCTGGAGGAGACGGGCAACATCTCGGACCGCCTGGGCAGCAATAGGCCATCGGGCATGTTGCTTGGGCATTGCAATCGCCTAGCATAAGTATCCGACGAGCCGGCCTCCCCATCAATTTTCCACCCATAGATCGCGAGATAGCTTGTCAACCTTGTGCAATCACAGTCAACCCCACCATTGCGGCGGTTCACATTTATTCTTGTTCTTGTTCCTTTTGTTCGCCTCCCACATTTACCGATACGACACTGGGTTCCTGACGCCCGTCTCATACAGATCCCTAGCCGAGAGACAAGTATAGCCGATCGCTAGGGAGTAAGAATAGGCCCCCAGTGTATTTGCTTAAGGAGTGCTCAGGGAGCGTTATGGAGCGTTCAGTAATGCTAGGGGAAAGGCTTAGTCAAAGCTCAGGTTGAAGCGGCCTTCGCTCACCATCTAGGATTAAACCGTATAAAGCAATTAGATTCTTGTTCTCGAGCAATCTACCTCGTAGGTACTCGGTACTTCCTCTTAGCGCCAAGGGGCCGAGCCAAGGAGCCACCGAGACTCAGTACACCTGAACCTTCATCATTCGACCACACCACCTACGTTAAACCCTTCCAAAGTTGTTGTCATCAGGTCTTGTACACGGACTTGTCTACTTGTACATCTCGCTGATAGCATCACCCAACTTGCAGAAATCCAAATGGATCGCCTCACGCGTCTTCCTCACCTTCCGTCCCGTGACCGCGCCTTGAATGCAGCCGCGCTGACAGGGATTTCGACCTTAGCATTGAGCGCCGTCATCTGGTGCATTCGAGACTATCATGCGTTCTTGGCTCTTGGCCCTGGCGGAGCGTCCTACAATGTCAAAGGCTGGGCTTGGGTGAGCATGCTCCGACTGTTTGCTCTTTCTAAGAATGGCGCAACCCAGGTTGCGGATTATCCAACAGATGGCGCCCATGAAGATATTAAGAATTTACCCGACCGGAAGGGCGACCGCGCAGCTGTTGGGGGAATCATCCCGCATCGTCAGCTCTCACAGCATCCACCTGAGGAGATGAAACAGGTATGAATAGTTTAGGTGGAAGAATCCGTGGTTAGGCCACTAATTGATTTCCAGTACATCAAGAACTTGTTCAAAAATGCCGTTACACAGAATAGCGAACTCTTAGAAGAACGCCTTTCCCTGTATGAAAAACATAATCCAGCACTTTTCGTGCGCGAGGAGGTTCTCTTGAATGAGGACTCGACAGCTCCAAAACCGCCCCAGACAGCTTACACTGCCCGCGGCGAATGTGGGCATGTCCATCCTGATGTAAGTAGCTAAGGCTTCTGCAAGCTTGCACTTGTGTTGAGGGAGACGTGTTCCTATCTCCTTACCTCTCCCTGCTCCCAATCTTTTCACTGATTTGCCACTGCCAAAAATACCAGCACCATCAACCCGCCCGATATAGGCCGCTCTTTTTTTTCTCTCACATCGCTGATGCCAACCTTGAGTGACCATTAGTATTCGATCCATCTATATCTTTCTCCGGCCGATGCTCGACTCGTTATCGAGAAGGGCTGGGGCGAAAGGCATCGGTTGTCAAAACCGAAGACGTCAATGGTCAATTTTGAGAATGCCCACGTGGCCGACACATACCTTCTGATATACGGACCGAGGGATGGAGATGAGGTCGAAATTGTGCGCAAAATCCTGCAAAGCAGCATTCGCTTCATGACGGGAAGAGAGGATGTCGAGGCTCCACAATGGAAAGTGGCTCTAAGTCCTAATTGACCTGCCAACAATTCTGCAGGGGTGGACGCATACGGTCATGTCGATACAGGACGGTGTTAGGAGAAGGGCGAAGCCCCCACTGCAGCAAGTTCTCTTCGATTATGGAACTCCGTGCTCATTGGAATGAGGTCACAGCAGGGTGCAAAACACTGGCGCACTTCCAAAAGCATGGCAGATGCAAAGAATCACGCCATTGGCAAGTACAACATGCGCAGAGTTTACTCATGTTTCTTACATAGAAGCCAAGTGCATGTCCATACTCGATGTGCCGATAGCGTTGTTACCATGCCAACAACACTAGCAGGCACGATTTTATGGTAATGAGGGATTTCTGATTTGATCGCCAATGATCCCAACCTCCTTCATTGACTGCGCCTCAATCCTGCGCTTCTCTTCCCTTGCAAGTCGCCGCGAATCTGGTTCTCTCTGTAGGTGATTCAGTCAAGCACGACAGGACTCGTGCACTGATTGGGCAGTCACGGTGCATACCCCAGGAACCCGTGCGAACAAGATACTTTTGTCCGAACCAGGCCATCGATGCGGAGCCTGCTTGCATCTGTTTGCATGTTCGATGGATTTGTGACCTACTTGTCCATTCCTTGAGGTCATTCACCTCTGTTAAATGGCGCATACAAAACTAGCCGCCTACGCTCTCGTTACGCCCCATGAAAAACAGAAAGTCAACAAAGTCGCAGCTTGCTGGCGCGGAAATTCACTCATATAAAAATCTTCACGACGCGGTAGTTCAACGGGTCCGACGTTCCCACAACGAGGAATACTTCGCGTTTCTACAAATGGCCTTGATTCTCACCATCGTACTCGCATATTTTGTATGTCCTCTTGCGCTGGCTGCGGTTGCCTGCTGTCTCTTCTGGTGTTTTGAAGAAGTAGAAACTTTGTATTTTGCTGATTCTCTCAAGCCACTCCGCGAGAAGGTTTCAGATCGTTCTTCTCTCCTCCTGCTGGTGTGATCCTGCTACCCCCAGCCACTCGCCAGACTCTTCGCAAGCTCTCGCTGCGAAAGGCTGACTTCAAAGGCGGCAGGAAGCCAAATATAAAAGCCAAATACAGCTTGTGATTGTTCTCTGAGGAGCCACGACAATGGCCTCAAATGCTGCCCACGGTGTCCAAAAGAGGACTATTTGGCAAACATCAGCAACGAAGCCAATGACAACTGTTTCGAGGATCACAGGTCAGAAACCATGGTTTATCACGAGGGAGAAAACGCTGATCTGGATATTCCCCAGTCACTTCGGCATCCTCGCCGCTACCTCGACCGATTGATCAGATCATGGAGGCGTATCGTCTTCGGTACGCATCTTATCTTGCCTCGACCTTTCACATCAGCGTCGAGGCGGCGAACGTCGAGGCTGACTACCAGCTCCAACCTCGTCGTCGGTCTGAGTCTTCTGAATCAGAGGTCTACAGAGTGTGATCAATGGCTGCATTTGATATGGTCGTTTGAAGGCTTTTGGCATTGAGGAGTCGAAAATGCTTCAAAAACGGCTCTCAAAGCTTTCCTCATGGAGGATGATCTTCCTACCTAGGTGCTTGTCAGAATCAGCCTTTCCTGGTACGATCTAGTAATAGGACATTTACGAGACAAATCCAAGAGCGTTCTCCCCAGCCGACTAGCTGACAACTTTGGCGAAACATGATTCAGCGCGTATGACCCGCCACTAAGACGAAGGCGTTGAAAGGTCTACCCCTTGCCCGGGGAATTATGTTCGCGTAACCAAGCGAGGCTCGGAAACTAGCCGGCATGCTTGTGAGAGAGGACGAATTATCAAGAATCTCGGCAGCAAGATCCTTCCGGTGGCTCCCTGTTAGCTTCCTAGATATTTTGCCCACGGTGATCGGCACCTGCAGTTTCACTAAAGATACTGTATACCAAAATATATAATTTGGAGTCAATTTGTCATCTCTTCCATGCCGTGCCAGAGGCCAGCTTACGGAAGACCGTGGAACTGACTCCACCGCATTGGAGGGTGGGTTGGGGTATAGAAATTCCCAGTCAAAAGGATTATGGACAGTCAGACGCCTCCCAAGACTCAGCCGCAAAAATGCCTCATAAGAGATTGCCAGACAAGTGTGGGCTTCCATAAACGGCAGACTCCTGATGAACAAATGCAGGATGGACCAGGTTTAAGCTGGCAGTGTCCGCAAGAGAAGTACCCTTAACTAAAGACGATCATCTGTGGAAAGAGGCTGTGAAGCCACCAACCATAAGCAACCCCGAAGCCAACTCCGCTCATTTGCATTGGCGTGGGTTGTGGCCTTCGGGAAGACGGAACAGAGCACTGACTCTCCCCAACTCTTGGCTTGATATCAGTTTGGACTTCGCACCGTTGATCTTTTTGTCCTGTCTTTCCATTATTCTCCTTTCTTTGGCGGGCCGCGTGTGTGCAGCCTTCAAGGAATGACCACAGACGGGAGGTGCTCCTTCAATGGCAGCACACCGGGCGAAGATTCTGAAATCAATGGCGATGATGATGCCTGGGAGGCTACCCGTCTGGTTCCGAGGTAAATCCTGGCTAATTCACGTAGGCATATAGAGCCTTCTCTGATCCGGTTTTCTAGTTCCAGTCCTATATCGAAGGTTCTGAGTACGTCCCAGTGTGGCTATTTGAAATTGCTGAATATTTGGATTGACATGAGACGCCAGGAAGATTCCCTTCCTTTCTGCATCGATCATCTCGCCATGGCGCCGCAGTCGGTCAACACGTTCACCACTTCCCTGAGTACTCAGATCCTCACAGAGTGAAGCGCAATTGCTTCTTCGAAACTCTAGTTGAGGTCGTCGCAACTTTCCGAGCCATCCTGGGGTACTCGTGGCTCAACAGCCTCCTCGTTTTCGTCCCGCTGGCTATTGCCAGCTACTTGGCCCATGCGAACCACATTCTCGTTTTCACAGCCAATGTCATCGCTGTGGTTCCGCTCTCGAGCTTGCTCACATGTGCGACGGAGAACATCGCCAGAGAATCGGGCGATGTAGTTGGCGCTCTGCTCAACGTGACGTTTGGAAACCTGGTCGAGATTGTGATCTTGTGAGTCGATTCCCTACCTTGAGCCAGGAGCAAAGCTAATATCGTCCAGCCTGTATGACCCGAACCACTCTCGTTTCATCGATATGTTTGACTGATGACTCAAGTGCCGCCCTCTACCACAATCAATATGAGGTCGTGCAGGCCTCTCTCTTGGGCTCGATTCTGGTGAACTTGTTGCTCATCTTGGGAGTAGCAATCCTGGCTGGAAGTTTTTGTCATCAAGAGCAGTCTCACAGCAAAGAGGATGCGCAAGCTCTAGCTTGCCTTCTCAGTGTATCCGTCTTCAGCTTGCTTATACCGGTGAGGACTCCGGCGAGGCTCCCTTCATTCTCCCGCTGACGCATTATAGAGTGCTCTTGTTCACTCATTTGACGATCTGAAGTCCGCTGGAGCAGCTGTATTGACCTTAAGTCGGGCGTCTTCATTGACCTTGTTGGCGATATATTTACTTTATATCTTCCTACAGATCAAAAAATCCACTGCTAACAGACCATCCATCCGTGTTGTTAGCACGGATGGCTCCAATGGCCCTGTAAGGACGAGTGGTGACATTTCTGCTTCCAGTGGTTTACTATTTCCGCGTTCAATTCGGTTCCAGGACGAAGAATCGGCTCCAAGCTATACAGCGAAAGCAACGCGGAAAGACAGTTTGGAGATGTCGGCTCTAGACGATTCAGGACAGTCTCAGCTTGACCCCGACGAGGCCAGCGGCCACCTCAACTGCGAAGGATCTGACGAAGATGAAGGTGTCGAGACGCAAGAGCAGGCTTGGAAAACGTCTTCTGACAAAAGACGGAATCCGAGAAACTCCATCTACCAATTTCCTTCCCGCAGACGAGGTTCCGACTCCGGCAATTCGAGTCAGCGACATATGAGTCCTGCTGGTTTGCAGCCTGGACGGTCACATCGCTCGTCCTACGCGGGTTCAACTTCCAGTCTCCCTCGTCTGCTATTGGGAAGCTCCGTTGCGAACGCCGACAGCCCAAGTGATATCGGCAGGCTGGAGAACTCGCCAATGGCTATTGGGAAACTGGCCTCCAGTTTACTACTCGTTATATCCTCCTTGCTTGTGGCTATCTGCGCCGATTTTCTCGTAAACACCCTTGACGATATTGTCGAGTCCGGACCTTTCTCCGAGGCATTCATTGGTCTTATCATTCTCCCGGTTGCTGGCAACTGTGCGGAGCTCATCACTGCGACTGCAGTCGCCTCTGTAAGTTCTCCGTATTCGTGAAAGACTGGTTTGACCCGAGTGGAGGCTTTGCTGCGACTCCGTCAAAGCTGATAGAGACTGACCTATATTTGCAGAAAGGCAAGTTCGATCTTGCCATAGGCGTTTCTGTTGGTTCATCTGTTCAGATTTCCCTGTTTGTGACACCCCTTGTTGTCATTGCTGGATGGGCTCTGAACCGGGATATGACCATGTATTTCGGCATCTTCGAGACCGTGGCACTCTTTGCAACGACTTTCTTGGTAAACGTGCTCATTCTCTATGGCAAGTCCAATTTCTTGGAGGGAAGCTTGCTCTGTGCCTGCTACTTCATTATTGCAGTCGGAGCATATCTTTTTCCGACACCAGATCACCGAGCTCCGCATGACCGTCCTCCAGACTAGGTCGCGGCGCTTATCACGACTCGTGGAGAAGATCTCAGATTGAAGAAGATTGATCCCACAATTGGTTCAGAAGAGCTTTAGAATCATCTCCTCGAAGCCAGAGGGGGGTGCAATTTAAAATTTTGAATCAGAGAACCAGGGCATCTTTGGTTAAGCCGCGAGGATCAGCGGGAGAGGCACAATGTGCCCTCGGGCGCTCTTGGGACGAGGAAGATCTATTGGTGCGGCAACAACAGCATGCCACTGATGAGGATCACACGGCGCCTCCAAGGCAGTCCGGTTAGTTCCGAGGTCGTCCTTATGTCGATGATATGCAATGAAGAGAAAGCAGTGGAAGACGGAGTGTAAGATGAAATCAGAAAAGATGACATAAGAACGTCATGACTCGAGGAGTCCAATTTGCCAAGATACCATGATTCAAGCAGTCACACGACAGAGTCCACCAGCTCCAGTATCATCCCGTTTTCAATGTCCCCTACCCTTCCTTTACACATTGAGCTTCGTGGATTCCCAGATACACCTTGCCGATAGTAAAAGGGCTTGTGGCCTCAACATGTGCGATGTCTCGACAGGCTCGACAAGGCCAGCAGCTTTTTAACCAGCGTGAGTCTTGACTCCAGAGCATGCTATATGGGTTGGAGGCTACACTTAGCCCGCCCAGACATCACATATATTGTGAGCTTCAGGCGTCTCATTGTTGAATATCAATGTCGACCACAGGCTTTTTACTGATCCTCGACGGGTGATACCGTGCGTTAGCGACGAATTACTTCCGTGAGCAGTCATTCTTCCATACGAACAGTGGCATGCAGGGGAAGATCGAGATGCTTTGAGAGACAAAGTTGCGCGGGTCGGTATTGGCGATGACAATTGCGAGACTATCTGAACCGTATTTATTTCTACCCAAGCAATGATCTATACCAGCCGCAGCGGAGTTAACAACGCAAAGGCCACAATGGGGAATGTACGTATGATCTTGCGCCACAATTATCCCATCCTCTGCCCCGAGCGTGTATATCTCCGCTTTCACACCTGGCTCATTCCATCGTTCCCAAGTTCTCGGCCACCGTGAATCTTGCGCTCGTCTTCTCTCTGACCATATCTACAGTGACACCCTTGGCCGTCTCCTTCAGGATTAACCCCTTGCCGCCGGCCCTATCGACTTCGAAGACGGCCAACTCGGTAATGATCATGCTCACGACCCCCTTACCCGTGAGCGGCAAGTCACACTCCTCCACAATCTTACTTCGCCCGTCCTTGTCGGTATGGTAGGTGCAGACAATGATCATTGTCTTGTCCGGGTTGCTCACGAGGTCCATGGCGCCGCCCATGCCGTTGAAGGCCTTTCCCGGGATGATGTAGTTGGCCAGATCGCCCTGGGCAGAGACCTGGAGGGCGCCGAGAATCGAGATATCGACGTGGCCACCGCGGATCATGCCGAAGGACTCGGCCGAGTCGAAAGTCGAGGCGCCCGGCACCAGCGTCACGGCTTCCTTGCCCGCGTTGACCGTGTCTGGATCCGCTGTCTCGGGCGACGACGGGTACGGCCCCATCCCGATGAGACCATTTTCAGACTGTATCCAGACCTTGGTCGAGGCTGGGAGAAACGACGGCGCCAGCGTGGGAATGCCGACGCCCAGGTTGACGTAGTAGCCGTCCTTCAGTTCCTTGGCCGCGCGTCTGGCGATGCGGTTGCGCTTGGCCGCCTCGGGGCTTTGCTCGGCTGCGGCGTGCTCCATGGTGGATGCGAGGACGAGCTTCTCAATATGCTTGGCAGAGGTCGCGGGGCAGATGCGGTCGATGTATATGCCGGGTAGATCGACGTGGTCCGGGTCCAGGGATCCGACAGGCACGATGTTCTCGGCCTCGACAATGGCCATCCTGGCGGCCTTGGGCATCAGCACGCCGTATGTCTTGGTGGTCGAGCGGAAGATGCAGTTGCCCGCCTCGTCAGCCTTCCAGGCGCGCACGATCGCCACGTCCCCCCGGAGCGCCGTCTCCATCATGTACGTCCTGCCGTCGAAGATGCGTGTCTCTCGTGGCCGGCCCGGCTCCACGATGGCGTGCTTGCCCGTCTGAGGGTCCTTGGGTCCGAGACGCATCGGGATGCCCCCGGTCTCGATCAGAGTGCGTGCTCCCGTGGCTGTGAAGAAGGCAGGGATCCCGGCCCCCGCTGCGCGCAGGCGCTCGGCGATCGTACCCTGTGGACAAAGCTCAATGGCCACCTGGCCGTCGTGGTATTGCTGGCCGAGCGATTTGTTGTTGCCGATGAAGGATACGACCATCCGCGAGATCTGGCCCGTGGACGTCAGTTTCGCCAGACCGTAGTCGCCCGCTCCAGCATTGTTGGAGACGACGGTGAGATCGCGAAGTCCTTTCTTCCGAATCGCATCAATGAGAGTTTCTGCAGCGTATGTGGTCAGCTTACCCCCAGTCAAAGCTTCGCCGGACAAACATGAATACAACACTAGTTACAGTTGTCGGTCATGCGCAGCCACATATACATACCCGCGACGCCACAAAGCCCAAAGCCGGCGCTCAGAACGGTGATTCCGTCCTGGAGGTCCGCGATGGCATCATCGGCGCTCCCAAACACCTTGGATGCCCCTCTGTCAACAACGGGGGCCTGCTGTCTTTGCTGCGTAGAGAGGGTGTCCTGCCGTTGTTGTCGGAGGCTCGGCCTGGTGCTGCTAAAATACCGCTTCCTCTTCAGCTGTGTCCTCGGTGCAAGAGATATCAAGGTTGAAGACGGCGACAACGAAGATGCTGATGACGATGACACGACGGCGATTCTCCGCAGCAGGTTCATTTCGCACGACGAGGCGAGGCTCCGTGCTACCGCTCGTCGAGAACCTGCAGTCAACGACATTGGCCACTGCGCTGCGCGGCGCTCGTTTCTTTTTGTTTTTGTCTTTTTCTGTCTATTTTAACATCTAAGCGTACGCTCACACATACACGCCGTCGGACTCGTTTGGGCGTGAGGAGTTTTCGAACTCATTCGGTCAAGCCGCCAGTTCAGTCCGCGAAATCTGATCAGCGCCGAGTGCGGAGGAAACGTCAGTGCCTGTCCCTTGTATTTTCAATGACGGCAGTGACATTTGATTGGTTACCCCGGGATTTTTCCGGTCTTGCTCGGCTATTGATCTGGATGCCGAGTGGAGAAGCAGAAGCATAAGGATCCGAGCTTGTAGCAGCTGTCGGCAGATTGATGGAAGCTTTAAGTGTGGAGCAATCACGGAAGGGGGACCGATATATATAAGTGTGCTCACCTATTTAAATACCTGAAGTGTGAGAGAGGACGGGGGATTCTTTCTTCGATTATGGCGTTAGCTAACCACTACGAGCAATCAACGCAGGACAGTACATGTTTCATGGCAGCCCCATCCTCTTGGTCGTCCTCTCATTGTGTCCCCAAGCATCCACACTGCCATCGTGCACGGTGCACCTCCTCATATCGCGTGCATATTTCTCCATAAAAGTCCCCTCGCCAGCCTTATGCATGACACAAGTATTGTCCCAAACAACAAGATCGCCTTCGTTCTCCCACTCGACGCTCAGGAGATACTGGGGCTGAGAGGCGTGGGCGAGCAGTCTCTCGATGAGTTCCGTTCCTTGGGGTTCTGGTACCCGTTCGAACGGTTGCTTTGGAGTGGGCACGAAGTCGGCCGATTTCGGCTTCTTGTACTCCAGGTGATGCATGTGGTTGGCGATATAGAGGTTTTTGCGACCGCTGGGCCAGTGCGTCTGGACCACATCGTGGCGACCGAAAGGGAAGTCCTCCGGGTTGACATCTTTGAGGTGCGGGCTGTCCTTAGGGGCGGCCTTCTTCCGAGAATGCATCAAGCTGTGAGCTCCAATGTACTCGTTCTCTAGCAGGTCTTTGCGCAGGTCCTCGGGCAACTCATCGAAGGCGGTTCTAGTATCGGCAAAGTCGGTATTCCCGCCGTGGCCCTTCGGAGGCAATTGATGGGCGCGAAGCAGACTGTAGCCGGCTCGCCTTGGGTTGAAACTCGAATCCACATGGAATATAGAGTTGCCCTGGACCAGGTGAGTGAGCTGTCTCTTAACGTTCCGAAAGGCAAGGTCGAGGCCTCCGTGCTTACCAGTCCCAAATGATGGCGTTTACTTCCGATTTTAACAAGCGACCCGTCGTCCTCTTGATTAGAGACGTCGAACAACTCATCAAAAGGGAATCTATTCTTGCGACCCAGAACGAGGTACGGCTTGATATCGTCTAGCTCACCGAACAGGGCAGAGAAGGCGACATGGCGTGCATCATCAAGACCGGCGTTGCGGAAAACAAGCACTCCATACTGCCAGAGATTGTGTCAGCTTCCAAAGTGTAGAAGCCAGTGAGAACACTATTAGCCTTCAGAGAGGCCAGTAACTCAGGAAGGCCTATGAAGATGATGACAGAGAGGGCAATGGACTGACATCGACGATGGCCCGGCGGATTTCATCAAACACTTCCTTCTCCACGGGCTTTGAGAAATCGACACCAGTGACCTCGGCTGCAAACGTCGGCGCAAGCTTCTTGACCACGATATGGTTGTATTCGGTATCTGTAGCGTGGGGCATGGTTGATGATAAAGAATACTTTCAAAAATGATAATGCAAGGGAAAAATTACGCCCTGTCTTTCAGCCTCAAGGTCGCTTTTCAGGTGGGAGGATCCCAAGAATTTGTAGAATCTCAAGCACAGGTTGTCGCCTGATCGGTTTCCTGCATCCGCACAGACGATTAATGGCAGGACAGCACCAACCTCGTAAATACAGTCTTGGAAGTTTCAGTGAGGTGTCCCGTCAATTAATGCCGCCCCCGCGGGATTAAACCGATGCCGACGAGATAAGCGGCCTTCTCAAAAGCAAGGTACCACGGAGTTTCCCGCAAAGTAGACAGCCCGTAAGCTGATTGTATGATAAGAATGAATATAGCCATATAGCCATATAACCGGTAAGTTGGCTCTACAATAACATAAATATTACCATCGAGCCTGGTCAGGAGACAGGAGACAAGAAACACTTGGGCACTTGGCTGGGCGGCAATACGGGTATCCGGAACCAATTGCTGCCAGAACGGGAGCTGATGTCGAGTCAGGTTGGAGATGTTCTATACTTGCCCCCGCGGGGTGATCGAGATACCGAGGCTGGGTGGGAAAAGGGGCTCATCCCCCATATTTGTGGAGTTGAGGGCATAGAGGATGGAAGGAATCCCCAAGTTGAAGAGCCTAGATGTGCGGGGTGGGTGACTAGAGGGTGCTGCTTTTGAGGTTCCTGGGACTTCACCCTTGTACTACGACAGCGCGACGAAGCACACAGCATTGGTCAATGGCATTTACAGCTGAGCGGAGATGAGACAAACAGCTGCAGCAAAAGATCAAGCCCAAGGCAAACGCTGACCCTTCGGCCTTCATTGCACCGGTACACTCACCGATGTTCTTAAGGGTGATGCTCGTCGCGTGGGGACGAAGCAACGACCTGATGACCTATCGCAGTCTCATCAGTGCGCCGTGTTGGCCGTGCTGGCCGTGCTTCTCTGTCACCCTCGGCGGGCTCGAACAAATTGGTTTTTGCCAACACGTCTCGGGCCTGTCTCTACAAAAAGCCATACCTGGACGACAGTTTGAGGAAACTATTCGAGTTTCCTCGAGCAAAGGCGATCAAGGACTGCTACAACACGAATACTTTTCGCAGGGTGGTTGGGCGGCCGCTCTTTCACCACTTAGTAAATCCCATTTCCCAGCTCACCGATCAACCCGCCACCTGCTGCTGCCACGTTCTGGGCGTGCGGAGAGATCAACATGCATTTCCTGAATGAGGAGAACCTAGGAAACGCCATGCAACTCGCTTCACCCGTTTAGCGCTTGGCCATTTTTTAAGGGTCAGAAGAACCTCCCCCTTATTCTGTTCCGGCGGATCTTTACCCGGGATGATGGTCTCGCCAGCCATTCAGACGGGATAGGCGACGCAGGGACTGCATGGCGAGGCAACACCATCCAGATCAACGGCTGACAACCCCCATGGGCTCGTCGCTGTCTACGCCGATCCGGCATAGAGGTTGAGGAGTGGAAATTGCGGAGCAAGAGATTCAAATACCGACGGAATCCGTGCAAGGGGAAGGACGGGGTCCCGACGCTCCTTCTGGTTCTCTTTTGTGCTTCACTCAAGACTGGGGAGATCTGCCTGATCTGGTTCAACATCTGTCTTTTTTAAAAGACTGCCGTTTACCAAAGACGAAGGGAGGCGTATCACATCATGGCGGGCATCACAACCCTCCCAGAACCCATCGCAATGTCGAAAGAGATGGCTGTTAACACTGAGGGCATCCACGTCGAGAAAGTCTCGGAGCACGAACAACTCGTCGCAAGACTCAACAATCTCGACCCACCAATAACCCCAGAAGAAGTCAAGCGGGTGAGGAGAAAGATCGACCTGCGCCTCCCACCGTTCCTTATGGTTCTGTACATTTTCACTTGGCTTGACCGTGGGGCTTTGGGTAATTTGCTTCCGTGTCACCCCCGTCTATGGCGATACTAACCATTCAAACCAGGTAACGCCGCCCTTATGAATATCAAAACAGACCTCAACCTCTCCGGAGCCCAATACAGTCTCGCCGTGAGCATGTTCTTTGTTGGCACCTGCGTGGCTGATTGTTTTACCAATATTGGGATGCGATATATTCGTCCAAGTCTCTATCTCTCGGGAGCCATGGTAGATCATATCCGACTCGACTCTCGAAAGGGAGCTGAGCTAACCCACTCCCAGATCATCTGGGGTATCATGGCGACACTGCAAGCGGTCGCGGGTGGCGCCTCGGGGTTATATGCCATCAGGTTCTTCCTAGGTATCTTCGAGGCTGCATTTATTTCGGGCGCTCCGTACTTGACAACAGTGGTAAGTATAATATCCCTAGAAAGAATCCTTCCATTCATTAGATCGTCCACCATGTTATTGATATATGCTGACGGCGACCGATAGATGTATCCTCGAGCAGTGAGTCCTTGTCGACGTTCCCAAAATCTTGCGGTAGAGACTGAGTCAATCTAGGAGTGGGGCAAGCGAATCTGCATCTATCTCTCTGCAACACCCATCGCCGGAGCCTTCGGCGGCTGGATAGCGTGGGGCGTGGCTCACATTAGTAGCCATAGCATTGAAAACTGGCAGATCCTGTTCATTCTGGAGGGATTACTAACCATTGTCTTTGGCGTTCTCTGTGTCTGGATCCTACCCGATCGGCCCCACAACACTCGCTGGCTCACCCCTCGGGAACGAGATGTGGCCGATTGGAGGATGATGAATGATGGCAATCGCACACACGGCAAGGTTCACTGGGCTGTCGTCGCCAAACAGCTCAAGGACTGGCGCATGTGGATGAACATTGCCATCTACATGTGTCAGGTCATCTCCACGTACACCATTGCAACATTCACGCCAATAATCGTCAACACAATGGGATTCGACAAGGTCAAGGCTCAGTTGATGGTCGCTCCACCATACTGCGTCGCGTTCGTAATGGTCTTTGTGGTGGGCTATTTCTCGGACCGTTTCAAGTCTTGCTCGGGCATTTTGGTGATCAACTCCATTGTCGCCGCCACCGGCGACCTCATGCTCGTGCTCCTGCCATCAAGATACAATCACGCTCGCTATGGGGCTACTTTCCTGACCCTCACCGGAATCTTATCCGGTGTTACACTCTCAGTCGGTAACATCACGGGTAACTGCTGTGGTGACATCAAAAAGGCCATTGCGGCTGGTCTTTTCCAGGCCTTTGGATCGACCATGGGAGTAGCAACAGGCTACTTGTTCCCAGCGAAGGACGGACCGGAGTATAAGACGGGGTTTTGGGTCTTGTTCGCATGCACCTGTTTTACTGGCATGGGCTCTGCCATTATGACGATCATCAACATCCGTGAAAACAAACGACGGGATGCGCTGACTGGGCCGCCGCCGACAGATCGAGTTATTGACTTTGACGAGGGTGGCTTGATGGAGAAACATCCACATTGGAGGTATTATAGGTGAGCCGGTCAAGGACGAGGGGTTGACCCCAAGGTATACGGACAGCAACTAGACTTGGGCCTGGTCTATGAGAGGGTAAAGGTTGATGACTTGGATATTCATAATGCGGGTCTCCGAATGGATGGTCCTGGCAGCATATTCTCATGTAGAGCCAGTGGTCCTTGCATCTTCGAGAACGTGGACAGAATACCTCTGATGGGATGCGTATCCCGGCAACGAAGGTCTTTGCGTCACTATTAGTGTTCGCTCAAGCCCCCAACTATCTCAACAGCTTCTTGCATAGTAAAGGCGAGAGCCAACATAGACTTTACTATACCCTAAAGGTGTTCCGAGATTTTGGCGTCTTCCTTGTAGCTGTCAAAACCTGCCTCTGATTGCACATTAATCTTTGCGTTCGCTGTGGTATTGAGGATCTGTTCGCTGCCCTGTCTGCTCCTGGTGGACATTGATAAACCTTTGGTCAATTCTTAGGGCATAATTGATGTCGCAATCGTGTTTGTGTTCCGTCAGGCGTGTCCATTCAGTTCGTTCGTTCAACCAACATGGCTCCTTAGCTGGTTGGCAGGGTTCTCGTTCTGGCTCTTCCATACTTAGCAGCAATGACTCTGCCTTCGCCTAGAGTTCATAACTGTAGTATACGAGTATATATCAGGCTCGAGGGTCCATTTGGATGATGATAATCAATAGAATGTTGGAACAGACGTTAGAATCATTTGGAATAAGTGCCAAAAGTCGCAGTGGTGGTATTGCCCCGGGAAAAGGTGTCGCGTGTCCATCAGGCATTCGAATTTGCCCAGAGAAAAGCAAGGTGACTGCGACTCTAAAGGGCCAGTCGACTCCTCTTCCGATTCCGGATCGCTAAGGGTACCAACCTGGAGTACGATCAATGGACCTGCGCCGCCAGTCAGCCGTATCAACAGCGAGTTCCCCAGTATGCTCAAGGCTTCAGAGGGGGCAAAGGACACATTAGACTTCGGCCTGGTGTGGGGGGCTGAAGCAACAAGCAATTCAAGCCGAGCAGCAAAATTCTTGTCTGGACCAACACAATGTTTTGGCACAAAAACACTAATTTAATGGAATACGAGGAATTGCGCTCTCTTCGCCTTTTGGCCGCTCGCCCTCGTCGCGAACGAAACAGGATAATGTTGTCGCCTCATGAAGTACGCGGGGGCTATTGCCTTGCTAGACCGTTCCCTGTCCTTGTCGTGGACTTGGTTCTCGAAATGCAGACCAGACTCCAGATGGCAGAGTGCCACAGCTGCTACTAATAAGTCAGGGGCGGCACAGTGCAGAATCGGGCCATTCGCCATTGGTTCTTTTGCAGCCACAATGGCAGGCTGTGGTCGGGAATCGGTTCGCCCAAGCATTTCTCGCGTTCACTGAAATGGCACCCGTTGAACTCCAGCGTGTCTAAAGGCAGTGGGTGTGTCGTCCTCAGAGTCTAGACCATTCGTATCTGCTGGAGCGGGTGACGCCTTGGCAAGATGCCGTCCGCCTCTGGTGTTATTTAACTCATCTATTTCGCCTCTATGGAACTCAGACATTTTGGAGCGCAGGTACCGGCATGAAGTGGCCATTGAGCCTGATATTTCTCAATTTTACTCGACACCTTTCGCTAAAGTAAATATCAGCTTCATGCTCTAAGCACGTGGGCAGGGCGGCTCTCAAAGACAACAAAGCCTTGCCTGAATAGCGACCAACGAGTCTGCGGAAGACCACTTTTCTTGCCTTTGCATTGGTCTCAGTCGCCTGCATCGTGACGCTTGCTGCACTCTTCTCCTTCTCTTGTGCTCACAATGGTCTTCGAACGGTCGATATACATCTACATTATTTATGGACATATATCCCCACTCTGTTCTTCACCGTCAGCGGAGCATGTTGGTCGAGGGTAGCATACCGCGTCCGCCAGATGCAGCCGTGGCGGATGATCTCGCGAGGCCAGGGATCCATGCTGGAGGTCCTCTTTGTTGACTATGTTACTCCGACCTCATTGGCTTCGTTATCCATAGCGATAAGGGCACCGCACTCGTTGGTAGCCATGGCTCTCCTGGCGTCCATCGTGTTGCAGCTTGTAACAGTCTTGTCCACCGGATTGTTCGGGATCGACTATCTACCACTTCAACAGAACGCTCCCATTCACCTTCTTGACAGCATCACTGGGGTTGCTCACGACTTTTTCCACCATCAGTGCGGGTCCCGACTTGACAATCTACAGCATCGAGAACACAAACCTCAGCTATCCAGAAGGAACTACTTCGCTTTATGCCGTACCTAGACTTTCTTATCCCAGAGGTACGATATACCCATAGTTTAATTTCATTAAACTTGAAAATGAGCTAACCAAGGGTACGGGCAGCATCGAATGCCACCTTGACAGCTCCGATCGAAGTCTTCGCCTCTGATTTGCGATGTGAACTGACGTCGCTTCCTGTTGACAATTTAACTCAGACAACCGTTAGTAGTATCCATTATGGACCTCAGTTTACCTATTCTTTGAGGACGACTGACTGCCTCGTGCGCAACCAAACGGTGATCGGAGGATATTACGTCGACTACAATTATGCCGGGCTGAATTATGTCTTTTCAGACTCTTACGGTAATATCGACACAGTTTCTTGCTCAAGTAATGAATCAGACGTTCGTATACGGATTTCTGCCGGGTTAATCCATTACAATAGTAAGTTTGTTCCGTCCCCTGAACCTTTGCCACACTACAGACACTAGTTCTCTCAACTTGTTCAAACTATACTAGAGAGTGATTTTAATGACGGCTGCAGTTACATGGAATGGAACACAAGAGGATCTGTATCAGAAGAACGAATCTGTTGTATTGCCCTCCTCTTGGAGTGACATATATTCACTTTCAGCTTCGACGAATCTACTTTGCGTACCTCAGTATGGCTTGCAGAAAGCTGAGGTGACTTATGACAGACCAAACCACTGGCACTCGTCAAGTTCAAGTTCACGAACTCGATCCGACATATTTACGATCATTGGAAGGTCTCAAAACTGAACCCTTTCAAACGCAATTCTGGATTCGGTGTCCGCAAGCGGGCTGGTTATCAGCGCCCTATATCCCAACCCAAATGCCAATGTTATCGTTGTCAACGGGCAGAGTGAGTCGGAAGGCGGATATTTGCCAACGAACGCAGACGCTTTTTTCACGACAATGACCCAACGATACCCTCCTGTCAATGGGTCCATCAATTCGACTTGGTTTGATCCAGAATTCTTGCAAAATGCCTCTAGCGAGTTTTTGACCTCTGTGGCTGCTCAGTTTGCTTCCCAGTATCTAAGAAGAGATACCAATAACACTGTTCTTGGAACTGCGGAAGTGATTGAACCGAGATTGGTAGTGCTGTCAGCCGTCTTCTATCCCGTTGACGCATTATTGGGGCTTTTTACCCTTGCCGCCCTCGCACTCGCATGGCCAGCATCCAAAAGCGTTACACCTGTAGATCCAGCTTCCATTGCTGGGACGACTGCCTAGCTCTACTCTGATGGCGAGCTGACTGACCACTTCCGGGGGACAGGATCCTACGCGCTATCGGACCTTCGAAGCTACCTGCTGAGCGACTATCAAGCTAAAAAGCGAATAGACTCTTGTCGGCCACACAACTTGGGAAGGAAAGGTAAATTGAGAGATGGCCACAGTGCCGACGGATCGCAATGGTGGCGGCCTTTTGTATTCCGACCTTTCCTTCGCGACATCATCTTGGTCGTCCCCCTTCTTGCAATTGCCGCCTTGGAGGTGACGCTACACATCAGCCAAAAGAACAATGGTCTCGTATCCATAGGTACCAGTCGCCGCGAGGTCTATGCATTCCGGCTGATGCCTGCTGTTGTCTTCTCCGCAGTCCAGATGCTTCTGCAGACGGTGGCCTTCAATGTCAGCCTGTTGACCCCCCTGTCGACCCTGCGAAGGGGACCTTGCGCGGCTCGCTTCGGTCTTCTTGACAATCCTTTGACTCGATTTCCACTCCAGAATCTGTGGACTTTCTCTGGGAAAGAGACAAGTCTCCCTCTTCAGCTCTATCGTTATGACAACTTCAGCATTTTTCTTGGTCACAGTCTCAAGTGGTCTGTTTGTCACGGGGGAATTTACACAGCCCTCAAACCTCACCCAACTATCCTGGTTCCAACCCCCCTTCGAAAATGACGATTCTACCATCCAGCGGGTGGCTGGTGGCTACAACCTGACCGAACCGCTCCACTACTCGCAAGACGATGGAGAGGTGACTGCGCACCTTATTGGCAATGGTATCATCGAATTGAATTTGTCTTACCCAGCCTGGACATCTGGAGAACTAGCATTCCCACTACTCACCCTTGCCGATACCTCAACAGCACATGCGATTCGCGCTGCCTCCGTTTCGGCCGACGTTCCTGCCATTCGAGCAGCCGTGCACTGCGATGTGCTCACGGAAGATGAGGTGAGTATTTCGTACCTGACCCGGTGGGACGACAACCTTGGAAAGAATTTTACTTTTCAACTTGCGACCGTCGAGAGCCCACTACTGCCTCAGTTCAAAGTTGTCCGGATGCCAATGACTTCAAACTCCAAGCTTATCTACCCGGTCGCCTCAGCACTAGCGAGGGAGGCAGCGTAGCGCCTCGACCATGCTCTTCGACCGGCATTTACTGCTCAAACATTGCCGGCATCTATGGCTACGCGACGGACGAGGCCTTTGTCAACTATTCCGTCGTCTCATGCAGGGTGTCGTATGAACAAGTCTCCACCACGGCAACTTTCGAACTCCCCAGCTATGTTATCTCCAAGGATGCACCGCCAGCGGTCGACGAAACTCAAACCAAGCCCCTCAACAGCAGCGACGTCAACAACTTGTTGAATTCTGTGGGCTATTTTGCCGCGTTCTACAACACCTCTATCGCGACATTCAATGGATGCTCGACGATGGATTCGGTAACTACTCCGTTGATATATGGGAAAGATGGGGCACCAATCGAACAGCTCTTCCAGAAGCCCCCGACGAGCGTCTCATACCAAGCCTGAGGCATATGATCCGAGTCATGGCCGCGCAGTACATGTGTTACTTCTACCGCACGGCCAACTCAAGCATGCCACTGGTAGGCTCGACCATTCCTGCAACGTTGCAGATGGGACCGGATTTCCGTCTGAAGCAGAACGGCACCTCGACCCCAGTGTTGGATGTGCTGCTGGTGGTTTTGTGGCCTTTTGCCATGATAACGATCTTCGCCTTCCGAAGTCGCGACATTGCCAAGGCCCAACCGGGGACTCTAGCAGCGGCTCTGGCTCTCGTCGCTGACAGCGAGTTTGTCCACACCATACAGACCCGCGTCCAGAGTGACCCTGGCGCAGGGGGCACAGAGAGGGACAGTTCTCTCTGAAAATCCATCCATTCCGTCCAAGTGGACCAGGAATTGCTCTCGGAAGGGTCCCTGTCCAGTCTTGGGTGGTGGAGAGACACGACTGGGCCACAGCCAACGTCCACATCATCAAGCACATAAACAGCAACTACAACGACGACATCGTCATTACTGGAAAACCAGAATGCAAGCACCCGACGCCGTTGGGGACATTGATATAGGCCGGTCAGAATAACGTAGCCTGGCTCTCGACACGGTAGACAGGACGTTGAGCAACTTAGTAGTCCGGAAAAATGTTGCTTCAAGTGTCAGCTCTCTTCGACTCTCTTTCGGTAGAGCGACTTGCAGGTCAACAATTTTGTCATCGGAATGGCGAGGCTTTGAGGTTTATTTTGTTGGCGTTGCTAGCCTAATTAGGCTAGGCTGGATATGTCTGCGCATTTCCGTAACCTGTCACTCTACCTCCTACTTGCACTCTCGTTGTCGCTCCAGGTAGAGTTTCTGATTCAATCCATCAATCCATCAATTAACCCATTCCTGACTCTTAGATCGGCTCAGCATGGCCAGCTTCTAGGCTGTCAAAGCCCACGAGGGTCTTCTGTCGATCGAGAACCTGCCGCATTAATGACAGGGCAATTCTCTCCCGGGCCGGAGCCCAAATGAAAGCCCTGCGCCAGGAAAAGGCTGCAGTTTGCGTGTGCGTCTGGTTTGTTTAGCTTACTAGATGTTATGCTCCAGGGATAGACATGACATTGTGCAGTGAGCGACTCCGGGCAAGTTGCTAGTAGGATGTATCGCTTGAGAAGTTGCCCAATGCTCAGCCTCGCCGAATTTGGATACCGGCTGCCTAACCCTCGACTCCAGCTCCCATTAGCAATATATATTGCACTTTCATTCCATCAGAGATACACCTACGATATGTATGGAAAGCAGCAGTACCAGACCACGCCATGCAACAAATGGCCCGCGCTGATGCCACCGACAGGTTCACATTCCCAGCACTTCCCACCGCCTCTTCAATTCGTCTATTCAAGTTGTCTCAACACACCGCGCTTGGCGGAGTCACCAAGTTGATATCCGAAGTGTCCGACCATGAGCTGCACACTGCGCCGGAATGTACGGCTTTGTCCTACAGATTGGGACAGTGACAAGCTGATCCGCGGCTTTACCTTGAACGCGAAATGCAAATCCATTCAAAGGCGCGCGACGTCGTGGTGTCGCTCGGGCCACATCCACACATCGAACATTATCTCGAAATCCTCGGGCACTTCGAACAGCCGGACCGCCTAGAAGGGAAGGCGAGGAGGCGGGACATACAACCGGGGATCACGGCGTGCGCGAGATTCTGAACTTGAAATACTGGCGGCGCGCTTGGATTGTACAGGAGGTGACGTTGGGCAAGAAGGCACGCTTGAGAGCCGCAGAGCCGAATCTGATCATGAAGAATTTTTGCCCTTGTGCAAGAAGTCTCACTTGCCCTTGTCGCACGGCCGCCTGCGCTTAGTGCAGCGTGATACTCGAGTTGGGTCCGCTTGGGCTTTACTGAACTTGATCTCTTTGTACAAGTCGTCAGGCAATTCCTTTGACATGGCGGAGTGGCTTTGAGAGTTGCTAGGTATGCGGTGCAAGGATTCCAGAGATAGAATCTACAGCCTCCGGGGACCACTTGGTTCGTGTCGCGGATATGATCAGATCAAACCACCGATTAAGACAGTCGATTATTCCAAGCCCGCGGAGGCGGAGATTTTGGAATGTGCTTTCCTGCTTCTGGCGAGCCTTCCTCTTCGCACAGACGTCGAGGATGATTTCAGCGGCATCCGGCCCATCTACGACTTGTTGTCCCCGTCGCCCGCAAGAGGTGTGCCATCGCTGCAAAAATTCTCGCTCGACCCGTCAGTCCCGATCCAACCTAAGGTCTGGACAGCCTGCCTGTTTCACGAAGTGACCTGCTTCCAGCTGGCCATGGTCGAAGCGCACGATTTTCTCGAATTCACGGCGACTTTTGAGCAGAATGACATCTTCACCCTCAAGAAGAAGCTCGCTCAGTCGTTCGCGACTCTCGGCTCTCTTCTGGCTCTCGCCATCTGCGCAGTCCCAGGCGGGCTCGCTTGCAAATACGCCCAGGCAGCTTGTGGTCAAAAATCTACGTCGAGCTCTCAGCAAGCCTGTAAAACCCGGGGATGGACGGTCATATTCTCTTGTACCCGGCAATGGTCACATCTCAGTGTCGGTCTCTAGGGAGTCACCGCATAGTGTTGTGCTTTGGATCGACGCCGAAGCCACAGACAGCCATCACTATGTACTTCCGCGAAATATAGATGAGTCTGGTAAGACTGAACTGCAGCACATCGAACTCGACCACTGGTGGTTTGTAGCTCGACGATACGCGGAGAACAGAGGCGATTGGCGGCTGTATCCCGTGCTCCTTCCCGGAACCATATGCCCTTATTCACATCAGTGGACCGCGGAGACTGGTTGAGGCTTTTGTCTCTGGTAGTTCGCTGGACGCCAAGCCGGAGTCTCTAGAAATCCTTGAGATGTCACTCATGGTGTCTTAGACTCCAAATCCGTTTGACCCGGTCGTTCAGATACACCCGGCGGAACCTTTACACTGCATGTTGGTAATGGTTCCAGCCGGTTGCTATCGACGTCGAAAAGTTCGCCTTTGTCCTCTCGGGTTTGGTCTACGTGCGGATATATGAGCATATTAAGTCGACCCTATTATCCTAAGAGATGTCTTTTTCGAATGGATTCTTCGACGGTATTATTTACCGGTGTGTCGTATCCCATCTCACCTTCGACCTCATATTCTCTCTGAATCAAAGATTTTACAGGTTTAATGTGGATATATTCACAAGCCTCTGAGAGACATGAGTCTGAATTGTTTGTCGATCAATATGGCTCTAGATCAACCACTGCTAACGGGACTAGACCATAATCAAGACGTAATGGCGAACCCACTCTTTCTCCCACGAGCACAGTTGAAGTTTATTATCCTCTCTTGGCCAGATTGGAGAAGCCTTCGTCATGAGGAGCAGGAGGAGCAACCTCGGTCGTTAGGCACAACACCCTCCATCCTACATATCTTTCCACGTTCGTCCCCTCTTCTGTGGCCGAGGGTCTCTCTCTCACTCTCTCACACGGGGAGACTGATACGTCCATTTTTCGCTGTTCCATGATGGCTGCAACAAAGTCTCAGATTGTCCAGTCTAAGGGCATTTTCCACGGTCTTCCAACCTATCCTAAAGATTCCACAGAGAATGCGGATCTCACGGCGATCGTCACTGGGGCCACGGGCATTTCGGGCTATCACATGCTGAAAGTGCTGGCTGCTGCCCCTGAGCGATGGTCCAAGATCTATACTCTATCGCGACGCCCTCCCCCGGACTACTTCTTCGCTGATCTAGGCGATGGGGCTGCGCGTGTTGAGCACGTAGAGGCTGATTTCCAGGCCGGCCCGGAGGCGCTTGCACAAATGCTGAAAGCGAAGATTGGGAAGGTGTGAGTGAAGAATCAAGATGCTCCTTGGTCCCTGGAGAAGAACGAGAAGTCGCTCCGCTAACCAAAGGTTTTGAGATAGCGATCATGTCTTTTTCTTTTCTTACATGCAGCCGGCGCAGAAGGGAGATATTTTAGGCATGTGGTCCAACGCCGATGAGTTGACCAGAGTCAACAGTATGGTTCCTAGAACGACTTTTGCAGCATGAGACTTCGTTTCTTTTTCCAGAGCTAAGATGTTCTCGACACAGCCGACTTGTTGGTCAATTTCCTGGGGGCGTTGAAGCTCTCAGGGTTGAAGCCCAAGAGATTCCTCCTCCAGACTGGAGCCAAAAATTACGGATTCCACATCGGTCCGGCAACGAGCCCGTCGTTCGAAAGCGATCCCCGGGTCACGCTCGAAAGCAATTTCTACTACCCGCAGGAGGACCACCTGGCGGAATATTGCAGAGAGACCGGGGCTCAGTGGAACGTGGTGCGCCCGTCATACATCATCGGCGCGGTGCGCGACAATCTGCTAAACCACATGGTCGGCCTCGGCGTGTACGCATCCATCCAAGCACATCTCAAACAACCCGTCGCATTTCCAGGCGACTACATCGCTTGGGACAGAGAGTACTGTCAAAGCACAGCCCTCCTGAACGCCTATCTTGAAGAATGGGCTGTCCTCAATCCCCAGGCCGGGAATGAGGCGTTCAACGCCCAAGACGGACTCCCTTTCACCTGGGGAAGATTCTGGGCCTACCTGGGAGATTGGTACGGGACTACTTGGACGCCTCCCGAGACCGACCCCGCCAAATACAGGGCGTTCGAGTCTCGCTGGGAGGAAACACCACGGGGGTAAAGTCAAATTCCTAATGGATCCTTCCTTTTTCCCTTTATACTCGCTCTGACACAAACGTCAATCCACAGATACGGCCCCCGGGGCGTGACCTACTCCACGTTCAGCCTGCTAGAGTGGTCCGAGCGCGCAGACGTCCAGGAGGCGTGGAAGGAGCTCGTCCAGCGGCACGGCCTCCTCCTCGACCCGTTCACGGACGCCGGCAGGAGGGCCCAGATCTTCGGCATGAGCGACTCCGCAATCATCGGCGGCTGGGCGCTCTCGCTCAGCATGAGGAAAGCTCGGAAAATGGGCTTCCACGGTACCGTCGACTCATACGAATCGGCTTTCCACACCCTCCACGATCTGGCCAGGCTCAAGGTCTTGCCGCCTCCGGCGGCTGCGACATATACGGACTGAGCTGAGTCGTGTTTTATCAGGTTCAAGGAAAAAAGTTCGCGAACCTATAGTAATTAGTCGACTATTTGATGGCGCTCGAATATTTTGTGCGGCTTTAAAGCCTCCTTGGATGATTTTTCCACCCGGGCTCCTCGCTGTTGCGATGTGAGCACGGAGTGCTTTCAGCTTGTTCGAGTCGATTATCTGCTGTTTTATAGAAACATTGACAACGATGAAAATTCTGCACATCTACCGCGACGCCGAATGCTTCGCGAATGGAGACATCGGTTGACAGCCAAGACCGTACCTGCCCAAGGGGACATTCGATATCCATCTACCCCTTGTAGCCCCGACAGGTTTTAACCCACTCACATCCCGCGAATCTCGACCAGTTCGTGCGCCCATCGCGCATGTAGTTGTGGAAAATCACCCATCGCTTGCCTCGAAAAATTCGCCAATGTGCCAAGGAGAGACGTCATTCAATAAACAGTGTCTGGGTGTGCACGGAGCAGGCATTTCTGCAACTGCCTACTGGTTAGTCTATGGACAAGGGGGGCTGAAACTGAAATTGACTGACGTGCCGGTCTCAGCCCAAGCCTCGTGGCGAGGTGTCGTGCTAGCCAGCACCTGGTTCAAAGAGCTAGGTATCACAAGAAAGTACAGGTACTGCACTTACCGAGATTGAAACACTCGGTCACAGATGCCTACCTACTTAGAGAATGTTGTATCAATTTGAGAGGCAGCGTGACTCTCGCCGACTTTTTGCTCGGGGGAACGGACGAAGGGTAGAAGTAACTCTGTAAGTTTCAGGCCTGTACCATTTGATACGGATGCATTTGTTTCGGACTGGCGCCCTGTTCAGCGTCGTCCAACATAGCTTCCTGACGCCTCCGTGCAAGGTGAGACTCACTTGGATCATTTTCATCTAACCCCAAAATGCCGCCAAGATATGTCTTGTCTCCCACCTTGATTTTCTCAACGCCATGAGCCATCCCCCCTTTGATCTTTTTGAGCCCCGACGAATTTCATCTCCATCCAACCCAATGCAAACCAAGTATTTCTTCTTTGGCGGAATTATTGCTACATGGCACACTCATGGATGCCTCCGGGACCCAACTCATTATACTCACTCCGGCTCAAGAAGCCCTTGCTGTTACCCTGGTCCACAATAAAGACCACTTTGGCTGCCACTTGAGCTCCCAAGAAACCAGCTTCTTCCATGCCCGACATGGCCGGATTTTTCCACTCCGGGAAATATTCGGGCGGCTTGACGAGTTTTATGGAGATTGGGGACTGAGAGAACCCTCTATGTTGGTGGGAGAGGGTGGACATGGGGTTGCTGGGATCTGCGGAGGGCGTTCCTCCCAGAGAAGGGTTCACACCAGGGACTTGAAGGTGTTGGGACTGCGTGTTAGGCTGCATCATGTTCTTGGTTGCAGCGACAAGAAGAGGGTTGACGCCGCCGCCTGGGTGGTGGAAGGGGTGGTTTCCCTGGCCGGGGATGGGTGTGTTTGTCCCAGGCGTGGCGACCGGAGTTGTGAAATTTGAGGGAAGCTCGGAGGTGAAGATCGTGGCGGTTGACGGAGACAGGATATATCGTGAGTTGAGAACGGAGAGAAGGTTTGTTGTAAAGCCTGTTTAATAGAAAGGAAATGGTGGGTTAGCAGTAGGAGCTTCTGTCAAGACACAATCAAACATACCTCTGATTCGACTTCCATTACCAAGTACGATCAGATTGTCCCAGAGAGTTGCCCGTTGGGGGATATCGGGAACGCTCAAGATGGTATGATGGATCGCCTCCGCGATTATGTCGACGATTCCATCGCATGCTCCTGGCGGCGGAGTTACTGCCATGAATCGTTCCACTCCAACTTCAATTTCTCGCTTTCGTTTTCGACTGATGGGTTGATCAGCATCGTTCGACTCACCGACAGGGACGAAGTCCACGTAGGTAAAAGTAGCTCGTTCTCGTTCTGAATTGCGTAGTCGGATTTGTCTGGCAGCTTCAGCAGCGCCACCTCTCTTCGCCGCGGCCTTTTCGGCCTTCTCCCGTTCGCGCTTTGCAAGTACTTCGGCGGCGTTGTCGCGGGCAACGATGGCAGCGACGTCGAGGACGCCCTCATTATCCTCGTCATCGCCATTAGGACCCTCTTCCCCCACCACGGTCCCCATTCCCGGCCCTCGGGGTACCTGACCTGGTCTTAATCCCTCGCCGTCCTTCGCATTCATCCCAGAGTCCAACGCCCCTGTAGATGTAGCCGCAGCTGAGTTAACAGCAGTGGCGGCTGTGCCGCTAAAAGAAGACCTTGGATAAGGAATTCCCGCTGGCAAAATCTCGCAAATGGGACTCTTTTTCAACTGCTCCGCCATGTCCTCGTCAAACCCCTGGCTCTCCAGCGCCTGTTGCAGCCGCTTGGTCATCGCTCGACCACCACATCCGGAAAGGGCGATGCCCCTCCCAATATCATTAACCTGAAACTCGGTGACCGCACTGACATCACATTTCTCATGCCCGATATCCAACACCAACGCAGTCGGCACACCATATGCATAACATGCCGTTAATGCGGCATCCATCAGACAAAATGCTGGGATCTTCCAGTGTTCAAAGACATACTGGGTTATCATTTCGTGATCTCGTGCGGTCCAACAGGGTTGTGCCACGAAAAGGACCGGCATATGGAAGGGAGGAGAGATCATGTTATAGATGTGCGAAAGGAGGGCAAAGAAACAGGACCAGTTTTCAATGTGCCCTTCTTTGATCGGGTAGACAGCGCCTTCGGTGGACCAGTGGTCGTCTTCGAATGTCTCTGTGGTTTCATCCTCAACGGCGGCAGCGGCTTCTCCTTCTCCTTCTTCTTCCTCTTCTTCTTCTCCTTCTTCTTGTTGTTGGGTGGTTGTTTGTGCTTCCTGCTCTGGCGGCGGAACCATTTCGGCATCCTGGGTTTCGGGTTTTGTGGGTTCTTCGGCTGGAGGGGCCTCTTTCATCTCAACATCTTCTGACGAAGCAGGCTGATCTTTTCGCTCTTCGCCTTTAGGTTGCTCTTCAGCGGATTCTTCAGCCTTGGGTTGTGGCCCTTCCCTCGACTGCTCCGTCTTGAGTATTTCGCCGTTTGTTTGCTCGGACTTGGCCTCCTCGCCGTTTACTTGCCCGCCACTAGCTTGTTTAGTTTCCTCCTCCTTGCCATTCGTGATAGGAACATCCGGTTTGGAATCGACTTCAATCGGTTCTGGATCGGGAGGCGTAGGGGCTGGCGCGGGCTCTGCTTCGACCACTTTCGGCTTCGTTGAAATCTTCGTCCTGATTTTGACGGGCTCCCATTCTCCAGGATTCGCGCCCGGGAACATGCGCGTGGGAAAGCGATACCTCGGCGGCGTAAAGGACTCGGGCAGCCCAAGTTGTGCAGCAGTGATTTGCGAACCGGGCGCAATGATCTAGGAGTGGGTTAGCGAAGGCGGCTCTTGGGCATTGCTCTGTGCGTCCGGTAGTGAAGCTTACGAGCACATGCTCATCTTTGAAAGGAGGCATCGCGGAGGTCGCGCGGTCACAGTTCTCTCTCCTTGTTAACTTGGCTGGCGCGGCTGATCGTAACTTTCAAGGGACATTTTCTGTCGCGCCGCGAAACCGCAACTGCGACGCGAGGCTTTGCCAAGACATTTCGCATGCTACGGCGGAGGATTCAGCGGTACCCGCAACAAGGCCTCAAAATGGTAGAAGACGGACCCAGCCTCGAGGAACGGACCACTGCATCAGATTTAGTGTGGGAACATAACTGAATCATCGTGAAAGGCTTTTAGTAGATTTCATCTATGGAAGTTCGTTATCAATCTCAATGGACCTCCTGTGCTGGCACCCAGCTACTGCTTTCATCCCTGGTAATCGTACAGTTGGAACTCGCCCCTTGCCATAGTTGTGAATTTCTGGCAACGGCCCTATAATCAACGCCGGCCATGACCTTGAACTCCGAAACTCCCTTCTCCACAGCAGCACCATTCTTGTCCATCCAAACTCGACGACGGATTTTTCGATGCTCCCTCTCCAACCTCAAAATGACCCACTTAATCGTCATCAGACTCGACCATGTCCACCGACGATCAGCATCTTCCGCAAAACCCTCCTCGCTAACCACTTGCTGCAAAGCCCGGTCTGTCGCTGCCAGTAAGAGGCGCGCCATGTGTGGGCTGCAAGCGAGTAGTCGGCTCAGAAGCTTCATGCGAAAGACCGCTGGCCTGGTCGGTGTCGAAGGCATCGAAATCAAAGAATGAATTAGGGGGAAGTTGGTCAGGATGGAGAAGAAATCCTGTTCCGTCGAGGTCATTGACAATCGCTGCGCCAAAATCCGGAAAAGATTGCACATCGGCAAGAGCGTTGTCGTCGAGAAGGAGTGAAATATTGTCAAGGTCTGGAAGACCTGAAGCAGGTAGCTGATCCCAAGGTTGTGTTTCGGCGTCGATGGGAAGACTGGCAAGCTCATAACCCAGGTCTCCGGCTGACACTGCAGGTCACACAATACCACAGCAGGATATTGTGCCATACCGGAGACGGTGGGGAAGCTTGACAGCGCTGCCATCGAGTCGGAAGCGGTCTGTTCAACTTCGGGATGTTCGTGGATGAGATTGAGTTGAGGAGCGAGAACCGGGGATTCGTGTTTCAAAGGAGTCGAATCCTCAGATTGAACCAAGGTTGGATGATTAGACTCGGCATCCGAACAGTCGTTGAATGAAGACGGGGTGAAAGGTGGCTGATTGGAAGTTGCATACAACTCTGGGGCCGGTGTTGCATCCCCTGCATCATCGAGATCCATCTTAGGGGTTTCGACAGGGACAGGTAAAGGAAAATCTGCTTGGACACCAAATCTCGACTGGTAGCGAGAGAGGAGGTCGCGGAGAGCGGCATTCTCTTTCTCAATCCGGACCTGTCTGGCCTCAAGCTCTGCGACAGCAGCCTTCTGTCGCTGTCGAGACTTGTCGGCTGCCCTGCGGTTTCTGAGGATTCTCTCGTTCTTTCTCTGTTCCTTCTCCTCCGCCGTCTTGGCTCGTTTTCGAGGTGGGAGGATCTGTTTGATTTCGGGAACAGGCTGTCCCCAGGCCTTCCTCTTCTTCTTTGGGGGTTGGTCTGGGGGGGTTTGGCTGGCCTCTTTGCTATCGTCTGACAACGGAGGTGGCGTTGGGTAGCTGTGACTGTAGCCCGCTACAGTGAGTGAGGCAGGGTCGACAATATCTGTCGGACCAGTCATGGTGGTATGATAGGCGGGAGGGTTGCGCTAATGACGGCAGGAGGAATGATTAAGGTAGAAGGCAAGTTGGGTGTTGAGGGGATTAAGGTGTGCGTTTATTACGGTGAGGCCCAAAAGACCACGTATCCTCAATGCGGACTCATGGTTGCTCAGGCCGAGCCGTGCCAGTATAAAGTGGAGTGAACCATCAAAGAGAGATTAACCAAGGAAACTCGTTCAGAGAAGAAAACGTGAAGAGATTTGGTGATAAAGTCGAGATGAGTTGAGAGACGGAAGAACAGGCACCTGGAATTAAATAAGGCCAGAGTGTCAATTCAGGCGATGCAGGGGGTGCGCAGGGTGCGCAGGGGTGCGGTCACCCAAATATCCACATGCACATGTACACCGCAGACTTCAAGACCAGACTTCACCAAGGGGGTTTCGGGTCCAACTCTCTAGACGAGCCAGACGAGCCAGTCGCATCACCGCTTCTCACTCATGATCCTATTTCTGCCCTCCACTCGTATCCCGGACTGCGTCCTACTGTCGCCATCATCCCCATCATCCCGCCCTTGAACGCAACCCTGCACCACACCCCCTTGGCGCGATCAACGTCAATATCGCCTCCCACACCAGTTCCTCCACCCTCAGCTCAGCCTCAGACTCGTCAGCCGCACTCGTTTGTCCCACTCCTATGCTTGATGTACATGCGATCATACTGTTTTGGTCTATTGGTGCCTTTAGGAGACACACAGCTTGTTCCAGATGTACGCAGGAGGAAGCTGTCAATTGCTGTCCAGACGCAGGGGAAGTTCTCCACACCATTCAAAGGGTTATCAAGAGACAGCACGGAGACAGAAAGAAGCCAGAAAGTTGCTTGCCCTCAGCATATCCCTATGAGGCAATCTTCTACTGCCGCAACGGTCGGCATTGCCATAGCGAGAGTGCTGACTGCAGCTCTTCGCTCCCCGTATAATCTCTTTAATCTGACTCCTTGCAGACGTCTTCCTAGGCCTCGGACTGCACGTTACCAATCACGAAGTCGAAAAGTGTCTTAAGATGCTCTTGTTGATGTGTTTGTCATGCCGTTGCTATTTCCTCTCCTCTACCTTAAAGGCTGATGCGGAAATGGGGTATCTCTGTAATCGACTTTTGCCCTTCCCTGACCGCAGTCAATCATGATTTGCCTTTCCGTTACAACACCAGCCCGATATTTGCCTCCTTTTTATTCCAGTCGTGAGCATGCCGTATCCTTCCTAAATGGGACAGCACTTGTCATTACATGCATGATGCATTTCACCATCGATGTTCGCTGCCCGGTATGGCCATGCCATTCATTGCTCTGTACACATCACCGCCAGGTGAGATGTTTCCAAGAATCTTCTTCCAAGAATCACAGTGAAGACTATATCAGTTGTGTTGAAGACTAACAGGCGCATTCAAGACCCGCTTCTTCATCCACTCCGTGTCCTCGTAAAGCTTCTCCTGGTAGATCTCGTCCACAAGGTCATTGACCATGTCCTCGACGATTTGTTCTTGATACCGCTCACCAATCGGGCGAGCGTTGGGGTGCGCAGGACCATCCTTCCCGTATCCATACCACCAGGGTCCATCGAACTTGCACTCGATTGCTCCACCAGTGTAGTGACTGATCGCGGGGTAGTAACCTAGCAAGCCGTCGTCTACGTCGCCGTGCCCTCCGGTGACGGCTCTGCTGCCCTTTTCAATGTAAGATGCCGGCGGCAGGAATGCAAAGAGGTGTTCCCAGACCATGCCATGGTATTTCCCATTCACCCAGAGTTCAATCTTGCTGCCGGGTAGGGTGCGCAAGTGAGGCAAGTCGTGGTTAGGATGAGGATCAGTCAGGAGGTCGTATTTCTTGCCAGTCTCCGGGTTGATGGATTTGTTCTTCGAATTCAGCGTGGGTCGGCTGAGGTCGTGGTTGGGGGTGTACTCTGGACATTCGAAGTAAGTCATGCCCTTGTGGAGAAATGGATTGCGATCGCGGATGATGTCGTGATCGGAAGGCGCAGTGCATCCCAACATTGGAGTTACGGCGGAGCGGATGGCAGCTCGAGAAGTGTTTGGTTTCTTTACAGTCTCGTCCTTGCTCTTAGCAACTTCGCCTTCCTTGGGTTTTGGACCGCCCTTAGCAGCCTTCTTCCCGCCGCCTTGCTTCTTCTTCATGACCGCCGGACCGCATTTGAGACCTGGGTACTCCGACGGGTTGAATTTACCCTCGACCACTTTCTTGTGTACCTCCAGCGACGGCAGCGTGATCATCAGACCGACCACGTCGCCAGGAGACAGGTCGTCGAGATCTCGCGCACCTTCACCTTGCATATGATACATCTGGGTATTGAACCGCACACTGCCATATTCTTTGGATCTCCCACTCCTCAGGATAACCGCATACGAATAGGCATTGCCGCCCAAATTCTCGCTCCAATGGTGTTCGCGTCTGCAGAAACCCACCCTCAGACCCCCTCGACTCGTTGACGTTCTATCCGTGTTTTGGGTCTCTGCCAGCGCGCGGTCTGGGGCTTCTCGACCTGGAGGAGCAATGCTGATGACTTTAGCTTCGAAGAAGAATTGTCCCTCCCTGGCGAAGACATTGGCTCTCGTAGTATAGCTACCGAACTCCCCACTCTTGCCTAACATGTCCTTGGTGAAGACATTCCTGATGTTCTCGACGCCACATTGAGGGTGATTCTCATCGCTTAGGCGCGCATAGCGTGGAGGAGCTTCGTCAGCGTGGAAGTAGAAAGTAGTAGGATCTCGCTTTGCGCGTATATAGTAGCGTTTCTCTTTGCTCTCAACGCTGTTTCTCAAGGTTAGCAATCTGCTCATTTTGCGCAGGGAGATGGGCGGGATCTTACTGCGTCCCTAGAGAGTAGAAGTCAATCTTGTCGCCATTCGGGCCGATCTTAGAGTGGTCGTAAAACTTCTGAACTTCCTTCTGGTCTTGGAGGAATTTGGGGTCGTTAGGTGCAATGTAAGTGGGAAGTGTAACAGGTTTCTCGTCCTCGATCCGGTCGATCTTGGCCGAAACTTGTTCCTTGAGCTTCTCGCTCGGTTTTTTCTCCCGATGGCCACGGCCTGAAGACTCGTCCATGCCGGGCTCGAGCTGAGGTCCAGGCTCTGGTTCAGGCTGAGGCTTGGGCTTGGGCTTTGCTTTCTGGTTGGGAGAGGGACGGGTTTTGGGGACCTTGTCGCGTGTCGGCATTGTCGATTTCGTGTCCAGCGAATGTACTTGCAGAACGGATAAACTTCGGGACGAGGTTTTGCCGGCCGAGGGATCTGTGAGAACTTTAAAAGGGATCAAGAAGGGATCAAGAAGCACTGAGTAGGGTTGAACAAGTTGAATAAGGGCTTCTTGGCGCTTCCAGTGCGATATTCACTTTGTCCAACTCACTTGATTAACTTCTGCGCAGTTTGCGGGGACAGCGACAGACAAAGTCACTAATTTTCAGGTAGTGCTAATAGAGTCTCCCCTGGCCCGTATCTCCATTGTCTTGTCAGCTCCCTTTGAGCCACCCTCTAAGAAAGCGATAGGCGGCCAGCACATCTCCAACAGGACCAGTATCCCGTGCCAGTCCAATGAAACTCAAGAACCACCCTTCCACAATCCACCGGGCGACGAACCCAGAAATGGCCAAGCCAGTAGCAATCACGTATCCACAGTTGAGCAAAATCAGCAACGCTTCGATGTTGTTGAGAAGAACGGCCCAGCCCACGTAGTTTGTGGCTCGAAAAGCAAACCCAAATGAATCGCTCTCCTTTGTTTCTGTTGGCCAGATGACCAACAAGATGGGAAACAACTTGGTGCAGCTGGAGACTAACAGGGCAGTGCTGATGGCGCTGGGACTCGCGTGACTGGTTGCAATGGTCGAAGGCGCGTCGGTTGTCGAGCAGGAGGCCGTGGTGGGCGTTGCATCTTCAAGGGCTTGCTCTCGCTTTTTCTGGTGGGACACCAGTATCCGAACCAGTGCGCGAATGATGCCGTGCTGAGCAAACGTCGCCAGGACATTCATAGTCAAGAAGAAAAGATATTGTGCTAGAATGGGCATGTCGCTGAGCCGCGATCCCACAGCAGGCCCACCGTTTGCTGCATTTGATTTTTCAATTCTTGCCCAGGTAATATAGACATCGAAGAGGACAAGCAATGTGCCCAGGCGCAAGATGCTAGGATCGAACTTGTCATCGGAACGCCCCAGCCTGTTGAAAAGAAGATGGCGATACACCTGTCCTCAAGTCAAACGAGGCCGGAGAGACAAAGACCAGCCACTCACCTGCGGTTTTATCAATACCAGGTCGATGAACAGGACGACAAAGTCATGTTCGACATATTTGTCGGCGAATCGTTTGCAATTTGGGCATTGTGTCAGGCGAACGCCTTTGCCGAGGGTCCTATCATCCGCCTTGCTGTAAACGGTGTATAGCTCCTTGACTGGAGTACTACATGTAATGCATATGGGCATGCCGGCCTTGGTTGTCATTAAGGGAAATTCTGGAAGTATTGCATCAAGGGGGGAAATTATACAGTACAAAGAGAGAAGTGGATCAATGTGGCTTGGCAAGGCTCCAGGCTTCCATGAATCCAACGGGCAACTTTGCCGCGCAGCGAGCGAAAATCATAAATGAGCCTCATCATTTTTCACTCACTTTCAGTCAACAACCTTGGTCGTCTACCTTCCAGAGTCCAAGATATTTTCGCACAATGTTCTTGATGCGGCTTAGAGGTGTCTGCCATCTGCAATTCTCCCATACCCCAACCATGATTCACAGCGAAGCGAGCAACAGCAATTCCACTTGGGTTCCAACAGGTTCACCCGCGAAACTGCCTCGAATGATTGGTTCGAAAAATGTTCCTTTTTGGGTATAGACGAACCCACCGTGCCTGTAACAACAGTGGCGACAAGCAGGGCTCTATTCTCCCTATTCCTCTTTCGGCACATTCCGCGAGAAAGCCTTGAACTCTGGGGGCAGAATGGGAGAGGCTGTGATGGCGCGGGGGGCGAAGCGAGGTATCGTATTTCGCGTTGCAAATATCAGATACACGAGGTAGGTGGTCTGAGAAGAAATATATAAAGTGATTTTTCCACATCCCTTCTTCTCTTCAGCCATCTTGCGTGTTGCGTTTCATGTTCGCTCCTTGATTCAATTACGCATCTCGCCATGGTTTTCATATACACGTACCGCAAAATCAGAGCCTACCGCGCTCGCAAAGCGCTAGAAGCTGAATCTCAAAATCAAACAACATTAACACCAGGCCCAACCTCATTACCCGCAGCAACCAACTCAAAGTCTCCAGCCTATACTCACGAGAAGACAAAACCGTGCCCACAATGTGGTCAAGAAAAGAGCAAAGCCCGCAAATACAGATGGAAACTCCTTTTCTGCCTGCTACCAGCATTCTTCGTTGCCTGCCTTGACTTGACCATTGTTGCGACGGCGCTACCGCAGATCGCTTCTCATTTCGGTCAGTACTATTCATCCCCTGTCAGATTCAGCCTTCTTCTCCCACGCCTGAGACACTGACGGAAAATGCGACAGACAAATTCAACCAGCTAAATTGGATTGTCACCGCATTCACCCTAACATCCACAGCGTTTATTCCTGTCTTTGGCCAACTAGCAGATACATTTGGGCGTCATGCGACGCTGCAATGCGCCGTGATTATCTTAACCATTGGCAGCGTTCTTTGTGCTGCTGCTCCGGACTGGGCCGTCCTTCTCCTCGGTCGTGCACTGCAAGGCATGGGTACTGCGGGAGTCGGGAATGTCAGTATGATTGTTCTAGCGGATTCGGTGTCCCTAAGAGAACAAGCTATCAACACAAGTATCTTCCAATTGTTGAATGGAGTTGGCTACAGTAAGTTTAGTCCCTCTGTCATATTTACAGCTCCAATTTGCACTCCCATGAGATGTATATCGCGTACCTCTTGTAACCTCGCTCTCTTCAGGTGTTGGACCAGTCATAGGCGGGTATCTCACAAACGCAAGCTGGCGGTACTGCTTTGTTCTCTGCGCTGGACTCTCCGTGATAAGCATCTTCACCATGTTTCTTCTGAGAAGCGACCTCAAGGCGGGCAAGGTCTCAGTCTCACATCCTCCACCAAACACCAGCTGTCTGCAAGCGATAGCGGGCGGTCTTTCAACACTCGACTTCGGCGGCATCGTCCTCTTCATCTTCGGAGTTGGCCTCATCATCTTGGGAACAGCCTGGGGTGGTTCAACATACCCGTGGTCGTCCTCGGCCGTTCTCGCCCCGATAATCATCGGCGCCATCCTAGTCCTTCTCTTCCTGCTTTACGAGGCGCTCCTGTCTTCTCCAAACAGCTTTCTCTCGCGCCACTTGCCACGAAACACAGTGCCCATGCTCCCATCCTCGATCCTCTCCTCCAAAGACGTCACTTTAATCTGCTTCATCGCAGCCGGTACCGGCGCCGCTCTCTATAGCGTCTTCTACTTCATCGGCATCTATTTCACCTTAGTCGAAGGGTTCGAGGCTTCCCACGCCGGCACCCAACTCTTGTACTACGTTCCGGGGATCGGAGTCGGAGTGTACGTGGCAATGTTCATCTGCAACGTATACCCGCGGCAGACTTTCCCGCCGCTCCTGCTAGGCACCATCATCGAAAATGCCGGGATCGCAGCGCTCGCCTATGCGGTGAAGGTGAAAGATGAGACGTTGGTCAATGTCATGATGGCGATCGCCGGCGCGGGCACAGGCATGCGCTTCATGCCCTCAAACCTGCACCTGGCGGGCATGTTCCGCGACAGGTTGGCTCCGGTATACTCGATGTTGAGGTTCGCACTGCCGTTTGGCGGGACCCTCGCGCTCACGGTAATGGGCTCCGTGTTCCAGAATCAAATGAGCGAGTACTTTGGCTCCAGCGCGGTCAATCCTAGCACCAACAACGACACCACCAATGGAACGTCCTCGGTGGGATTCAGCCTGCACAACCAAGCTTCCCTCGACCTGATCAACGACCTACCCCCAGCCGAACAGAAAGCGATCCGCTCCCAAGGCGCCACTGCGACAATGTGGGCGTTCATTTCCATCCTGCCGATCCTAGGTCTAAGTCTACTTGCCAGTCTACTCCTAGGCAACGTGTGGATTTCGAAGAAGCATGACAAAAAGACAACGACCACCAAGAACACAACAAGCGAGAAGACAACAACAGCGCTGTCGAGTCATGGTAGTAGTCCCATTGGCGACGCGGAAAAGGCAGATGGTGTCTTTGAGCGTGCTGAAAACGGAGCCGAAGACGGCCTGTGTCGCAGGCACGCTGCCACGCCGAATGGATCTTCTGCCGATGTAAGGGCCCAGGAGCAGAGAAACGAAGTCGAGTTCATCAGCGAGGTGCTCTTGCTCGCGCTGGCAAGGGGCGACGTGCGCAGATTGAAGAGGAAAGGCGTCTCGGAGGAGCAGGAGGACGCAAGGCCATCGTCGACCACCACTCGTATTACTTCACAATCAACCCTGAGGAAGAGAAGCGACGACACAGCTGCAAACGAAGCAGATCTCGGAGGGAGGCAAAATAAATGAATGAATATGATTGTCGTCGGCGAGAGCGAAATAAATGGGTACGCTGACCCAGACGAAGCGACATGCCATTATTTTGAGCGGTTTTTTTGTATACATACCACATATAACACAGCGTGGCGTATGGAAATGGTGAGTTTTTCTTCATGGGCGGCTTGGATCAAAATTTCGTGTGAACGCCACATTTACCTGGACTCGGTTCGACTCAATTCGATTTAACAATGTATTCCGCATATGTCTGGTCATATACTTGCGTGACAAGTAAGCTTCCTGGCGCAATATTGGTCCATGATATTGGTCGCTGGTCCGAAACTGGGCCGAATCGAATGCACATTTTGCGCAGCACTGATCAGTAACGCAGTGCAGGCCTTGGCAAGAGCCAAACCGCCCCCAGAGCCATCTTTATTATACGGGGCAATGCCATCGGCATACACAGTGGAGAAAACGCCATCAACGAAGACATCCTCAGCGCAGAGATCCAGCACACCATCTCTCAACTGGTTTCCAATTTGAGAACCATATTCCAAGATGTGGAGCGTTTTCAGAATCGATATGGGATGATGCAGGTTCAATTAATTGAAGGGCCGGTGTCCCTGTTCAAGAACAGCGTTAAACCCACTATGTCCGGCCTCGCTTTGGTCTGTTTCAACGCCAGAAAAGCTGGAAGATGAAGGTTCGATGGGCAACACGGGACCAGAAGAAGTTTGGCGTGCTTCTAGACGATCTAAAATATCCAATCCAACAACTTCGCGATATAACTCAAGCAGCCGCCGATCTGGACATCTAGCGATCTGCTCTCAAGGCCTAGGTTTCAGCAGTGTCGAATGTTCGGGACCTCGAAATATTAGAGGCAACAATGAAAGACGATCCAGAGAACGCCGGGTTAGCCGGCCAGCGCGTTCAACTGCTGACTGAGGGCTCCGTCTCCAGAACCAACCCGACACTCTTTACGGCATCAGCTTATCACACCGCTCGCACGCACGCATACAGTCATGACTTCAGGTCTGAATTCGGTGCGGCGCACAACCAGTCAGACTCCACAGATTTCCAAGGAATCGACGGTCCATTAGAAAACGCCCTCGGGTCAAACTGGGAATGAAGACATTGACGAGTCCGACTTTGCGTTCAGTCAGCGAAAACAACCTCAAGTCAATCCTAGAAAGGGGATAGGCATCATAGCGGATTCTTTGGGCAACCATTCAGTGTCCGGTAAGTTTCAGCCGTATGAATAGGAACAAAAAGGCCTGTCACATATAACGGTCTTTTTCTGCCTATACGGGCGGCGAATTCTTCATCAGTATACTTACTAATTCCGTTCGGCTTCCCATCGTCGCCACCTAATTGTTACTTGGAGGCCCCGATATGTCATCCAAACGGCTGAGTTGACGGTGAAAATCTTTTGGATCTTATGAGCCACAAAAGGAATCCTTGTATGGGAATTTCATGCGAGTAACAATAGTGGCCGATCAGAATGATTTCATGTATCGGTCTTGTACCATACAATTTCCCGCCCACTGACGGTCAATAGTCTTGGTGGTTATCATCTCTATCCTTGACGAGGCAGGTTGGTCAGCTTGTTGTAGAGAGGATGTATCTTTTTATTGATTCTTGAGACGCCGTCGGCTTCACGGCTGTGTCACGCATTGCTACGCAAAGATGCGCACAGCGAATCGATCCAGCCGGGAAAAGATTCAAGATTACGAACTTAAAACTGGGAAGTCGTTTAGGGAACAGCACATCTCGTGGGCTACTTTAGAGGCCGCTGTGGCTTGGACGTAGCTTAGTACTGATGAACTGGACATCCCTCAGGTCTTGCTTCCACAGCAAGCTTCACAGCTTCTCCCTCCAACAACTCGCAGTTCTACAAGTACTCTCGCACTGCCCAGCACCCCCTATCGACTCTCCAGGCTGAGTTGTCCATGGATTGTTCCCTGACATGCTTGTGTCTACCTACACGAGTCTCGCGAGGGAGGTCTTACGGAATACGAAACAACGGTTGGGCGTCACCGATGCTTCGTCACACGCCGGATTGAAGCGGCCTCGCCCCGGTTCCTGAAAAACGGACGGAGCACAGTTCGGGTGTATATGAAAAATATATGTATACTCAGTACTGGAACTCATTTCGTCCAAGGTCACACTCAATCGGCAATCTTCTTCCCGTCCGCCCAGGTGGGCTTCACCGTGCGACAGACACCTTCGTAGTCGAGAAAAATGCCCGATCTTCGTTGTGGGCCGTTGTCGAAAATGCCCGGCGTGGTCCAAAACATGGTCCAGTTTGTGTCCGGGATCTTCCACGTCCCCCTCGACCGTTCAAAGTACCACTTGTTTACGGGGTTGTCCTTGCGGCTCCGCCAACAGACGCCATTGGGAAAGCAGGTGCGTACCATCGCGTTAAACACAATGTCTGCCACGCCCCCGGCCCCTTGAGATTTCTTGAGGACAGCGAACTTGTCCAGGTACGGGACTAGACGGTCTGTGTCGTCGTCGGAGCAACCTGGCGGGGTTTCCCATGTGAGAATTGCACCGCCCTCATATTCTCCTGCGATAATCACTCCAGCGATTCGATCATTGACACGTTTCAGATACGCCTCCACGTCGAGCTTTCTGTTAAATGAGTCGTCGACAAGGTATGTAAGCTGATCCAAGTCAATTCTAGGGTCGGTCAATTGCAGACGAGGCTTCGACGTGGCGGTCCAGGTTTGTGCCTCTGGATTGGGCAAGATAGTCAGCGGCATACCTCGTTTTACAAAGGTCGAAGTCGTAACCGGGATGGATGCATCTTGTGCCAATCTCCCAGTAGGCAAAGATGATGAATATGCCGGCTTGTCGGTCAATAAGTTATGGATTAAAGGATTCTTTTGCCTTCTAGTCCCGACACCGGACACTCCGTTGTCGCTCAACCTTGCAGTGTTGGCGGCTTCAAGTGGAGTTGTCAGCAATCCGGATGAGGAAGGGGGCAGCATTTTCAGCGCGTCGCGAAATAGTTTCAGATTCGACGCATGTTTCTGAGAAACACTTCCCTCTGTCGAGCTTCTCAGTTCCTCCTGCAAGGCGGCATACTCTTGCTCCAGATTGACAAAAACATGTCTCTTGTCAATGGATTTTGTGCTCGGGATTGACCCAGTCTCATCAACAACGATGATCCTATCCAATGATATTTGCTTACGCGTCGACTCGAGCTTTTCAGCCGCCTGCTCGGGCTGTTCCTCTACTCGAGGGCTGAAGTTGTGGCCGGAAAGTTCTCTAGTCAAAGCTAGGAGTGCCTCGTCAGCCGTGATTGAGACGGCTTGTGACTGTTCTGCAGAATAAGCCACTGGCAGAGCGATTGGTATCCTTCCCCGCCGTAGAGGGCGGGTCAACAGCTTTCGCAGAAAAACTCGAGGCCTGCCGTCGGCACCGAAACTCAACAGATTGTCCAGTATTCTTGCTCCAGAGGGATGGATGGCGTCGATGGCAGCAACCAGTTTATCCGCAGCCTGGGTGACATTTTCTCGTGTTCCTTGTGGGCTCTTCTCTTGAGGCACCTCCAAGACGACACAAGGTGCCATACTGAGACGGGAGAGAGAAGACAAGGTCTGGGCGATACCTTTCACAATCTCGTCAGCCAGGGCATTAATGTTGCTGATCTTGACCAGGGCAACATGAAGGGTTTCCAGCTCTTCAACAGCAGAGTGCTGTCCATTTTCGAACTGTTTAAACACCGGGCTCTCCTCCGAGGCTCTCGTTAGACCGAGGAGATCTCCTGTATTGGCCTGAGCTTGCGATCTTGATGGAGCATGTGTCTGCTCCGGAGCTGCCTTTGTCGGGCTCTTAAGCCGCGAGATGTACGCCTTTGCATCTCTTTTGGTAGCTGCCGAGCTCAGGAGACTGGTGAAGAACTCCCTATTCGCCAGACGCTGCTTAGCTCTGTCGGTAAAAGAGCTTCTCTTGTCCCGCTCGCTCACATCTTGGGCGTTGTACGACGCAGGGTCATCTGTCCGTGGGGCGGGCTGGGAAGAGTAGAAGCGAGAATTGGATCGGGGGAGCAGCGAGGGGGAGCACGGGTGAGAGATGAGGTAGGCCTTCAAGGCTTCAGCTGCGACGTTTCCGCTGGTGAGATGTGCGGCATAATGACTCCGAACTGCACTCAGGGCGGTCTGGTTCATGGTTTTCCTGTGCGGTCAATGACGAAGCACCAGCAGCCCAACGAGTTGGATGAGAGCGTCACCTAGGTAGGTCCCTGCCACGGGTATATACCAGGCAGTCCTGTGCAGATTTTCATCCTGCCGGGTGTGTTCAACGCGGGAAAATCTTTGGGATGGTTGTGTGTGGCACGAGCAAAGGCAAGATGCTGAGGATTCTGCCACCTCCGCCGCGTCTAACGAGACAGCCTTCACCGCCCTGCCCCGTAGCAAAGGTGATTGGTCAATTCGTTGCCCCTCGGCAGGGGGAATTTGCGGGCATCTTTCTCCAGTATTCCCACGCTCGCCACGCATCGAGGGAGGGCTCGAGGGAGGGCTCGAGGGATAGATAGACACTGTCACCTGCAAATGCTGACCAAGTCGTTGCTATGTCCTGTCAACCCGTGTTTTTCCCGAGTCTCTGGAGCATCTCAGCCCTGCGAATGAGTTTGTACAATGTACAAAGTAGATTTTTGTCAGCTCCCGGAATCTCTCCGCATGCTGCATCTGCGACTTTCTGCGACTTGCTGCGACTTACGACGACCAACGTCATGATGGACAACGGGGAGAAACGGATCAGGCTGCGGGCGGCTTCTTGTACGATCTGATCGACGGCAATTGACATCTCAATGGTATAAGTTTGTCAAATACCTAGCAGGTGGATGAAGCGTGTCTCGCCAGCCACAGGGCCCTTACGTGTGCCTCACTTGTACCTCACTTCCACGTCGACACTTTTGACAAGATGGCGCCTCGATTGGCTTGGCTAGGCCTGGGGAACATGGGCAGAGTAAGTTTCGGCAATGCTAAGAACGTCCAAGAATACTGACTTCCAACCCAAGGGCATGTGCAAGAACTTGGTAGAGAAGGGCAACCTGTCCCACCCGCTGATCATCTTCAACCGCACCGTGCAACGGGCCCATGACCTCGCCGCCAACATCGGCCATGCCACCGTGGCGTCCTCCGTGCAAGAAGCCGCTTCGAAAGCCGACATTATATTTTATTGTCTGGGAGACGACCCGGCAGTGCTCTCTACTCTCGAAGAGGTCCTCAAGACCGACGTCAAGGGCAAGGTGATTGTGGACTGCAGCACGGTCCACCCTGACACCACGGCCAAGGAAGCAAAGATGGTTGAAGAAAAGGGCGCCAGCTTCGTGGCATGTCCTGTGTTCGGCGCCCCGGCCATGGCCGACGCGGGCCAACTGATCTGCGTCGTGGCGGGTCAACCTGACGCCGTGCAAAAAGTGATACCGTACTGCAAGGGCGTGATGGGCCGCGCCAACGTTGATTTCTCGGGCCAAGAACCAAGCAAGGCGACACTGCTCAAGGTCATTGGCAACACATTTGTCCTGGGCATGGTCAATGCGTTGTCCGAGGGACATGTCTTGGCCGAAAAGTCCGGCCTGGGCGTCAACGAGCTCCACAAATTCATCGAGGTCATGTTCCCGGGACCGTACACCGCGTACTCTACCCGAATGAGGACGGGTGACTATTACACGCGAGCGGAGCCGTTGTTCGCGGTTGACCTGGCACGGAAAGATGCGAGGCACGCCATGAATTTGGCCAAGCAGAGCGGGTGTCGAATGAGGCAAGTTGAGGTGGGAGACGACTATCTGAAAACTGTCAAGGAGACGGTGGGTGAAAAGGGAGACATTGCCGGCATCTATGGCGCCGTCAGGTTGCAGGGGGGTCTGAAGTTTGGGAATCAGGATGCTTAGATGGATACCCAGTGGGTGAGGGTGACCGAGGGAGTGGACGAATTGGTTGATGAACGACCCCGGCTGAGAGAAAGGACCCGGCATAACATACATGCATACATATACAAGGGTCTAGAGCCACTTAACCCCTCCCAAGCAGATAGATACAAGATACAAGATGCAGGATGCAAGGCGCCAGATGCCCCGTCAGATGCAGAGAACTAACCAGGGCATGCTGCTCGCGAAGCTGCAAAGTACGAAAAACAAGCCTACTAGATCTCGACACGGAGAGTCGATCGCCGCCTCGCCTCGCCTCACTGCATGGTATGTCAGCGGTGCATGTCATGTGGCATCATGTGATATAGCCATCTATATACCTGTCTTCCGGCCTACTGTTTGTAGATACCCGCTGGTTCTCCATTTCCTTTCTCTTCCCCGTCTAAGAAGGGCATACCACATCGAAGCACAAGCACAAGGAGAAGGAGAAGGAGGGGGGAAAGGTCCTAAGGCTTCCCTTTTCCCGATTCGATCGAACCATCTTCACGGAACCGTAATCGAATTACTGTACTATCCCCTCCCGCCAGTGGATTCGGTCCCCCTTTTCGTCCCGTCCCGTGCGTCTTTCGTCCCGTATCCCGTATCCCGTGTCCCGTGTCCCGTGTCCTCGACAGCTGGCTGGATGGTGTTGTTAGTTTGTTAGTTTTGTCAATTGCGTTACTCGTCCCCGGGGAGGGAGGGAGGGAGGGAGGTAGGTAGGTAGGCATCTCGGAACGTAAACCTACAGTGGTAATAAACAGCCCCCAGTTATTCTGCTATTCTATTAAGCCACATGGTTGATTGGCGAGCTTGAGCTTGAGGCTGAGGTTAAATCACCTACATACCTGCCTCGATTTAATACCCAGATTGCCTAAAGAGTCAAAGACTCTGGACCGATATGTAGTGGCACACTACACATCACGGCGGAGGCGAGGAAGGCGCAGCTAATAAGGCGGGCAGGGAAGGACAGGGGTTTCTTTCTGCGCTGCTTGCCGGCTTGCTCAAGCATGCATACTGAACTGTACACACACACACATACATATGCACGGTCCTTCCAAGTAACCCATGCATCACCAACAGCACATACCCCACTCCCCCGCGGAATTACAACCATATGTAATAGGTCCTCCGCGAGCTGGAATGACGAATGACGCCGTCCATCCACTCCCGTGGAGAAATATAATCGTACTTACATGTATATATACATCCGTGTTGGGGGAGAGGTCGTTGGACTACCAGGGCCCTCACTTGCCTGCTTGTCCAGCTCCCGACCTGCCCCACGCTGGCTCTATTATACTCATAGAACATGGGGAGGAAGTGTGTACGCCTGAACTCGTCTTGAGTGTGAGGGTGAGATCGTTGTGTGGGTTAGATATAATGTGAGTGTGGTGACATCCTTGGAGACGTGTGATATATGGGAGATATCGTCTGGCGCGTATGGGTATCGATGGGCATAACTACATATGTATGTATCCACGTAGCTATGTAGCCCATCATATATGTAGCCATGGGGGGAGCCATGTGGCTATGCATCCAGGCAAGGTTTTAACTGACAACATCTCTGGATACCTAAATCATCCTTCCGTCGTCCCCGAATATTCAACGTCCCTTCGTCCTACTGATTCTCTTTTCTCAACATCGTCGTCCTCGCCGTTCTCGCTGTTCTCGCCCCTCATCTTCCCGCCCGGTCTCGCGACCGAGATGGCTTTCCTGCCTCCCCCAAAACTCTCTCTGACAGAGACTGATACTCTCACACTCTCATATCCACATGTCTTATATTTCTTCTGTGCGGCGGTTTGGGACAAGGGAAATTCTCAGCTGAGATCCCCCACCCCACCCTCTGGTTGGCAATATGTAGAAAGCTTCGCCCGCCTCCCTAAAGTAGCCCGTCCAGTCCGCCTAGGAAAGTAAAAAGCAAAAAAAGAAAAAGAAAAAAAAAAATCTCAAAAAGCCTCGTGATCACTCCCCGTCTCGCTCCCGCCGTCGCTCCTCGCGTCGTCCCACTGTTCATGCAAATCCCACTCGAACAGGTCCTGCAGACGCAGCTGAGATTGGCTCTCGACAAGCACCACCTCGACGGACCCGTCGTCTCTCCTGCCAATTTTCTTCTCGGCCGTCAACTTGCCCCGCTCGTAGAGCAGTTCTTCCAGGTCGCGCTTCATGCCCTGCGTAAACGTGTGGTTCTTGCCCAGCATCTTGATGCGTCCTTCAAGGACTTGCCAGTACAGCTCCTCCGTTAGGTCTAGGTGCCCTTGCTGTTTGTACAACAGGGCCAGTAACCGTAGACTTTCCAGTCTCCGCGGGTGGTTGTCGCCCAATGTGTCTTTCGAGTCCCTGATCGCCTGTCTCAACACGGTGGCCGCCTCCTCGATCCGATTCTGCCGCTCTAGCGAGCGATGCAGATTCGTCAGTGCCGAGATGGACTGCAAATGTTTGGGCCCGAGCACCATCGACGAAACCTTGTAGACTTCACGCAAAACCTGCTCCGCCTGCTGCACCTTCCACTCGACATTTAACATAAATCCGTAGCAATACTTGGACGCGATGGACCGGGGATCTTCTGGACCGTAGCGCTGGACAAACAGCTCATGCACCTCGTAGAGATCTTGACTCGTGATGTCGCGATCTCGCATCTGTCCGTTGGCCACATAGACCATCCAACGCACCGTTGTCGTGAGGGGGTCATTCGGTCCCAGCACCCGTTCTGCCACCAGATACGCACTCTGCATGATGGTCTTGGTGATATCTCCCTGGTTGTGCATCTGCAGGATCTGTAATGTCTGGTTGAGCGCCAACAACACTTTCGGGTCCTGCTGTGGCGCGATCATCTTCTCGAACTCGGCATCCGCGTCTACCAGACTCCGTTGCGATAACGTATAGTTCCCTCGTCGAAGGTAGATGCAGGCGGCGAAGCACCGGGCGACCCACTTCCAGGAATGTTCATGGCCTCGTGAACTGGCGGGGATGGATATCGTGCTTCCTGGCAAATCCTGGGTGGCGTTCAGGATGTTGCGAGGTAATTGGGGCATCTCCAAATTCGGGAGACTGATAAAATGTTCTCGGGTGGATTCATGGCATGTTGGACAGATCTGTTCAAAGTCCATCGAATCCTCTGACGAGCTGTCGGTGAACATTAGCGCCCAGCTCCGAATGTCGTCGTGGCCGCAGAGTGACTTCAACGGCGGTGCGTCGACTATCTGCAGCGCCATGTACTCGACGTCTCGACCCAATGAGTGGCAGGGCACGGCGGAATTAGTGTCAGAGACGGTGCCGGCATGGCGCACCCGGTCGTCAACGATGGCCAGCGGTTCACTGGGGGGAATAGGATAGGTATATGACAGCGCCGCCGACAAAGGTGCATCCTGGGGAGACGAGACGGCATGGGCGCGTGACGACGACGACGGCGAAGAGTCTGACGAGCATGTGATATTGCTTTCTCTGGACGCAAGATAAGGACCGTGCCTTTGAGGCGGTGACACGGTCAGTGGGAAATACGGCGAGGCTGAGTGGTGGGGTGACCACCTCTGCGAAGGACTAGCAGGGGAATGTTGGTGGGCGAAGGCGGAGGTGGGGGCGGTGGAACACGAGGCTGGTCCTAGTCCTGGTCCTGGTCCTGATCCTAAGCCTGAGACTGACTCTGACGCAGCTCCGGTAGGCGAGTGCAAGTCCTTGGCCGACTGGACGTTCGCTGCTGCGATCTCGGCCGGATGTCCTCTCGTGGGAGGAGTAGCAGGTGGCCCTTCTTCGCCCTCTGCCTCAGGCTCGGGAGTATAGGCTCGGACATGAGCATATTGCTCCTGTTGTTGATCGGCCGCGGTACTACATTTGACATTAGCAAGGGCAGTGGCGAGGAAATCCTCCTCGGTCATCTTCCGCCCTTTGATGTATTTGTGGAGGTCCTTGAGTGAGCGTTTGTGGCCATGGATCACAAACGCCGTCGACCGTTTACCGCTTTTTTGGCGGGTGTGGTGAAGCACCGCACCTGGGAAGATGGTCGTCAGCAAACCAAACAGGAGTGATGGGGGAAGCTCTTGCAAACAAATATTGCTACGGGTCCTCAAAAGGGGGGAGGGCTACTTACATATCTGATAGTCCTTGTCCGAGTAGTTCTTACTGATTCCCCACTGCGACAGTCGGGCTTTATACATCCGCTCCCTGTTCCAACTCTATCAGCAAAATGCATGGGACGTTGAGTGCACGGCAAAGAATAAGATGAGTGGCTGGGCTTCGGCGATACTGTGCACTCACGTTGCGCGGAAATTGTGCCGGTCTAAAAGTATTCTTCTCACATCTCTCAAGGGGTGCTTTTCATAAAGGATCCTGATTTCCTCCTTCACCGCTTGCCACTGAGCGGGAGCGGGGCCTTCTCGCGCCTCGAGTTGAGTAGAGGCGGGCGCCTGGGATTGGGATGATGCTGATGCTGATGCTTGAGCAACATTCTCGAGCGTCCATCCATGGGGATTGCCCAGGCTCAGGGCCATTGACTTGATCTTGTTCTGCTGTGCTCAACGGTCATCACTGCCTAAAGTGAAGTTAGAATTAAAATGCCGAACCTAGTCAGCTTCGAAACAGAAAGAGAAAAAAAGGGCGCGAGAATAAGGGCTTGCCTTGCTTGGTCCGGCTGTACGCGGTTCCAAGGGCAAAAAGGAAAGGAAAAAAAGGGCAATGTTTGCCTTGCGAGAGCGGCCTGTCACAAAGGAAGTCGATGAGGAGGGGTAATTTTGGTGGCCCGTGGGCACAGTGGCTCGTCTTCAAGTGTCGTGGCCCTTGATGAGACATGCATCTCAACGCTACAGGCCCAGTTCTAAGGGCCCGTTGCATATGCAAAGTCCCTTCTGTAGCCCAATCAGCGCCCCTCTGGTGACAGCGGCGTGCTTTTAGCTTGACACGTAGCCGACAGAGTAAGATTGCGGCCAAAACAAAGGCTGAAACCCTTGCCCCTCAACGGCGGTGGCTCCCTCCAGCCTCGAGGTAGTGGGTAGGATCATCGTAAGGGAGGACATGGCAAAGGGACAAGACTTTTCTGTGGCACTTGAAAGGGGGATCATCTGAAGGTTTAAATACTCCCTGTGCGTCACTGTCGTCGGGCACTCCCCCTAAAGAGACCAAGTCAAAGGCATCCCGAATGTCGGTCCTTTGCCTGCTGCCTCTGGACTGGCTCGCCTCCCCTGGCTTGTTGACCGGCAGTCTGTGCGCGGACCGCACGCCAATAAGCCGATTGATCTCCCAAATTGATATCGAAGGGGCTTTGTTTGCCCTCCCTTCTCCGGTCACCGGGCTGTGGCCCAATTTTTGGTCGGGCTGGCAAGAGGAGCATTTGCAATGACGCTCGTCGGACTTTGAATTCCAGGCTTGGGCCTTCAGCGTGTCGCCAGCCACAATCAGCCTAACTCCGGATGGGAGACTAATGGGGTACGTATATACAATAGATATGCAAAAGAAGAGAAGATCGCAATTGCGACTGATACCACACACAGCCGTAGCACGGATGGCTTTCGAAGGCTTGGTTTCCAACTTAGCAGCATCGTCCATAAGCGGAAGTATCTGGGGCCCGCTTTCCTTCCTTTCCCCGTTATCACCCGCTGACCATAGCCCATTGACTGTCCACTGTTGGCACCTTGTCCAACCGCCTTGGTCGATTCGAGCATTTCACCAACAGATACTTGGGGCATGTGATGCCATCTGAATGGTACCCAGCGTCATCAAACATTCGAAAGATTTGTGTTAATTCGTGGTGGGTAACGCTCGGTCCAAAATCTAACGAGCGCCATTTGAGAACCCTCCTCTGTTGGTTGCTCAAGCCATAGAGCCCGGGTTTAACTTCCAAAGCATACCTGTCGTGGCATTATATTCGATTCAGCTTGTCAGACCAGGAGATAACAGATGAGGGTACCCAGCCTTGAGTGACTGCCGACAAGACATGGCCCACGGTACCAAAGGGAGTCCATCACTAGGACTGGGCTAGGAACAAAAAACAAAACACAGCAGTTGATCCAGGTTGGTCAACAGGAACATAGCAATAAGGGGCAGGGCTTCTCCTTAAAGGGCTGTCAAGCATGGTAAGATCATGAACCACCGGGTTCCTGGCGATGTCTTTAGCCGCTGAGTGACTGAAGCCTTTCTGGCGCCTTCTTTGGGTCGAGACAACGGGCGGACCCGTTTCGGGTCCTTCTTGTCCTTGGTCTCTAACACCAACGATTCTATGGGATAAGCAGATCGCCTCCAGTGCTATTATCAGAGCTAACGAGCAGATCTTCGCGCCTGGTCGACCGCTGAAGGTCGACGATCTTGGGCACTATGCGATCGAGGAAAGTCCTCTTTGGAGTCTGCCGAGCCTTGTCGCGTCGCTTGCGCAGAGAAATGTCGACTTGTCACTGCCTTCTCCCCGTCGAATGTATCGGGGCCAGGCTGTGATGGTGGTTGGGGGCCCGATGGGCCACGACTTATCATGGCTTGCTGATAAGCTGGTGGAGGATCAGCTTCCGCGTGTGCAATTTGTGCATACCCCGCTGTTTGATACGCACCCGGCATATATTGACCAGGTTGACCGGGTCGAGGCGCAAAAGTTGCAGTGTTCACTGTGATGTTGAAACTGGGCGAAGGTTGGTCTGACCTCGACTGCCCTTGATAATACGGACTCGGGCTCTGTTGGATACCTTGCGGCTGAGAATGGGCAGGGTATTGACTGAACTGAGGCTGAGGGTGATGGTATGCAGATTGCGGAGGGCTGGCAGGAGTGTTGGATGTCATTGCAGCTCTCTCTTGCCGCCCACTGTCGGCGGGCTCGTTCGTTCCTTCTCGCTTGACTCGGGGTTGCTGCGGTCGATTTGTACCGCCTTCTGAGGGACCCTTTTTCGCTCGACGTCTGGCAGTGTCTGATTCTCTATAGTCATACGGCTCTTTTCTATATTCTCCTGCGACACACCATTACGGTCAACATTTGTCGTAATTTTTCACGCCAAGGGAGAATGGGCCGTACTGCTTTGTGTTTCCAAGTCCCAGTCTCTAGAGTCATTGATGATATCGCGAATGCTAACCTAAACGCAAGGAAGCCGCTCAGTATGAGGGGTGGCGGGGGGACGGCACTGGACAATGGAGGGGGGGCTCTTACGGCATTGAGCGCTCTTCTCGCCAGGACGCTGAAACCGACTCGCGCTTTATCCTAGCCATAGTCAGTGGGATACCAACCAAGAATTGACGAGAGAGGTCTCACCGTGGGATGTTGAGACGATGTTATCTTTGCGGTACGATCAACCCATCGAGTGATATAATCGACCAGGACTGCGGCGTTGATGTTTTCGCCGGGGACGAAAAAGTGGATGGGCTGGAGGTCGTCATCGCTGTCGTCGGAGTCATTATCGTCGTCTCGCTTCAGCCTCTTGCCGGCCTTGGAGGGCTGCTTAGGCATGACGGGTGGTAGGTTCGAGGATCGCAGGAGCGCAGGCTAGATGCTGTGTGATCACGGGAGAGGCTGTTAGCAGCAGCGGTCCGGCTCGTGATGAACCTCGGTCGCAACGCAGGCAACGCAGGCTAGCGGAATCAGGGAGAGGGCGAGAAGGGCAGTGGGAAACCGAATGAGCATGCTTGAAGAGATGAGGCGGATCCAGACTCGATGAACCCAGAGGGAGGTTAACCTGGAAGACTTGTGAAGTGACAAGATGGGTTCGTGGGTTGGTTTGGCCTGGTTTGGGCGGCAATTCAGAAGTGCAGCCGCAGCCGACACATTGTTGGCAGGTTGTCAGTTGTCAGTAGTCGGTTGCATGTGCAGTGGGAATGGATGAGTTGTCAGTTCCAGGAATAATGGGTCAGGTAAGAGCCAGCGATTTCCAGTCTGGCATTAGTGAGAGTAGAGTGAGAGAAGCCCAGCAAGAGCAAATGAAAAGGCGAGTCCAAGGGCTGCGACCGTGAGAACACATGATGTCTGCCGCCCACCGACACACTTACCCCGCTGCCGTGCATCATCCCTCATCCGTCATCCATCATCGTCTTGTCTCCCTCGTTGTTGCAACTTCCGGGTAGCCACAGCCTTTGGAGACAAGGCCGCTCTTCGGAGCGAGGTCCTCCGTGGACTACCGCCGCCTCTGGTCAATTCTCATGGTAGAAGGGCAAAACGAGGTGGAAACCCAAAAACCCTTTGGCGTGGTGTTTTCTTTTTAGCGATATCTCAGGAACCAATGTGGCGGCTGGCTGTTGGATGATGGAATTATGAGCGACCAACCGTGAGGGGCAGCAAAGCCCCATTTCAGCAGCGCAGCAACGAGCAATCGGCCGATGGGCTGCCAGGAGGAAGAACCCGGCCGCAATGGGAGGGGAGATGCAACCCGAGAAACTCGTGACAAGGTCGATTTCAAGTCAGCCAATTCCACGAGTGGGAAGCCGAGTCCTCGTCAGTACATAGATGGCGAGGGAGATGTTTGTAGGACCGAACAAAGGCGTGATGGCTCAGGTTGTGTTTGGGGAGCTGAAGCTGCCTTCAAACGGGGGCCTCATTCTTCTGTGACGAATACGACTCGGGCTGTGGGAGAATGTCGCTCTCTCGCCCTGCCCAATGTGGGGCACGATAAACGGCCGGCCAAGTGGAGGAGGACAGGCGAGGACGATGCACCAGAGGGGGACCTGGTGACGGGCGGGAAGTTCATAGATATATCACCATATCACCAAATAATACACACCCAGTGCAGACGTCGAAACCGTGGTCGAAACAAGGTTGTTCACCATGTCAACGGGCCGACAGGCACTACCATGGTCGATCGACTTCTGGCTGGCACTCTGCAGCCAGCACAAAACGACAAAGCCTCCGACGTCAATGCTGCCTCACCGCTTCTTCTCGGCCACAGCCCCTGTTCCGAGATTCGAGATTCGAGACTACTCGGCTAGTGTGTGACTGACACGGCCTTGAGATAGCACCATCGGACCACTTGATACACACGAAAACAGGGGAAAATCACATGTACAAATAAAAGCAGCACGGCTTGACGAGTAGTGGGACGTGGTCTCTGCTAAAGGGAGCACTCGGGGAGTAGGGGGAGCCAGCCTTGTGCGCAACTGGTGCACTTGGTCTCTACCCCAATCCTCCGTACTTCGGCTGCTGGTCCTATGAATCCTCGCTTCATCTCATGCCTCACATCTCAAGACTAGTGACTAACTCTGGGATGCCGGCAACTGGAAGCTAGCATCCTGCGTCAATGGGATGCTGGTGTGGATTGTGACCGCCATAGTTGCATTGTCATACGAAAAGGTCGTGTTGGGTGCACCAGGTATGTTGACGGTTTGGGGCGCCGATCCGACATTGCAAACCGTGATCCTTTCGACGCTGACGTTGGCTGGATAACTGTAGTCGCCCGACATCGAGAAAGCTCCATTGGTGTACGTAAAGTTGATAAATGACGTGCTGGGCTGCTCAATCATCAGCCCGTCGTCCAGGTAGAGCGATCCGGTTGCCGTGCCATCCATGCCAGGCGCAACCAAGAGATGGAATCCTTTCGTACGCAGCTCGGCTGTAGTGTTGGCGCTCTCAACTCGAAGAGGGAGAATTGCACCGCCCCGGACATGGAGTGGGATGGTGGTGAAGTTGACGTCGGTCAAGGTCGTCATCGACCCATTTCCTTGCACCGGGCTAAATCCGTCGTTCCAGTCGTAGAATATGTCGTCAGGCAGATACATACGCACTGTCGTTTTGTTCGCACCTGTAACGGGAGACACCAGCATCGAATCGCCAAAGAAGAACTGAGCGTCGATGCCAAATGTCTTTGTGTCTTCGGGGTAAAGATAGAACAGAGGGTTCAAAACCGGCTTGCCATTTTGCGTCTGTGTCCAAAAGGCGGTATAGAGATAATCAAGAGCACGGTAGCGGATGTCAATCGCGTTCCGGGACGCCTGAGCAGTAATTGGCCAGCGGTAGGCTTCCTGAGGTCGGGCTCCGAGCTCATTGTGGTTGCGAAAAAATGTTTGGAAAGCCCCCAGCATCATCCAGCGCGCACAAAGTCTTTCGCTAGAGTTGGAAGAATATCCACAAACATCAGAACCGACCATGGGCAATTGGAAAATGGATGCAAAGTTCAACATGTCTGAGATACTGATTTCGTATTGATCCCAGTTGGCAACGTTGTCCCCAGTCCAATGGCCGACATGGGCACCGGCTCCAAGGAAGGTGCTGCGTGTGATAACCAGTGGTCGCTCGCCGGGACGCCGATTGAGAAGAGCGCCACGTGAAGTCGACGACATCATGGTGCCGTACAGGTTGTGGGTGTCGTATTCAACAAGGCCGTTGTAATGAACGAGGTCGGTGTTCAATGTCTTGTTGGACAAGCTACCCGCAGCATTCTGGATCATGTAAGGAGGGTTGATCAGCTTCCGTCCTGGGAGACCGAGCATGTTGCCTGTATTTGGTGCTTGTCGTTTAGTATTCGACGGTGGTTGGAAGTCTGGCGGAAAGCCGGGGAGGGCAATAGCAGGGCCATTGCGCAGTGCCGCCGGCTTGGGGGGAAATCCGTTCGCTTCAGCAAATGCGCTCGGGTTGGAGCATGGATAGTTGCAGAAGCTGGGTAACAGTCAGCAATCTGCTGCAAAACGACGGCGCCGGAATCGCTCATACTTCGAGGCTTCGTTCATGTCAATCCAAAGTCCTGAGATATCCACCCCGGTCTCGGGACTGAAGAAGGACGTAAATTCGCTATTCCAATAGTCTTGGGTGTCTGGATGGAACCAATCTGGGAACACAGTTGGGCCGGGCCAGACGACGCCCTCGAAGACTGACCCGTCAGCCCTCTTCATGAAGACACCCGAGTTGTTGCCGTTGTTGAATGCCGAATAGTTCTGATACGCGACTGCTGGATCAACCATCATAATATAATGCTGCTGATGTGCGTGGAGATAAGTTACCAACTCGCGCATCTTGTGCAGAGGGAAGCGTTGTGGATCCAAAGTGAAGACCTTTCGGGCATCCTATCCCTGTGTCAGTGGCTCCTCAGCACGATTTTGATGGTATTACCATATAATCAATGTCCGTCCACATGGTCTAAAGGTGTTAGCCTGAATCGTCACCAGAGGGTGGTTGCCTACCTCTAACGGTATGTTGGCTGCGCTATAGTTGTGCACGACTTCGGCGACTTCGTAAACATCCTTGTAGCCATATCTGCATTGATGGAATCCAAAGGTCCAATACGCCATCATCGCAGGTTTTCCGACGACCTCGGAGATTTGCTGGGAGACTTCAATGGGAGAAGGTCCGGCCAGAAAGTAGAAGTCCAAGACGCCCCCGAGGGTGTTGTACTCGAGGTATTGACCAGCAGTGTCGTTGATCTTGATGTCCATGCCATTGGAGTTCAAGAACAGCACTCCATGCGTGCCATTCGACCCTCGGTGATCCATGTATACTGGATGATTCCCATACAAATTGGTGCCCTGGGGGATGCCATAAGCATCGCGGGACCACAACGTCCTGGTGTAATTGGAGATGTTCAATCTGAAGTGATCCGAGTGTTCACCAAGGCCGTACAAATTTGGATGGCTGGGCAACGACGTCCGGAGCCTGAGATATTGAGACTCAAAGATGATGGGAGACCCGGACGTGTTGAACAGGACCTCTCCGGAGGAGCGAGAGACAGAGAAGCTGAAAGGGTTCTCTATGTAGTCAAACACAAGCTGAGAATTAGAGGCCGTAGTTCCTGCTGTGGCATTAGGACGAGGAAGAACCGACTCAGGAACCTGATAGACGGTCTGGTTCTGGTCTTCGATGATTACATGGAGCCTCGAAGCTTCACGGTGGGTTAATAGCCGAACATGGATGGTTTGCAGGCAACAAGCGTACCAGACTGATACTCAACAGTGAGGGTGAGATTCTGCAAGTCAGCGCCGTAGACGTTACAAGCTGGGCCTGCGAGATTGAGATCAGCGGTCAAGCCATTCGCATTCTGCTGGACGTTGGTAGCACGGTAGCCTGGGCAGGCCTTTTGAGCAGCAGTAACCCCAAAGGTCAGAAGGGCAAACAGAACAGAAGTCAACTTCATCTTGTCCACGGCGGTATTCTAGACAATAGGTAGATAGATGAAGTCCTCTACACAACTGAGGTTGGGCGACGGCCCTGCTTATGAACCATAGAAAATTCCGCTCGACCACCTGCCGTCATGCGTCTCAGACGGATGCAATGCTGGCCAAAGAGTCATGATTCCTTGTTGGAGCTGCATGAGCTGATCGACAAGTTGCCGCCCACAACGTCAGAGCTCGAGTCAAAGCCGTGGAGACAGGTAGCTCAGAGGCAAAAGCTCCCCAGTCAAGCTCCAGCTCACCCCACAGAGTCGTATTTCGATCAGCCTGGCGCGGAGTCACGGATTGGAAAAGGCGTTCTGTAGAAAAAGGTCATTCCAGAGGAAGAGCAGGTAAGAGTCCAATGGAAAGGCCAAGGTGCCTGACTAAAAGATCCCGTGCCGTCGTCGGAGATTCGAAAGTGGTTAAAAGTGCGGAGGAAGAAGGACACAGTAACATTGGGAATCTGGAGAGCTGCCACTGCCAAGCGGTGACATTGGACCATTTCACCGAGTATTTTAACCAGGCGAGTGGCAGGATAGAAGACGGAGGATGGAGGGAAAAAGGATGTGATTGAGGTCGGTGTAATACATAAGCACCAAGACCAGGGCCCGATCTGTCTTCGTATTCGTGTTGCTCTCCCGAGTCCCGCACCTCCAAACAGGCTTGTTCTGACATTCTCCCTTGACACAGCCTTATCACGCTCTAGCAAGGCTGACGACCTATCTTCTGTACCAGCAAAGGAGATGTCCTCCCATGAACAATGTCCTCTGTAACTAGATTTGGAAGGTCAGGATCATCTCTTAGCGATAAGGTGGGCATCTCCTCCGTGTTAGAGCCGCCGGCAGTTGGCCGGAGACCTTGACCGATGGTATAGACACCATGCATGGATACAGACACATACATATATATACCTCCAGCAGCCATAAGCCCAGCCGAGAAACATGCTACGTCCAAGATCCAAGGAGACGAGGCGTTGATCAACCCAAACAGGACAAAGATGGTGTATGTCCTCAGCCTCCTCGCACTCTCCCTCTTGCTTCCCACTTCCTCGTTCACCCAGACAACGCCAATCGATGTCCGCGAAGCCACCATCTCCAGCATCCACAGCTCTCTATTCTCGGGCCTCACTACTTGCCGGGGTATTGTAAGCGCCTTCATCGCCCGGATCGAACGCTTCAACCCGGACATCAACGCCATCATCACTCTGAACCCAGATGCCCTCTCAATAGCCGACTCGCTAGACGAGTCTCTTTCGCGAGGCAATGCCACGGGGCCCCTCTTCTGCATCCCCATCTTGCTCAAGGACAACTATGACGCCCTCCCCATGCCCTCGACGGGCGGCTGTCTGGCCCTGAACGCTTCAAAGCCTGCTCAAGACGGCCCTGCAGTGCGCGCCTTCCGCGACGCTGGCGCCGTCATCTTGGGCAAGTCGAATCTGCACGAGCTCGCGCTCGAGGGTCTCTCGGTATCCAGCCTTGGCGGCCAAACCATCAATCCGTATGACTTCACCCGCACGCCTGGAGGGAGTTCAGGCGGCACAGGCGCAGCAGTTGCTGCCTCGTTCGCCGTGTTTGGCACGGGGACTGACACGGTGAACTCCCTACGAAGCCCAGCGAGCGCCAACAGCCTGTTCAGCTTCCGGCCGACACGGGGCCTGATTTCTCGCGCTGGCGTCATCCCGATCTCATACACCCAAGACACCATCGGCGCGATAGGACGATGCCCCTTGGACATAGCGACGGCCCTGACGGTCATGGCCTCCGTTGGCTATGACCCAGCAGACAATGTGACCTCCGCAATCCCGCCCTCAGTACTGGGCACCGACTACACCTCCTTCATATCACAGGGTGTCCGCGCAAACCTGACGGGGATCCGCGTAGGGGTGCTCGAAGGGTTCTTCAACCGGATGGCGAGTAACGAAACCACGCCGGTCAACAACGCAATGGACAACGTGATCTCCATGCTGCAGTCTCACGGCGCCAGCGTGATCTACATCAACGATACGACAACCTACAACGCGACCTCGATCTCGGCACAGATGGACGTCCAGACGTCCGAGTACCGCGAAATGCTCAACCACTATCTCTCGACCGACAATCTGACGGGGCCACACCCTCGAACGATGCCGCAACTCTACACGCGCAACCAGAGCACTCCAGAATTCCTCGTGATCCCGTCTCAGTACTCGTATGTGGAGACGGCGCTGGTCTCGTCGACGTCCAACGCCTCGTACTACCTCAAACAGTCGCTGATCGCCAACCTCACGCGGTCCTTGCACGCTACCATCCTCACCAACAAACTCAGCTGCGTCATCTACCCAGAACAAAAAAACCTGGTCGTCCCAATCGGCTCGCCGAGCCAGTCAGGCCGCAACGGCATCCTGGCCGCCTTGACAGGCTCCCCCGTCATCACCATGCCCATCGGCTTCTCGCCGCCCTCGACGACCGCCCCAATCGGCATCCCCGTTGGCATGGAGATCCTGGGCCTGCCCTGGAGCGAGGGCACGTTGTTGCAGGTCGCCAAGGCCATCGACGATGTGCTGCATGCTAGGCGAATGCCCGTGACGGCCGGTTTGAACGAGACCGTCGAGGTCACCAAAGCCTACACTCAAGTCCCGCGCGTCCTGCCGCTGGGGGCGAAGAATGTAGACAAGGCTGCGTACCCTCTAGGCGTGTATTGATACCGATTCTGACATGGATATCGATATACGGACTGAAATGAAAACAAAAGGTTCTCAAATGGTGAAAGACAGCCCATCCCGTCCATCGCACATAATATCTTGTACAACGACTAATTGAACTCGTGGTACCCCTATGACTTTCAGACTTATCCTGCAGGCCTGAACCACCTGGTACTTAAGAGGCTAGAGCGAACAAGACTGTACAGGCACTTTGTTGGGAGTAGTTCATCGTGTATTAACTCTCGTCAATGCCATGTAGTAGTATGTTTCTTTGGTATCTCAGAAGGCCATCAATCGTGATTCATGCAATAATTCCCCCGCTCAGTCCATGTTCGTTAAAGTCCAGAACACATAACAGATAAGCAGCAGTCCATTCCACGCGTCGAGTTTCATCAAATGTAAAGTTTGCCGTCGTACCCGAATTCTAGCTCTGAACAAGGAATGTCGTGTCTTGTTTCGTCAAGATGAAGCCTCCGAGCCCGCTATCAGCTTCTCCTCTTCCGTAACGATCGCGGCACCGCCTTTCTCTTGCCCATGCTTCAGTTCCTCCTCAATCAGGCTTTGCTTCTTCACGTACTCCAGCACAATCTCTTCCTCTGTTCTTTCCCTCTCGAGTTGTTCCTGGCGCCTCTTCTCGTCCTCCTCCGATGCCGTTATTGCCCGTTGTAACTCATCATTTTCATTTTCATCGGCTGTTACTTCCTTTGTGTCCGTGATTGGTCCGTCCTGTTCATTCGTGGCCGGAAGCGAGGCCTCGTGTGCTGTAAGTTCTCTCTTCTTCCGTTCATTCTCAGTGTGTAGTTTTTTAGTCTCCTCAACCTTGCGCATGAAACTTTCATCGTAGTCCGTGTCAATTCCAGAGTCACTATCATCCAGATGATGATGATCTTCATGCCCTAGCTCTAGATTCTGTTCTCTCGCAGCCTGAGATTGCCTGTGCTCTTCCAGGCTCTGTGCCAGAGCGTTTTCGAGTTCGAGGTCATGCTTTTCCAACGGCTTCTCTGTGGCTGTGGGCAAGGCACCGCTCCGCCGGGCATGCTCTTCTTGAGCCCTCTTGAATTCTCGGATACTCGCTTGGATAGCTTGTTGATATGCAGCATCAGAATACTTGTTTGGATCGTGACCTGAACTGTGCAATTCGAGGAGACTCGCTCGTAGTGCCCTTTCAATGACGGCATCCTCCAAGGGGTTGCCTGTGCTAGTCGAACTCACGGAGTGCTTGATTGCATGCTCATAGTCAGCTAGAACGTTGTCTTCTCGCGACTGCGACGGCGTCTGGCCAAGGCTGAGGGAAGACTCCAAACTTGAGAGAGAATGGCTGTGCTTGAGATGGTGGCTGGTGTTGTGGTCAAAAGGACAGAATTTGCATCGGCTCTTGATTTTGCCGCCAGCTTTGCTTTTTCTTCTCTCCTCCTTCCTGATCTCTTTCTCGCGGCGTTGTAGTTCTTTTTCTTCCTTTTTCAGCTGATCCCTTCGCTCAGCAAGAGCCTTTCTTTCGTCCCAGCTAAGGTGCCTGGTATTTCTGAATCCGTGAACCAGTTCAACCGAGTCGGTGTTGGTCCTCGTGATGATGTGGCTCTCAATTGCGACCTTGCGGTCGTTTCCGTAGAGTTGTCCATGCTTTCGAGTTTCCAGCCTGCCATCTTTCCAGGCGGTGACAATCCGTTGCCTCTCTTCTGGTGTACTGCTCTTCCAATCCTCAAAACCTTGGGCTGTCCGAGCCGCAATGATGTAATTCTGCACGGAACTCCCAAAATGTTTGGAAATTTCGCTGTAGATGCCTTTTGCAGTGTATCCTGGGAGTCCCCAAATGCCCGCGGCTGGCTTGAGGACCAAACCGCCGAGACCCTTGGCTGCCCCCTTGAAGAAACCAGCCGCACCCTCTTTCTTCGCCCCTGCCAAAGGCTGGGTGACGAGGCCAGTTATACCGTCGTAGAAGCCATACCCGAACTCTTTGCCTGCCACTCGCAAGCCAGAATGAAGGCCCACGATCTTTTCGTTCTGTCGTACAGTGTCATCTCCATATAACTTAGGTGCATTGTGGAATCCCTTTGCTAGAGATAGTGTGAAATCCATAGGGGACTTGACGCCGGCGGAAATGATTTTACCAGCGGCTTTAGCACCGGATATTGCAGTTTCCAGAGACACTTGGCCGACTTCTTCACCGACGCAGGGGTCATGATTCCCATTTGGTGACGGCGAACCGGAGCGAGATCGAGATCGGTGGTGAGACCAGCTACCGTGCCGGTGATGGCGGGAAACTTTGGACGATCCGTCAGCCGTCAAGACTGTGGACATGGATGAAGGTGCTGGCGCGGCGGTTGTTCCCGAGGAAATCGATTGCTGAGACTGGACAGGTGTGATAGCTCCCGCTGTGGCATTTGCAGCTTCAGAAGAGAGTCGTTCCGAAGATACGGTGGGTGTGGAAGTACCACTGCTTGAGTGTCTCTCGTGGATTTCTTTCAGTTCTCCTGAAGCTGTCTTCAAAGACTTTAGGATTTCAACAGGGAAATCTGCGATACCCATGGAGAGATTTCCGAGTGTTCCAATCAAGGCGGCTGCGCCACCAGATATTGGCTCCCAAGGGCCGTCCTCTGTCTCATACTCTCGGGGTCGGTAGAGTTTCAGGTCAGAGAAATCTAGGAGACCTTCAGTCCCGAGGACCGTGGCTGCAAGCGGCGACAGACGAATATCTGTTCGTTTTACGCGCCACACAGCAATACGTGACGGATCCAAGGAGCATCTGAGGTTCGACATGTGCAATTGCTTGTGGAAAGACTGCGCACCAGCATCACAACCATCCTCCGCTTTGATCTTCATGCTCAATTCCTTCGCGCGCTCGAGTGACTCCGGCTTTAACGCTTCCAAAATCGAGTGCGCGAGTTTATCAGCATTCAAGTTCTTGTAGGCAATAGGCACAGGACCTGCCCCGGCTCTGGCAGTCATCGAACCCCAGAACGGTTGATCGCCAAAAAATGGGACTACCACCGTTGGTCGACCGGCTAATATACCGGCAGCGGTTGTACCGGCGCCGCCGTGATGCACGACACAAGAAACATGCCGGAACAGCCAGTCGTGGGGGCAGTTGCCGATCATGAAGACACCTTCCGGTATTCCTAACTCGCTGGCACCGAGCCCACCCCAGCCCTTGGAGACTATCGCTCGTTGGCCAGTCTTTTTGATGGCGTCAAATATCATCCTGGTCATGGCATTTGGATCATCGACCACGATTGAGCCAAATCCAATGTACACAGGAGGCGGCCCGGCAGCCAAAAAATCCGCCAGGTCCTGCGGTGGTGAATAATTCGTGGATAGGTTGAGGAAGAAGAAGCCCGAGATGTCGATATAGTTGCCCCAGTCTGGTGGTTTCGGGATCAAAGCAGGCGACCAACAGTAAGTCCACGGGATGCGCAATCGACTAACCATCCCAGGAGCCCACATGATACTCACGGGATCCAGGCCCAGGCTTCTTTCTCGAAATCTGTTGATAACATCTCCTAAGCCCTGCCAGGTCAACATGTCCACCAAAGCATAGGTGACAAAGTTCGTAATGCTGGAGTCCGTATTGGAGGAGATGATGTTGGCGAGAGGATGTGGGAAAGATTGCGTCGGTGACCAGGGCATGGTGAACATCAGGTGGAGAGGAATGCCTAACTTCTCTGCAATATGCACATGGGCGAAACTGGGCGGATTGGCGATGATTGCATCCGCAACAAAGGGCTTCAAGGTCGGATCCATGCCGAAGGACATGGCACTGTCGAAGCTGCGCGTATCCATATTGTCATCGTTAACTGGCGTGCCCATGCCATTTCCAGCCTCAATGCAAGATCTCCAACAGCCTGTAACGATTTCGTAGATGCCCTTTCTTCGTTTGCCCACGTCTCCATTTTTGAGAGAGTCCATACCCGGCATAAGGCCCGGATTCTTGACCATGAACGCCATGAGTTCGGCAGGATCCCCTCCTATGCTGAAGAATTCCAGACCATTCTCGGTGACGAACTGTTTGAATGTGGGATGGGTTGCGATTCTGACACGGTGCTTGTACTTGTTCTTCAGCACTTGACCTAGGGCAACAAACGGTTGCACATCTCCTCTGCTGCCCACTATCTGAATCACAATGTTCATCGGCGGTGGGGGCAGGCCGTCTACTTCTCCCAGACCCTCGGGAATCGGAGGTTCTGCAGGAGGTTTCTGTCGTGACAACTCCAATTGGCGGCGCAGAGCAGGTAAGAGAAGGCTCGTGAGTTTGCCCTTGTGTTGGTTGATATTGATATTAACTCGGCCATCACTGGCTATCCGTGCACCTGTATCAAGGCCATTCTGACTTATGTCTAGCTGCCCGTACTCCGCGCCATTGTAGGCCGGTGGAGGAACTTCCTCCAGATGTGGAGAGACGCCGCCATGATGCCGTATGTGGCCTTCCGGAGAAGAATTGGAGACTGTAGGCTCTTTTGGTCCGCCACAGGCCTCCTCTTGGGCAGCAGCAGCAGCAGCTTGTGCTTCCTCTAGGATGATGGGAGGGACGGGTTCGCCTTGTTTCGGCGGCGTGGCGAGGGGATCTGAGTGGGACATTATTGCACCTAACAAGACATTAAGGATGTGGTCAGGACGATTTGAGGGGAGAAGGACCGCCTTGAAGAGGCGGGAGACGGTAGGAAAGGAGCAACTAGAGAGCGCAAGAGAGAGGGGAGAGGGTGCAGTTGAGCAGCTGACGGGGATAGAGGATGGTGAGTGTCGCGACAGTTGGGCCACTCGAAGTCAGGTGGGCATGAGCGGTAACGAGCAAGTAATCACTGCTATGGATGGAAACAACAGGAAGGGAAGATCTCGAAGCTTGCCGGTAAAGGGTATATCATCCTTTTTTCTTGTGTCAGTCCGACAGCAGACATGATTGTCAGGGCTCTGCAACATTGAAGCACGAACCAGGAAGGGGATATTGAACTAGTAGGTGATGCCGCTCTGGCTGGTTTCGAGCTGGATCTCGAGACCGGGCGACGCTTAACCGGAGCCACCACACCCACTCCAATGCAGGCGGCTGCTGGGCGGCATGTGCGCCTAGCCATGCTCAAGGGGTTTTAGTTTAGGTGGGCAAGCCCAGTGCGCCCCTAGCCTTTTGTTCGTAGAGCCTGCGGACCATCTACAGGCAGCCCCTTCCAGGACAGGCTATAGGGTTCTACCCGAGCGCCCCTCCTTCCACCCACGAGGGCTGAATCAGCAAATGCTGGAGTCAGCACCGGCCCCCTGATCTTTATACCTTTTGAGCAACTAGTAAGGCAAGTTTCTCCTTTGCCACCGTTTCTGGCCAGATCTATTCACAGCGTCCCGAGTAGCTATGCAAGTAACTCACATAAGGCTGAAGGAGCTACTGGACGCCACCGCCTAGCCACTTCATCACGTCCACGGCTGAGGTAATCCTAGGTAATCGTAACCTATACATTCCAGGTTCTCTCCCAATATCCTGTCTGGGTTCTCTACGCGCGTTGTTGTTTCCAGCTTTGTGCGACATCTTCCATCGTCTCGAATGTGATTTCGCCGCCCCCTGCTGCGTGTTGCCGCAGCACTAGCCTCCCGATGAATCGATCAATCATGCCCACAATATGTGCTCGACCAGCACTTTCGGGGTGCCAGATCATCCTACAAAAGGCCATTTCCTTGATTAGCAAATTGCCTCAAACGGATGAATGGCTTATGGCAGCAGCATTAGTGTGACTCACGGATATACGGAGCCATAACCTTTCCCAGGCCCTTCATCCAACCAGCTTTCATTTTCCCATAGCCACTCGAACCTATCCCACCACATCTTTTCCACAAGATCTACACCAACGTAGCCTTGCGTGTTGGCCGAGTAGGGATAAAAGCCGAGCTGATAGAGTCAGCAGTGAGGTCATTTCTGCAGAACCCAGGCAACTCACAGGTGTCATGTCCTCTGTATACCAGCTTCCGGGTATCTCCACCAGAGCCTTGTCGGCTTCGGCGGTTCCTGGCTGCGGCTGTTCGGGTACAGGGGTGGGGACCATCCAGCTCCTGGCCTCCTTTTTGTAATCCGGGACATGGGGTGGCTCTTGTGGAAAGGGGTTCACTAGGTAGTAAGGTAAAGAATCGTGTGCGTTCATGCTGCTGTCATAGAGGAAGTCGTGGTCCTGGAGAAGCTGGACGGTTGTCTCTCGGATTTGGTAGAGAGGTGCTCGATAGCCGACTGGCTTCTTACCTTGTCGGAGCACTGTTATCAAGTCAATGCATTTCTGCAAAACGTCTTTCTCCTGTTGAACGGTCATCGCATATGCTCCCTCGTGGCTATACCCATGGAGTCCAATCTCCGCTCCACTTTCAGCGATCTCCCGCGCTTGCGATGGGAATGTTTCAAGACTGTGGCCGGGGACGAACCAAGTGAGTTTGTCGGAAATACCGTGCTTTTTGAAAAGGCGCAGTAGCCTACCGACCCCGACATTGGCGCTGAAAATGCCCGCTGAGTAGTCGGAGAGTGTGTTCTGGGGATCATGACCAGTCCCCAGATACCCTGATATGGCGTCGAAGTCAACAGAGAGACAAATTCGCATCCGCCGCTTCCTCTTAGCCGGAGTTAATGAGGCAGGAATAGTCACCGTTTGCACCTTAGTCTCCTTTCCACTGTTCCCGAGGACGTGCTCCTCTCGCCAAATAACCCGGCCTTCCATCCCACCATCGACAGAAATGCATTCCCCAGAGATATGGCCAGCAGCACGATGGCTAGCCAGGAACGCCATAGCTCGCGCTACGTCTTCAGGTTGTGCAATCTTCTTCAACGCAACGGTGGCCTGGCATTCTGCCCACATCTCCCTCGGATCGTCTAAGCGGTCACCGATGAGAGGGGTGTTTACCCATCCGGGGGCCACTGCATTAATCCGGGCTTTCGAATTCAGTCGGACAATTTCATTCTTCACTGTGCGAACGAGGCCATACTGCAAGCCTGCCTTGCCAGAAGCATATCTACCCATTCGTTTCAGTATCTCCTTTGGCAATTTCCTGGGGTTCCTGAGTAATACTGACTCTGCGTGCCCTTCTTGGCCGAACTTTCCAGTTTCCGAACCTGTGATGACAATAGACACGTTGTCAAGTTCCGTTCCTTTGGCTTCTTGTGCCTTCTTCACTGAGAGCAAGAACTGCTTGACCGTTAAGAACGTGCCCTTGATGTTGTTGGTGTTGACCTTCGTTATATAAGTAAAAATGCACAGTTGAAGGCTCTTTGGAATATATCCAACCTTGTCCCATAGACTCTCCTCGATCTCCCATATTGGCGGATGAGAGCTTTCATCAGTAATTCCTGCATTGGCTATTAAGATGTTCAAGGGGCCGAAGTGGTCTGTTGCGGCTTGGAAAGCTTCAGAGACAGATTTTTCAGACGTCAGGTCGCCCTGAGTCGTGAAAAGCCTCGACGACTGCTCTGGAGTTGAACATAGCTTTGAGACATCAATGGATCTCCGGTCAAATGCCGTGACGCGACACCCAAGAGCTGAGGATGACAGTCAATTCTTGCTCTCGAGTGCATATATATATGAGGTACTATGTGGGATGAACGCATACCGAGAAATTCCTTTACTGCAGCACCTCCAATCCCCCCTGCGGACCCTGTGATGAAGACATGAAGACCCTCGAGTCCTAAGAACGTGACCGAGCTTCCAGCCATGATGGACATAAAGACAGTCGACCTGGATGATATTCGCACTCTCCTACAAAGGCAGCGGTTTGATGTCTACACCATCAACCTCCCTCAACGGACATGTCCGTGTAGCAGCTCAAGGCTGAGAATGTGGAGGGGACTTGAGGGGACGAAGCTGCCCGTCAAGCTGTATGGAATTGGACGCGGCCCCCCTGTAATCACCTAAGATACCGCTGGAGTCGTTGATTCGATTCTCAGAACACCTCGAGCCAAGATCGTACGGCTTCTCATCCATGCTCTCTCGTCGTCTCCGAGTCTCTGGAAAAGTTTTCTTTTTAGGTCAACGCCAAAGGTGGAGAACTGCACTGGCCTCGTGGGTGCCGGGGGGATGGTTCGCTCCTGCCTGATTAAATTTAGCCTCCAGTCCAAACCAGGCTTCGAGACTTTGGCTATGGAGTGCCTGAAGCTCGATTTCTTACTTGACATTTGGTGTCAGCTATCTCCCTCCGCTCGCTCCCCTATCTGAAACTTGGACTGGATTTATCGCTTGTCTCCAAGTTTGCCAATTGGATCCTAAGCGACGTCGTCTTCGTGGCTCGGCTGGTCTCAAGAAAGCACTGGGTCAGCGACTGATTGAATCAACCAAGAATCCCGGATCCTGCGCTGATTAGTGGATGCCCTCCGATATCAATACCGAGCGCAGATCCGAGTGTCCTGCCCGTCGAACGTGGTCTATGCTCTGGGCGAGACGCCCCTATCTGACTCTTTCCCAGAGATGCTGATAGTGAAGATGAGTATATAGCAGCGTCGGGTTTCCTTTCTTCTTTTCCCTTCCCCGTTAGTTTTGCTGTCAGTTACCTTTTAGTGACAATCGCAAATATGTCAAGCGTGGATGACAAGAAAGATCCTATGCCTAATGAGGTCGCGACCGACTCCCCGTCAAACACTGCGGACACCGCGGACACGGGAGTCACTGAGCTCATCAATGCTTCTGGCCACGTACAGGAACTCGAGCGGAACTTCAGCCTTCTCGCCGCTGCTGGGGTCGGTCTTGTAGTTGGAACCGTATGGCCGGCTGTCGGGGGGTCGATCCTCGTCGCCATCTTCAACGGCGGTCCTCCAGGAGTCATCTATGAGTTCATTGCAGTTTCGGTTTTCTACTGGATAGTGGCTGCATCATTGGCGGAATTGGCTTCGGCCATACCTTCCAGCGCTGGGGTTTATCATTGGGCTTCAGTAACTCCAGGCAAAAAATGGGGTCGCCTGGTTGGGTATGCTCCATCTTCAAAATGATGCTCATCAAATTGCCTGACAGTCCGTGACTACAGATTCTTTGCCGGATACTGGAACTGGCTGGCATGGGTGTTTGGTGCAGCATCAATGAGCTTCATCCTCGGTTTGTGGCCCCCTCTTGCTGACCGATATGAAGCTCATTCTCGACAGCAAACACGTTCGTGCAGATGTATGCTCTCGAGCACAGCGACTTCACTGCGAAGCGGTGGCATGTCTTTGTGACGTATCTGGTAGGTCGGGAACAAGCGCCGGGGCGAGGCAGGCCCGGTAGTGGGCATTGGCTGACGAGTGATTCAGATTGTAACCTGGATTGCTTGCCTGTGCGTCTGCCTGTTCAACAGGGCGATGCCTTACTTGAATACTGTAGGCATCGTCCTCCTACTGGGCGGTCTCCTAGTTACTATTATCGTTGTGTAGGTCTCACCGTTGATGTGATAAAAGAAGAAGGATTAATTGTTTCTAGGGCCGCAATACCAGGATCCGGCGGACACCCACCACATGCCTCTTCTAGTTTAGTCTGGACCGAATGGACTGCTGACATAGGATATCCTAACGGGTTTGTGTTTGTTGCCGGAATGCTGAACGGCGCATACTCTGTCGGAACGCCAGATGCCGTGAGGTTCGTTCAATAAGCACAACCTCACGACCGCAGTGAATATGCAAAGCTGACCTTTTGCCGCACAACAGTCACATCGCCGAGGAGGTTCCGTATCCTAGCAAGAACATTCCAATCGCTATCGGGCTGCAAATGAGCATCGGATTCGTCAGCGGACTCTGCTATATCATTGCGATCGTAAGTTTCCCATCTCCCAAACGTTTTGGCGAAGATCATGTCATAGCGCCTGGCATCGTTGTTAGTTGCTGACAGATTTTCCAGATGTATGCAATAAACGACTATGACGCACTATTCAATGCGCCGTTCCCACTTGCCGAGATATATCGCCAGGCCACCGGGTCAGCTGGAGGTGCCATTGGCTTGCTGTGTCCATTCCTCTTCTGCATCGCAACCTGCTTGGTAGGCGTATATATCACAGCCGGCAGGACATTATGGACGCTCGGACGAGACAGAGCGACTCCGTTTCCTCAGTATATCAGCAAAGTGTCCCAGAGGTTCGAAATGCCTCTCTATGCAACTCTGGTGTGTGGCTGTCTGGTGACTGTTCTGGGCTGGTAAGTGTTCTAGACATTACGTCCGGCAAATGGCTGACGATAGATAATGTAGCATCTATGTTGGGAGTGCTACGGCCTTCAATGCATTCGTTGGCAGCTTCGTGCTAATGTCTTCTTCAAGGTATTTTCAGATGGGATCTCCAAGTGAGACATTGCATCTGGAGTTGCTAATTTGGGAACAGCTATATCGCAGCAATCCTGCCTCATCTTCTGACCGGTCGCAAAAACGTCAAATTCGGCCCGTTTCAACTGGGAAAATTTGGGGTCGCGCTGAATATGATTGCGTGTGGATACATGACTGTCTGGTTCGTCATCTACTGTTTTCCTTTCGCTTTGCCCACGGATGCGGAAACCATGAATTATGCCTGTTTGATCTGGGGTGGTCTGACAATTTTCGTCACGGTTTGGTGGTTCCTTGGTGCAAGAAAAGACTATGTTGGTCCCAAACCCGCTGGAGGGGTAGAACACGAGGTTGAACACGTGAGAAGAGCTAGTGTAGAGAAGCGAGCTTCAGTGTAGGCATTGCTATATTCATCGAGTATGTGCTCGGCAAGTTCAATAGGAATTGAAAATGAATTCAGCAACGTACTGGAGCAAGATTTCGTGTTCCCCCGAGACAAGCCTATTTTGCCTATTGACCTGCAAGCATCAATGGGGTGCGAGCTTGTGCGGATAAATCTCGGTACAATAACTTCACGTGACCATTAGATCTTGGCATGAATTTATCCCACAACTAAAAATCGAGCCTCTGAAAGATCGAAGCAGTCGAGCGACCCGTCCCAAACTCGACATTCCGCAAAACCAGCACGTCAAGATGTCTGACAACGGCGAGGTTGAAGTCGAAAATCCGACCTCTGGTTGGCCTGTCCTACCAAAAGATGTCATGCAAGAGATCGGCAGCGTGAAGCTCTTTGGGCGCTGGAGTTACGAGGATGTGGAAGTCAGAGATATCTCATTGACGTACGAAAGCCCATATCGGATACCAATTACTGCGCGAGTAAAAGCCCACTGACAAGACCAATTGTAGTGACTATATTCAAATCCGATCACCGGTCTACATCTCTCACTCCGCGGGTCGATATGCCGCAAAGCGCTTCCGAAAGGCACAATGCCCCATCATTGAACGACTGACCAACTCTCTGATGATGAACGGTCGCAACAATGGCAAGAAGTTGATGGCTATTAGAATTGTGGCACACTCATTTGAGATCGTATGTCTCTCTCCCTCTTTGCGAGCCCTGGGGAAACCACTGTGCGAGGGACGAACATCTGACTCCCATTTTGTTCTTCTAGATCCACATCATGACCGACCAGAACCCCATTCAAATCGCCGTTGATGCCATTGTCAACTGCGGCCCTCGCGAAGATAGCACCAGAATCGGAAGCGCCGGCACAGTCCGAAGACAAGCCGTCGATGTCTCCCCTCTCCGCCGCGTCAACCAAGCCATTGCCCTCCTCACCATCGGCGCCCGTGAAGCTGCGTTCCGAAACGTCAAGAGCATTGCCGAGTGCCTTGCCGAAGAGCTGATCAACGCTGCCAAGGGAAGCAGCAACTCCTACGCCATCAAGAAGAAGGACGAGTTGGAGCGTGTGGCCAAGAGTAATCGGTAAAGCGGTTAATGGTGGTATGGGATGTTGTTGCTGGTTGGATCGAAACATGGTAACGACTGGCAAATTCATGGCAGTCTACTTCAAGCATGCAGATGGTAGGCATCATCGTCTGCTCTGGGAGCGCATCATTCGAGAGTGTAGCACACGCGCGGAGGACCCACGAGGTCAGCCAGGGTTGCAGATTCTGCGGCTTAGATGATGTGGCAATGTCCACAAAATTCCAAATGGCATGAAAACGTTGACAAAGACTCGTCACAATCCCTGTTGCTCCCCCGAAAACCTCGTTTCAGGGAATGGGCAAAAAAACTATGAAGCTGCCTCGTCGCATCGTTTACCGCCATTTTTTATTTTGCGACCATCCTGGACTACAGCCGGACTTTAAAACGTGAGCGAGTATTGGGACAGAAAATGACAGAGACGTGATGCATTGAATTCATATTTCCGGGTCCCTCGTCACGACGACCGTGTTCCCCAAACCATGTCCTATATCCCTGCTCGCATTCTCCCACCGACATGTGTTCTGACTATCTTTGTTTTTTGACGCGAGAGACCCTCTTTAGGTTGGTGAGTTCCCGTTATTTGCATTTTGCTTCTGTGTCTCGGGATGTGCCTTTCACTTTGTGGTTCGCCAGACTTTGTCTGAGTTCTCTCCATGTTGGCGTCTGGCTGCTTGTTGCTTTCCTATCGTGAGGAGTGCCCTTCCAGTCTCACAACCAATTGTCCCTGCCACGGCCCATATAGCCGTCCATCCATCGTTGGCCCAAGTATTCATTCTCTCTCCTGTCACAAAAGCCCCCCCGTCTCGGCCAGAGCACCAGGAGAGGCATTTGAGCGAGCCCTGTGTCGTCGTGTTGCGTACAGCGAGGCGATTTCATATCTCTCGGGGATGGTGATGCAACGGCCTGATGTCCCCAAAGGCCATCATCATGTTCCTAGAGCGCACCTCCCTCATATACGCTTCTTGCTCGGGTTTCTTGTGATTGAAACCGCCCTCCTCCGGATCTCCTCTGCCGAACAGCCTCTGAAAAGCGAAGCCCACACAGACAGCGCCCGCGGCGGCTAAGATGCACAGGAGGACAACTACCTGATCGGGGAGGCCCATGGTAGGTTGTTCTTGACGGATTGTGACTCTGGTGAAAGGAAGGCGGGATAAGTCGAACTCTGGATTCTCTCGTATTCGCTGACTTTTGAACTGGGTAGATTAACACTCCAGCAATAGATTTGAACAAGGACAGGGAGGGAATTTTCAATGCTTAATAGCGGCGATTAGCTGGACTTATAGAGTAAATGAAGGAGGCGGGTTTCAGAAACAGGGAAGAAGAGGCAGTTATCTTTGACACCATGTTGGATTTGTACATGTACCCTTCATATATCACCATCCAGCACATACTTGAAGAGCGCAATTTCAATGCGGCAGCATAGCGAGAGCCACTACGCGCAGTGTCTCGGATATTGAAAGCCCGTCCTTTGCAAATCATGCATTGATCGCATGTAAACAAGGTTGGAAGCTTCATCTTTAGTCGCAATTCCTGCTTGTCCGAGGGCCTAAGGAACTGGCCCCATTGATATCGAACGACTGAAATAGAAAAGCGCGGACCAATACACTAACCAGTTTCGATCGAGAATCCGAGCGAGTCGAATCGGCAACGGTGCTGGAGCTCCACTGAGGTCTGGGATATCCCACAAGGCCCCTTTGGACCAAAAGTTTGATCTCCTGCTTGCCAACAAACGGGTGAATGTGGGATTCATTTGGTCTGGCAGGGTTTCTTTCGACCAGTTCTAGACGGAAGTTTTGATGTCAGACCCTGCATTGAATGGCAGCATGTTCCGTGTTTAGGCCATCTGTGCGCAACCTCGACACCGCGGCCATTCAACCGAATATCATTTTGCGCAGCCAAACACGCATTCAGCAATCGGCCAAGCGTTGTTCAGACTGTGAATGCTAGTCCCATGGGCTCTCGTCGGAACGGTCAGGCGAAATCCAAGACTGGGTGCTTGACCTGCAAGTATGTCTCTGTCCCTGGAAATTTGATGGTTCGTGTACTGACATTGTCTAGGATCCGTAGGTTTTTGTTCTCCTCAGACTCATCAGTATCTGGATGGGTCCTTATCGCCAAACTCATCAGCAACTGCGCAGACTAACAGGCACTCGTAGGAAAGATAAAGTGTGACGAGTCGAGACCATATTGCAGGAAATGCACCGATACCGGTCGAAAGTGCGAAGGGCCCATCATCCGCCAGATTCGTTTTGCTGAGGACCAGTTCTCGACGCCAAAGTGTCCAGTTCCGCTACCCGAAGTCTCTCTACACACACCGCAATGCAGTGATGATGAGAGATGGGCTTTCAATTATTTCATCCATCGCGCAGCGCCAGTATTTGCAGGAATCATAGATGTCCCCTTTTGGCTCGAATTGGTTCCCCGTCTCGCTCAGTCTTATGCCTTCGTTTGGCATATGGTGGTCACAATTAGTTGGGCCTTTGAGCATGTCGAATACCGGGAGCTGCCGGCTGTTTTCGATACTGGTCGTCCAACTGCTGTTGTTGTCAATGCCGACCACCGACGAGCACTGAAGTGGTATAACAAGGCCCTTGTAAGTTTCCGTCATCTGCTCGAACAAGGCGAAGCGGACAATGCATATACTCTTTTGAGTTGCATCCTGTTCGGCAGTTTTGAGTTTCAGCAGAGGAACGTTGGTAACGCATTGCGCCTGATGGACAATGCTTACAAACTGCTAGCCCGGAATCTCTCGAACTCTCAGACTCAGCAGATGCCCACGACAAACACCGACATCCACGAGATGGTGACGGCTTTCTCGTCACGAAAAGCGATCCTAATGGCCACCCTTGCTACTCCGACGGCCCCCGAGTGGAAGTATCACACTGCAGAACGCAACACAGGGCCTACCACCATCGCCACCTTGTCAGTGCTCGACGAATTCCGAAAACATTTGTACCAGCTCATGTATGATGCGTACGAAGTAGTCCGAATAAATGCCATCTTGTCTCACGATGAATACGAAATGCAGAAGTTGAGGCCAAGACAGCAGATATGTCTGGAAAAATTGCAACGATGGAAAGATTCCTTCCTCCATCTTCCGGAAGACCTGCGAAATGGTGAAACTGGGTGGATCTCGTCCTATCTTCTGATGCAATGGGGCGTTTCCCACGTTTGGCTGTGCTGCTGCTTGAGCCCGTTGGAGACCTCATTTGATCAGTATATGGATGAATTTGCAGCTATGATCAATGGGGCAGAAAATGTGATGGACCACAGTGCCGGATATAAAATTCGCAGGCCAATACTCACTTGCGAAATCGAAGTGATACCACCGTTATATTTTGCGGCAACCAAATGTCGCAATCCGATTTTGCGCAGGAAGGCTTTGCGCCTATTACGAGAAGTCCCTTACCGAGAAAGCGTCTGGGCATATATTGCGTCACCGCGAGTGGTTGAGAAGATGATTGCTGTTGAAGAAGGCCATGACCGATTTTTGGAATATTGTTTGCCAACCGGATCATTCTCATTACCACCAGAAGAGCGCCGAATACACCATGTGGCCATTATTAAGGCAGATGTGATCGAAGGCCGGCATCGCCTCAAATTTCAGTGGAGTAAAGTTGCGTTTGACGACAACGGATCGCTGAGAATGGTGCATGAGAATGCCTGGCTAGAGGACTGCATCGAAGAACCTAGTCGACATTCAGCATTGTCAAAGATGGTATAAGCATATGCTTGTCAAAGTGTGAATCTTCACCGGGGAAGACCCCTTGCTCGAAGACCTGATATGGAAGAATGCTCGGCCACACAGCAGCCAACGACTTACCGCGAAGGGAATCAGTCGCCCAATTACTCGAAGGCTGGCATGGTGTGAAGAGAGAGAGAGAGAGAGAGAGAGAAAGATCATTCTAGGACTGGCGATGCCCACTACTTGGGCCACTAGTAGTCTGTCTGGAAGGGAGAGGGGTCTGCTTCTGATCATCGCATTCTGACCTCGCAGCGAGTTGCTTCATATCCTCATGCATTGGGCTTGGAGCTGCTCAGATATGCAGGGCAACCTTCTATTAGGCTGCGGGGAATGCATTCCATATGCGGAGGAAGAGCAGTTCTGTACCTATAAGTCTTATTGGTAGTTGAAATCCTTGCCACTGCTCCCGGGACATCTTCTCTGGAGCTGAAGAAAGACGCCAGTTTTGTTGACATTAGATAAACCCATACAATGGCAAATCGAGGTTCTCCCTACGGCAAAATCGAGTTGCCCTCATTTGCTCTTAGCGGTCGCATAACGAAATATGGTCACCTGGTTTCCTGGGCGGGAAGTCCAGCGTGCATATCGGTGAAAGAAATTAGTATACGGGGTAGTTGAGAGTTGCCAGTGGAATGTTGTCCGAGGAACATGCTATTAGTGTTGGAAATTGGGTCGATCAAAGGAATAAAAGTTTGTAAAGACTTCGAAGTGTGACGTAGAGCCGATGATTCTAGCAGGAGGGACCAGAGAGGCACTTGGAGACAGCCACCACACTAGCTGTCAGACGCGTGGAATTTATTATACCACGAGGCAGTTTGTGGAATCTCATCCAGATCAGATCACTTGGGAAAAAGTCCGCAATTTTTCCAAACCCCCCTCCCCCCCCACCCCCAACGCCGGCTGCGACTTTGCAGAAAGGGTGCTTTACCTATTCACCTTCAGGGCTGAGAGTGGGTTGGAAAATAGAAACATGGGCAAGCGCAAACTGGGCGCGCTGGAAAAGGTCGACGCAGACCTCGCCAACCTGCAGAACAAGATCAAACGAGACCCGAAATCCTACCACACCGACTTCCTCCACCAGCACATCCAGTATGAGAACCAGCGGCAGATCTTCATGCAGGCGCCGGCATCGGCCACGTCGAGCGGCATCATCTCCTTTCGTGACCTGATCGAGTTCGTGGCGCACGTGGCGGACTGCTATAAGGACGAGACCAAGGACTTTCCGCGGCAGTTGATTGAGATTCTATCTGCACACCATGCGACATTGGAGCCGGAGTTGAGGGAGAAGATCGTGGGCAGTCTGGTACTGCTCAGGAAGAAGGAGATCATTGACTCGCACATCCTGCTGCAATGTTTCTTCCCCATCCTCACCGCGACGCCCAGCAAGTCGCTGCGAGCGCTGCTGTTCCAGAAAATGCTGAGCGACCTGCGCTCCGCCAATTCGAAGACCACAAATCACAAACTCAACCGCAGCGTGCAGACGACCCTCCACAACCTGATCACGGACGACCGATCGTCCCCCAAGGGGCTGTGGGCGGTCAAGATTACGCGAGAAATGTGGAAGCGGCAGATCTGGACGGATGCAAAGGCGGTTGAGATCATGAAAGAGGCCGCATTGGCCGACAACGAAAAATGTGTGGTTGGAGGCCTGCGCTTCTTTTTAGGTGGTGACAAAGAACGAGAAGAGTTGGAGGACGAAAGCTCGGACGAAGAAACTGTCGATATAAGCAAGCTGCGGCATCAGATCGGGGTCAACAAGAAGAGCAAGAAGGCCGAGAGAAAACTCGAAAAAGCCGCCGCAACGGTCCGTCGGAAAGAGAAGAAAAAGGGTCAGCCTCATCCGTTGAATTTCTCTGCATTACATCTTTTGCATGACCCGCAAGGCTTTGCGGAATCGATGTTTTCCAAGCACCTACAGAATACAAGGTCAAAGTTAAATCTCGAGCAGAAGTTGCTGGCGTTGCAGCTTGTCTCGAGGCTGATTGGGCTGCACAAGTTGACTGTCATCAGCTTTTACTCTTACTTTTTGAAGTATTTGACACCTCGACAGCCTTCGGTCACATCCTTTTTGGCTTCGTTGGCGCAGTCCACACACAACCTGGTGCCGCCGGATATATTGGAGCCTCTGGTACAGAAGATTGCCAACGAATTTGTATCGGAAGCTGCTGCTGGGGAGGTAGCAGCAGCGGGATTGAATGCAATTCGCGAGATTTGTGTACGGCAGCCATTGGCTATGAATGACACCTTGCTACAGGATTTGGTTATGTATCGGAAAAGCAAAGATAAAGGGGTGATGATGGCAGCAAAAGGCCTATTGAGCCTCTATAGACAAGTCGGTGCTGAAATGCTCAGAAAGAAAGACCGTGGGCGAGATGCCACACTTGGCCTGAAGTCAGGTGAACAAAAGCCGCAGAGATTTGGTGAAGAGGCAGTAGGCGAGATTGAAGGGTTAGAGCTACTTGAAAAATGGAAAGAACAAGAAAGGCAGCGGAAGAGGTTGGAGAAGGGTCTTCCGGCAACCGGCTCGGGGGATGAAGAGGACGAGAGCGATGACGAAGACTGGAATGCATGGAACGTCGAGGAAGATGCAGACAGCGATGATTCGGGTGGATGGATCAACGTCGAAAGCGACGAAGAGATCAACATCAGTGACAGCGAGGATGAGCAGCCCTCGACAAAGAAAGTACGGTTCGATCCGCAGATATCCACAACCGACGACAAAGAGAACGAAGGCGAGGAAAAGCCCGACCAAGCAGCAGAACCAAGCAAGACCCAGCAGAAGTCGAATCTGGCCACCACTCGCATATTGACACCAGCTGACTTGGCCAAGTTGCAAGAACTTCGGACGACGGCCTCAGTGTCTTCGCTCATGAAGAATCACAAGTCACATCACGCCTCGAGTACATCGCAGCAGACGAATTCGCAACGACACATGGATGACCCTTTGACGGCCGCAGAAATTGAAGGCCTGGCATCCCTCTCCCGCGGCAAGGCGACTCGAGCGCAGAAGCTGGCCTTGTTGCAAGAACACAAGGATGACCGTGAGGCACATAAATCCAAGGCAGCCCGGAGGAAGGAGCGAAAGGAATCGGAGGGCAAAAGCACGACTAATAAAGAGAAGGCGCGCAGGAAGAATTTCCTGATGACACTGAGCAAGGCCAAGTCCAAGGGGAAGAGGAGCCTGGTTGAGCACCGGAAGATCTTGAGAGCGCACGTTGAACGGGGGAAGAAGGGTGGGAGGCGAGGGAATGGAGGGTAGATGTTGGATGTGATGCGCTGGCGATGCCATGATAGCAATACATAAGGTGCTGTGAGGATGTTGACGATGTTTCTTCTTGGTGGTTGTGAGTGAGCAAGCCACTGGGCACGACTCGTACAAGGGCAGTAAAAGAAAGGATCAAGGAATGAATCCATCCATCCTCCTACCAACCTCCAACAATTGAATTAATTAATTGCTCGTATGAGCTGTGAGCATGGCAGGTGAGATGTAGGGAGCAATCTCATCTCAACCCTTTCTCCCGCTTCCTATTCCTCTTCTTCATTCGGCTCAGCCCACTTTCCCAACGAACCCAAAACTGTCTGCGCCAGCCACGCCCCTCAAACCAATTAAAACGTGGTCGCGTAGAGTGGGAAGCCTCGCGTCAATTTCGTGTCAGCGCGGCCCAGTTTAAGTTTTCCAGCGACAGAACACAAGTTCGGTCATTTCGGACGCGGATAGCCAATCAGGGCTCCCCAATTCTGCCCAGCCCGCCCAGCCCCGGACTTTTGCATTGGGCGAGGTCCGCACGCTAGGCCTGAAACTCGCTGGGCTAGCGGCGGGAGCGAAGCCACTATTAATATCGCCATGCAGGAGAGTTTTAGGCCTTAGGGGGGCGGCGCAGGGAGGCGAGAGGCTGGAGGCTGGGGAGGAGACTTCTGGTTGGTCTGTGTCGGAGGGGCTGCAGGGGACTGCAAGGGGTTTTACAGGGGTCTCTACGAGTAGCCTCCTCTGGGCCGCTCAGGGCAGCCTCAGGGCTGACCTTTCAGGCCAGAAACGCTGCAAAAAGAGGCTCACCAGGCCCCGTTCAGCAGGGTTCATGGCTCTCGCTCGTCTCTCGCTTGATGCTTGACGTGATCCAGTCGCTCCGGAAACTCGATAAGCCCTGATATGCTCAACCTCTTCCTGACTCTTGGTGTCTCTCCTCGCCCTGTCATAGTAGTCGCCGCCGTACGAGGACACGCACACCAAGAGCCAATTGCTGCTGCGCAGTTGCCGGACTCCAGAGTCGGTTAAGTTGCGACTCCCAATCCCCTCGTTTTAAACTTCGACACCTCTTTTTCAATTCCTTCTTGAATCAGCTCCTGTCTCTTTCTCCCTCATCTCACTCTCATCCTCACCTTCTCCTTCACCCTCATCCATCAGCACCAGCTCTAGCTGCCTTCTTTCATTCACAACATTAATCCTCCCTCAACCCTCGGCGCCTTGCTATTCACTTAGCAGGGAAAGGACCCTCTCGTCGAGCATCACACCTTCACATTCTCACAGTCGTTGCCTTTCACCCTCACTGATCAGTCTCGAGCTCTGCCAGCGCCCTCTTTCAGTCGCTTCTCACCAGTCTTTACCAACACATCCACATCACAAAAAGATGGGTCTGCCAGAAGACTTTTCCACTCCGGTGCCCTCCATTGAGTCGGACTCACCCCACTCCAAGCGTCGTCGCTTCACCCCCAACTCCCTGCCTCCCATCATCCCTGTCACGGACAACGCCGACATTGAAAACCACACCTTTGACTCGCCATTGCTCCTGCAGCTCTGCGAACAAGCCCCTGATCAGGCGGAAATCGAGGCAGGTCTTCTCCAGGTCGGTATGCGCGTCAGGAAGGCCGTTGCTGAAGGATACAAGACTCATCAAAAGAAATTCACTCCTCGGCCCTTCTTCGACATGCACCGGCTTTCTCCAGAGACCCAAGCTGCTCTGTCTGCTGGCAACGCCGATACTACTAACGAGCTCTCCCCTTATTCTGCCGCCGAGGTGCAGCCCATCAGCACCGCCACCTTTTGTGGTGTCAGTTTGGCCTACCTTTCCCATTGTAGCGAGGACTGGTCGAGCCCTTCGTTCACCCAGCAATCTCTCTGGTCTTATTCCACCAGCCACAAGCGTTCTTACGAGGCCGACTCCGATAGCGACGACAGCCAGGACTGGCAGCCTCGAACTCCAAACTTGGTGGCTGACGCCGGAGTTCACATGCCTGTAGATTATTTCGCCATCGACATCGACACCATGAGTGATGTCAGCCCAATGACCCAGGTCGGGGACCGTGCCAGACAACAATTCAACAGCCGACGCATGGCTATGCCAAAGAGTCGCGGCAGATTCCTCCAACAGCCCGAGACACAAGTGCCACCTACCTCGGCCGTCAACCCATTCGCCAACATGATTGTTCAACAACCCGAATCTCAACTCGCGAATCATCTTGGTCACAAGAGGATGATGAGCTGTGGCATGGAAGCTGCCATGGATTTCGGTGAAGCTTCATTCCTGCAACGACGGGAGGATGTTGAGATGGATTGCTCTTGAAAAACAGAAAAGAAAAAAAAAAAATCACTGGATGAAGCCAGGATTTTGACGATTGTATTATTTATGGTTTGCGTTGCTTCATGAATTTTTCGGTTTCAAGACGGACAGAAACGCATCAAGAGGGATGTCCTGCGGACGAATTGCGATGACCTGAAAAGGGCTTGGATACGCAAATCGATGAGCATAAAACGGGGGAGACGGAGGAAGTCGAGAGATGCTTGGATGGACGCCTCAGCAGCCGTCCTGGGGAACGCTGTAAAATATTGCGAGCTGTGATCATCACTGGGTGGACATGGAAATAGGAACATTGTATATACGGCCTGGAATCCGTGAACCTGGATTGAGTCGTCTGCGGAAAGCTGGGAAGGTGCTTATCCGCCTCGGTCGACAGGAGCAAACGGAATTTTGCAGGAGTCGGTGCACACTGCAACAAGAGGGCGACTTGCATGCCTCATGTTATTATGCATTATCAATGGATGAAAATCAAGCTCAGATAGATAATTAAAGAATGAAAATACAATGAGCCAAAAATGATCTCGACTCCCATTTTTAGCCGCCTTTGAGACATCATCGTGTGCACTTGCACGTGATTGTGATGGGAAAATCCGCGACCTTCAGAGTTGATTTTTTCTGTTTTTCAGTCCTCCTTGACTTCAAGCTCGCTTCTACGGCAAGCGTCTTCTCTTCAGGACTCCAACAACGGACTTCTTGTGTTGAATACGGTGCCCACACTCGCCCAGACAGCCGTAGAGTGTGCGGCCGTTAGAAGAACATGTTAATCACTCTTGAAAACCATCCTTTCGCTTCCATGTTAACCTTCGACAAGATTATAGCCTTGCAGACCAGGCGAGTGGGAACGCTATGGCGGGTAATGGCAGATGTCTTTCCAGGGAATTGAAGACTGCAGACATGTCCTGTCCAAGCCTGACCAAACCTGGCATACCCTGGCAATGTCAGTCCCCCCTTTTGTGACAGGGGCTGGAAGTGGCCATCAGATCCGACCATTTTCTATTGGCTACGCGCGACAAACACCCTCGTGAAACAGGCAAAGGCGAGGGAGATGGCATGACTCCTGAACTCACCAGTGAGTTGAGGCGCCGATAACAAGGCCCAATTTAAAAGTCATTTCGCTCTGCTTAGCGATTATTTATGGCGGGATGACCTTTGTCGTCGTGATTCCTCTCGAGTGCGCAACGATGAGTTTGCCCATGAAATCTTCATTCTTTAACCAACAGCCAAAGCATTCACGAGAAGAGGGGCTTTCTCTCTTCTCAGTGTGAACACATGATGTCCACCATGACCATTCCCGGCCTCTCGCTCATCCTCCGTGCGAGACGATCGCCACTTCTCGACTTGATTTATAAGTACACGCCCTTACCGGTTGAAGGCTGGATTAGGATTCTGGTGCTTTATCCGGGATTTGCGAACGACGAGCTCTCGTGCAGTCTTCAATCCTGGAAAATCGAGGACGTTGCCAGGTTGGGTTTCGAGGCCCTGTCTTATGTCTGGGGGAGTGACTATGGATCTCAACAGGCGAGAAAGCTCGACTGTGATGGTGCTCCGCTGCACATTCGAGCGAACTTGGACTGTGCATTGAAGCATCTTCGCCACGACCGAAACACGAGGTTCCTTTGGGTGGATGCCGTGTGCATCAATCAGGGAGACAAGGAGGAGAGATCTCGACAGGTGAGTGGTTTCTATCAACGCCATCGAGATCCACTGTCTCGAAAGCTAGCATTCTCACACCAGGCGGTAGGTCCAACAAATGGGTGCAATATACGCAAGCGCGTCGAAAGTCCTCGTTTGGATAGGCCCGGATATCAATCACGAAGCGAAGGAATCTTTCGCCCTGATACAAAACACTGCCACTCTCCTTTCCGAGATGATCTCGGACTATGGAGATGTCAATCTCTTCCCTCCCATTACCCGGGAAAGTAGAATAATCTGCTCGGACACCCTCAAGTGGGATATGGTCCGCCGATTGATGGATTCGGAGTGGTTTTCGCGGGTCTGGGTACTCCAGGAAGTCGGCCTGGCCCGTTCAGCAGTCCTGCTCCACGGTAACGCAACGATGAACTGGGCTTACCTGGTTGAATTGATGCTTATCGTTGCATCACGTGTTGATGTCGCCTCACTCATGGGAACCGTCAAATCTGGTATGGTCTGGGACTTGTTCGAAGACCTTTGGCGGACATTTGGAAATGATATATCTTGGAGGAACGAGTTGCCGATGTGCAGGACCTTGAACTCCAATGAGAGTCAAGTGAGCTTCATCAACATTCTAAACGATGGGCGGTCCTACAAGGCCACTGATCAAAGGGATCGTGTATACGCTTTCCTCAGTCATCCGAGTACAGCTTGCGGTATTGCAAAAGAGAAAAGATTGGTGGTCCCCAACTATAACCTGTCCGTCGACCAAGTCTATTTCAACACGGCCGTGGCCATCCTGGAAAATGACCCATACCCGTGGACTCTGCTCACTTGTATTGACCATACTGTAGGATCCCCTTCACTTTGCGGTCGGCGACCCTCGTGGGTTCCGCGTTGGGACGAAGGGTGGCGTGTGTATTGGTTGGGCTACCCAGAGATGTGGTATCGAGCTGGCGGAACTCAGCCCGCCACATTTCAATTCGAGGTCTCCAGACCAGAGTCGTCTTTACATCTAACGGGCGTAATCTTGGATTCCATCGAGTGGACATCTCGGGTATTCGATTCCGAAGACCTTCTCCTTGAACCCCAGAAGAAGGAGGGGCCGTTGCAAAAGCTGTGGCAAGGGTTGGAACATGGAGACTGTAGTCATGTTTACGGCAGTAGCCCTTACGATCGAGAATACGCCTACAGCCTTACGATCATAGCGGGACGGGCAACTGATGAAGGGCCTGCTGAAGACAATCCGAGTCTTCACCGCGCCGTCTATCGAACATACAAAGAACTACTCCACGACGGGACTAGCGGTGACCATGGAAGTCATCCACTGCCATCAACAGATGCAGACTCTAACCGTCAACAAGAGCAGGATTCTCCAAGATCCCTCGAACTCGAAGCGCTTACCTACGTCGGCAGCAATCAGCGCAGAGCCTTACATAACCGCCGATTTTTCCGAACGTCAAAGGGCTACTATGGAGTTGGCCATATGACAATCGAGATAGGTGACGAATGCTGTGTTTTTAGGGGTGCAAATATGCCATTTGTCATTCGAAGGGTATCAGCCAACGGTGTGCAAGGAGCGCCTACCTCAAGTCGACATTTGCTTGTGGGTGAATCTTATGTCCAAGGCGTCATGAGGGGAGAGATATTTCTGAAGATAGATGCAGGCGGGCGTGATGACCTGGTTGAACAGAAAATTATCCTTGTGTAAGACAGATTTTTGCTGATTGAAAAGAAATGATGATTGAACCCGGTAATAATAATATTATTAGTATGTGAACGAGCCCGCTTTGGTACTTGTCGAGGCGGTCGTTGTTGACCGGCAACGGACGGATGACTAATTACATCACGTGCTTATAGCCAAGATTGGGTTTCCTGATTTGGGCTGTAAACAAAGAGTCGACAGGAAATGCCATTCTACCGAGTACTCGTATCTGCGGTGCCTCTCACTCAACTCGCTATCCTCGCAGTACTGCATCAACTGAAACCATGAAAGTGTTATGACGGTGACTTTCACCTCGAATGGCTTCTAAACTCATGGATGCGGCAATTCTTGTCAATGATAACAACATGGAAAACCACAATCCACACATTAGTCCGAACCCGCTCAGGTGCCCTCCTGCACCACTGCACCAACTTTCGCCAGAGCGTATCAACCAGCAGCGCCTCCCTCAATCCCCTTCCCTACACAGCTATGTCGTTGACCATGACCGACCATGCACCCGTGATTCCTTCACGTCGGACGTTCAGTCGAAAGTCGCCTTCCTGAACAGCTTGGCTGCAAATACCAGCGTTCAGTCGTCACCCACCCGGCCTCGAAGACTCGGAGCCACCATTTCAGACAGTTGCAATGGCACCCCTAATCATAATCTTAATAACAACAACGCCCTCCAGCGGGCAGTCATGGGATACGAGGAAGCGCAGGCGAGTCTGGCAACCTTGAACGCCGAGCTAGAGCGGGCAAAGGAAGAACTCGCCTCGAAGAAGAAACGGGAGAGGATGCTCTCACAACGTGTCGAGGATCTCTTGGAAGAATTGCAGGCGGAGAAGGAGAAACGAACCCGAGATCAAGAATCCTACACGAAAGAAATCAAGCGGTGTCGCAAGGAGACGTACCGTGCTGAATTGGCGGTCGTGGAGGCAAGGCAGGATCTGCAAGAAGTGAGGGCTGAGTTGAAGAAATGCCAGGCTGAGATGCAGCATGAGAAGACGGAGAAGGAGAAGGCTCGTCAAGAGAGTTTTGAGAGGGCTTACGCGCTGGCGGGAATGGTCGGGGAGATGGATCAGCTTCGGGATCGACTAAAGGCCGTTGAGAAGGAGAGGGACGCAGCTCTCTCGGAGGCAAAAGCCAATGCCGTCGAAAAGAATGCTACTTTGGAAAAGGGTGTTCAAACTGAGTTGAAAAAGACGAACGAGTGTGCAAAGACAGAAAAGACCGAGCAGAGGAAGACATTCAAAGAGGGAGAAAAGATCCGGGCTCCGCACTATTCGGACAACGAGAGCGATATCCAATCCGCCCCAACGTTCAGAATGGTGCCAGCATTAGTATCAGCGGGTCGCATGATACCTGAAGATCCCGCACGTCTGTCTGCACCAACATTGCCAAGCTTTGCCTCTGCCATATCTCGCTTAAACTATTACGACAAGCAGTTGGGAGGAGAGAAGATTACTCCCGAAGAAGAGGTTGAGTTTCTAAGGCAAGAACTGGCTTGGGCACGGAAGAAGCATGAGGAAGACTCGGATTTGATTCACTTCATGCATATGCAGTGCCAGTTCAAGGCATGTCCGTGCCGACTGGCCGAATCAAACGGGGATCGTTTTGTTCACGATCAAGTTTATGACGCAAAGATGCAGCTGCAGCAGCAGCCTGCGTCAAAGAAGAGGAAGATCTCGAATGATGTGGAGAAGATATCACCTCTAGAAGAGAGCTCCGAGGCATTTGCGGAGCAGCCGCACACCGACACAGACATGTCGACTCAAATCACACCAAAAGTCGAACCCGAATCGACACATGAGAGTGAGCCAGCGAAACTCCCCCCCAACCCGACGCCAGAGTCGACGGCGAAGGCGTCTGAAGAGCCCATGGTTCTCAAACAGGCCATTGAAGTGCCCCTCCCGGAGCCAGAGCCTATGGAATTGGACTCTAGCCGTACTACACCAGAGCCGACAGCCCAGTTGGAAGAAATTACGCAAGTCTTGGTTGAACCAGCAACTGGCTTGCAGCCGTTCTCCTTTTCGACATCTACCACAAGTAATGCCGGCATTGGAACCACGGCTCCAGCACTTCGGCATACCGAGAGTGCCTCAGCCGTCCTTGATCAAGACCTTTTCGATCTCTCGCCGCCGAAACAAGCGCCTCCAAGACGACCTTCGACAGCTCTAGGTATCTTAACTGTCGACTCACCTATCCGATTAGTGGCGGATTCACCACGCTCAGTCAGGTCCTCTCAGCGTGAAGGCGTGCGGTGTCTCCCCAAAGAACGAAGCCAACCCATTACGCAATCTGTCATGACAACGACCACGAAAATCGCTCTCAAAGACCCGTCATCCTGCTCTAGCATGCACAGACGAGCACAATCAAAACCCAACCTGCGAAGCCACTCACCTTTAGTGACTTCAGTTATGTCTCACCACGACGGTATTGACGCACCAGAAGCATTTGCAAAAGAATCGTCAGCATCACCCGCAGCGAGCACTGTATTTCCTGTGACACCCTCACACAAGCATTCAAGGTCAATGCATAACTTGGCTCTACATGCGCAACCGCAGGCTCACACTCAGGGCCAAGGTCACGCGCAAGCTAAAGTTCATGCAAGGAGTCCGCAGACAATCGTTGCCGCGACCACCACCGCCACCACCACCACAACAACTACTACTACTACACGAGTACCGCTTAGACAAGCCGTGGATGCAGACGATGTGTTCAGCCCGGAGCACCACCTGAATCGTAGCGGGTATGACCATGCCCAAACCGAAGTGTTGAACATCAGAGTGGACTCCAACACAAGTAGAGAAACAATGACACAGTCGCAGTCAAGGGTGGCCTCGATTTCGAGCTCGGCCATGCTCTCCAACGTCCCTGGCACGCCGATCTCACGCGAAGCCGCGCTGGCGCAGATCCGCGCGCGGCGAGACCGAGCCAGAAGCGTCAATCTCAAGCGGTCGCTCGAAGGGCATGGAAAAGGGAATGGGAATGGTGGCGCAAGGAGCCCGACGAAGCCATCGCGTCCTGGGGTGTTGAATGGAAGCAGCGGCCTGTTTCAAGCAGCGGGCAAAGAGAATGCGAGGAGAGAGATTAGCCAGGCGAGTGCGCCTGGACGACTTGCTTTCTGAGTCTGGGCTGGCTGTATATGTATGGAGTACCGAGCAGCTCTCGATGAGACGGTGAGACTGATTGAATGAATGGGCCGGAGTTTGATAAATGGACAAGAGAAAAAAAAGACATGGCTGCTGGCTGGCTACATAGTGGCTAGATAATCTCAACCGCTGTTTTACAGACAGACCGACGACAGACTGTCACCTTTGGAAAAATGCCTGTTTGTTTCTGTCTCTGCGTGTCTCTCTTTTTGAGGAATGTAAAGATCCGCCGTTATGTCGTTGTCTTTGTGTGCTGTGTCGTTTATCGCATATGGCTGTACTTGTCCTCGCAATAGGACATTGAAACCTCGATAGAACATGGTAAGTTGATCACCGTGTCCCAGCTAGTACATAATTACGAGAGTTTCGTCAAGTTAACGCCGCGATATATTGGTTTCCATCATATTCCGAACCGATGTATCACGATGAGTATGAGTGGATGTTGTAGTATAGGTACGGTATTCAGGGTATTATAGTATACAGACAGACAGTGGGATTCGCTGATCATGCGCACAGAGGACGGTTTGTCCGTTAGAGCTCTCGATGGTGGACGGAGCGTCTATGTGCCATATACACGGGAGATGGACTGTACTGTGTTCCGACCCCTGCTGTGGTCCTCGACTCGACATATATGGCTAGCATTGACGACCAGGCGGAACCAGGACAGAGATCCATCCCCCGGCTCTCGTCTGACCACCTCCTCCGGTCTCGGAAATAGCCACTTATAACCTGTCTGTCTGTGTTCCTCGCAAATTCCGCGTAGCTGCCCGATCGATCATGCTTTGGACAAGGCCACAGGGGGTGGCTGTGGGCGGTGCCGGTGAGGAGGGCACGATTCTGGCTGTTTTGTGCTTAAGATCTCCTCTCAAGTTCGTCGGCCGTTGTTCCTTCGACCGACCGCGCTCTCTTTCCCCTTTTATCATTGAGCTGTCGCAGAAACCCAAGGCGTATATACCCACGAGCAAAGCGCTCCACGAATCGAAACGAAGCAAGCGTGTCCGTGTGTCGCGCCAAGTTATGTAGTTTCAAGCCATTGATAGCCCGTTTGACCTTGTTCAGGTTAGAAGAGGTTTCGAGCCAGAATCCCTCGTCTTTGTGACACCTCATAACTTGCAATCTCAAATTATTTAATCTCTGCCGGTCGGTCCATCGGTCAGGGTGAGGGGACAAGTCCATAATTATCTCGTCCGTTACTGCTGCCAGGAACGTAATGTTGGAGAAACCCTTTGCCGATACATCAGCATCGACATCAAATAGATCGCGTTTGGCCTTCCTATGACGATATTTGATTGCAGCCGGCAACGCGGTACTACAACACTCTGCGTGGCGCTGGAAATCGGTGCCAGCATCGAGTAGAATCAGCACACCACCCTCGTGGCCACATTCGGCTGCAGCCTCGAATGAGTAGCCATAGCTTCGACGGCAGTTGACATTGGCACCAGCATCGAGCAGATTCCGCACGATATGCTCGTGACCACGTGCAGCCGTAGTTCGCATCACATTGTAAGAACAGTTGCACTCATAGTCGAGCAACTTTTTCACTATATTCACTCGACCTTTGTCAGCTGTCCGGGTAAGTAAAAGTTCAGTGGGTGGTGGGATGCCAAAAAGTGGTAAGGAAGCATAAGTGCTAAGAAACCGGTCGTTCTCTTTACCACGGAGTCCTTGTGCCATCTCGATGGTAATATGGGTTTGCTCCACGTTGTTAACGGCTCTCCTGTGTCCCTTTTTTTCCCTCCAAAAGCCAACCGTCTTCCCGTGGAAAGGGAACAAGTTCATTTGGCTTCCCATCTTGGAGATGTCCGTACCAACAAGCCCCTGCATATTTCAGGAAACTCCATAAACTCCATATGTCTTCCTCGGTTACGTCCGCGGGTTCAAGCAAGTCAGCATCGCTGAGCTTTGCTTGGAATAGCCAGAGGGCGTCAACACATATCTGCGCCAAGATTCTCGCATTGTCTGTGGGCATTAATGAGTGTTTCCAAGCACCGCATTCTATCTGTTGGTTGTGAATTAGAAATTCCTTCGCAGTCTGATAGACGAGGTGAATTGTCGACTTCTCAATGAAAACAAATAGTCCGCACCACTCTCGGATATACTTCTCCAGACGGATCCTCTCGATCAGAGCGGGTCTCAAAGAGTCCATTTCCTTTGAAGTAGCTATGCCAAGGGCTATAGACATCTCGCCGACGTTTAGTGGCCGCCGAGCACCTACTACTGTGTGCAAGATGGTTCGCACTATGTGGCATCGATGATCCTGCACTCTATTGAGGATCTTTTCGTACGCGTCTTCCACCGACCTAGGAAGCGCTGCAATCGAGGTTTTGATCGAGTCCTCGTCATGATGAAAGTTGTCTCTTGAGGCTTTCATAAATCCTATCAATGGCGGGAGAGAACCACAGATTCGTCCGGTTTTGCATGTTCAATAGCTTTTGCTCCAGGAGTTTACTCACTTCCAGCGACAAGGGCAAAGTTTCTGTCATTTCAACAACGCGAGTGTGAATGACCGAGTTGATCTCGGACCGAATTGCATTGTTTTCGTCTTCTCCCCGAAGGCGAATGATAGGAACCGATGGAGCGGCTGCTTTCATGCTGCGTAAATTGTATGCTGTCATATGGCCGGCTGGTAACCAGGATCTTCAATGAGTGTGTCCGGCATCCCGATGTCCTTGTATCCGCGAAAAACGCAGCGAGGTTTTTGATCAGTCGGTGCCGATCGGCATTTCGGCATTCATCAGGGCCGTCTAATACGCAGAAAACGTCACGCGAGTTGTCTTCAGTAGTGGCTGCCAGGAATATCCTCCAGAGTTCATCTACCTCCTTCGCCAACTTGTCACCATTTCGTCACCAAGTAGGTATTGCGTGCGCAAGAAGCCGCGGCTGGCTTGTGAACAGTTGATGGAGAAGAGCACAAAATGCAGAGGCTAGATTGTTCTGATCCTCATTGTCTTTGAAGAAGATATCACAACATGTTTTTGCGGTTGTTGTCTGCAATTCGCGATCGACTAGGAACTTTGATAGCGTCGACTTGCCGCAACCGGGATCGGCAGATATCCACAGTAGATCGTTACTCGTGTTCTCTTGCCATTGTCGGTATTTGATATTGTTTAAATCCCAAAGGCAAGTGTCAGGTGCTCGAGATGGGTTGACGTTCTTCTGCTCTTATACGAGCCTAGTTTGAAGACGCGATGGCATGACTGATATTCTGCATCCTGGGAATTTGTCTCTCGTCCGTGAGGTCGTTATCTCAGCCACTGAACTTCGCTCCCGACAGAATCCATCAGATAGTAAGATTTAATGGGTCCTCGATGGAAATCATTTGGGCTGGGAAATGATAATGACAGAAAGGATACACTGCACACTAGGAAGAGGACAGATTGGAACCTACCAGGGATTGCTTGCATCGGTTGTTGCCGGCGGAGCTGCTCTGGAGTGAGACAGAGAAGTAGTTCTTCTTGCGGCAGCGTATGGATACCATTCGTCATTTTTGTGCGAATCAGCGGAATCACATATTCCTCGTACCACAAGGATAGGTAAACTATTCGCAAGACCAGCGGCTTCCATCTCCACACACAATGCACCATAAGATGCCCGGAGGTTGTCTCGGAGAACTGGGTTCTTCATTACCTCATTACCGGAAGCTATGATACCATAATGGATCCGAGGGTTAGTGGTTTGTCGACTTTGACGAGGGATTTCGTGGACAGGTAGACATTGATCGCAATTGTCTTGACCTTCAGGGTGAGGACATCTGCTTTCGAAGAGGCGATCTTTCTGCTCGCCGGGGGGGCCATACATCGGATACCGATGGATCATGTCGGCGAGGTATGCCAGCATTGGTCGACTTCGATTTGCATGGTGTTGCGCTTGTAGCAAAGTGATTGCAGTCAAAAGGACATTTGGGGGCGCATCGAGAGCGCCCTTGAGTTCGAAAGGCACGGCCATGTTTGGCCTTGCCCTTGTCGTACTGCACAACGCTGCCGCTGGTGCCGCTTGGCTGGCTGACCACAACGTCGCCGAGCCTGATGTCGATATCCTTCTCCAAGTGTGGTATTCCTCCGCCAATACCAACCAAGAGTATGAAATCGAAATAGTGGAATGTTTTGATCATGTCTTTTGCAGTGTTCGCTGCTGCGCCAAGTCCGTCAGTGCCAGCAGGGAGACCGGCAATAACCACATTGTGGTCGTGTATGGTTCCAGCATGGTAAGTGTTCTGATCTCGACTTTCTCCTTTGATGATGCTATAGTCTCTGTCCAGCATTGCTGTGGCTGCCATCTCCACCCTCAAGGCACATATCAACCCAATGTGATATTCATCTTTAGCTGGTTGGGCCATGCTGACCAGATTCGGGTTGAAACAATGCCATATAGGAGAAGGATTGTTCTGAGAAAGCGGACGCTCAAGGGACTCGGGAAGGCTGGGTGCCAGATCGTGAGGAGAATGAGGTCAACAACTCAACCGTTGCGCAGCCTCAGTTGAGACAGTGACTGGAGCCCGAAGAGCCTGCTGATGAGGCGCGCCGCTTGGACTCCGTTTGCCTGTAGTGCCATGATCAGGCTGTCAAACGATGGCTCGTTTGGGTTTCGCCCAGCACAATGTAGGGTGGCTTGCAGTTGCACGAGCACGAGCGGGTAAATCTGAGTTTAGTCCGGCAGCCTTGGTAGCTCACATACCCCCCGCCTTGCCCCGGCACAATGACAAGGTAGTAGAAGCAGCAGCATCAAAAACTTTTCACACATCACATGCAGAGACGACGACCTCACCTACCAGAGGGAAGCAAAACAAACGGAGAAACCGTATCTCAAGCTTGGGCTTGGAGTTCCTGGAACGCAGGTCTCATACCGAGTATTCTTTAGTTCCTGGATCGTTTGATCCGCTGTCCATAAGCGTGTTCGTCAACATGGACAGGCTGGTGCAAGTGGACACGGTTTCTATGGTCTAGTATGTCGAAAGGGATACACCGCACCAGGAGGAAGTCCGCCAGCTCCTCCCCTCCCTCCCCTTCCTAGTTCAGGTGCTTCAGCATGTTCTCCTTCAAATGGTCATCAGCCTCCGTGGCCTCTGCCTCGACGTACCCTTCGTCTGTACCCACGTACCCTTCCTCATCAACATAGATTCCCTCCGGGATGAATTTCCTCATTACGTTATTCACCCAACTGTGCGGAATGCCGAGCTTCACCGACTCCTCGATTGCCCTGTTCATCCTCCCGATGTACTCTTGCACAATTTTCCCAGGCGTGGTGCGGAACTCGTCGACGTAGACCAAGGCACGGATTGTGGTGTTGTATGATCCTGTTGGCCCATAGGCGCCATTTATAATGTGAGAGGACGGGTTGGATACACTGATGCCGTACTCTCCTGGATCCTTCAACCATCTCGTTACCGTGACGGGCAAATAATGTTTGTTATAATCCCACCCGCCTTGCAAATACCGCTTCACCATCTGTGTCTCTGGGTCCTGGTTGACTTCGGGTGTAGGGTTCCTTGCCTCGTTGTGGCCCTCGTACATATCCAACCGGGCCTCGTCCACAGGGTGCATATTGTACAGGACGCCCCACACGGTGTTGTGGTCGGCAGCGGAGTTTGATTCGGGGAGCGCGACGACATTGGCATATCCACGTTCGCAGATTATCCAGGCGTGAGAGTCCAGACGGGCGATGGCCACGGGCTGGCTGGATGAAGGTGAGTGCTGCAGACGAAGTGACATTTGGTATGCCGAGAGGTTGGAACCATAGGCGAAGTAGAGGGTGCCAGTTTTAGAGGAGGTAGAGTGAGGGTGGTGGAGGGACTGTTCCTGGGACATCTTTGGTTTGTCGCATTCACTTCTCGATAGTGATCGGGGAGAACGGTATCCTTTAATAACCTTCAAATGTGCATATCCTCCTCAGATATCCCCTGGAATGCTGTGTCGAACTGCCGATCGTGTGTCAACCCGACAATATTCACGAGCAGGATCGTAGAGCGCCGTGCCCCAAGATATTGAGATCTCGTACCCTTGGTTTGCTGTTTGCCGGCCCCCTTTATACGGCCAGCACACAAACAAGAGTCTTCAAATCGAGCAATTTATCATGCATGCACACGCGCACGTGTGCGTCTATATGTCTGTATGCCTGTATCTAACCAGGCTTTCTAATCCGCAGCCCGCATCAGAAAGCATACAAAGATTGTGAATAAACGGGCCGGCTCAATGGGGAACGGGAGAGGACAGCAGGCGGTGTTCTCTATGTGTATCGTAACGGAAATGGTAATGTGAATGCTTTCGAAAGCTGCAAATGTTGAATAGCAAATCTAGACGAGTGACAATAGCGGACAGCAAGTGATGAGCGGGAATTCGACCAAGTGAAACAACGACGGCGTGGGGGAAGGCGAGATATGTATGGATCTGGTATGGAGATGTGCGTTCGTTTTCTTGCTCGGTTGATGACATAAAGACGACGCAAGGCTCCGGGTGATGCCTGAGGTTGATTGGCTGGAGACGGTGTCAGCCAGCCAACCGTGGAGGGATGTGGTTAACAAGGCTGAGTGAGATCTTGTAAGTGTCTATGGTAGGTGAGTCTAGGATGTTCTTTCGTTCCAGGGTCGCCTCCATTTGATCGTCGAGATGTTCCATCTCATTAGAATCCTCCTCTCCCGATGGAGAGGAGATCCACCATGTCAGTTAGTTGGCTCACCCAGCATACACGGCATACTTCATAAACTCCTCATCCTTCCTCAGCCGGTCCAGATCCTCCTCCCTCAGAGACAGCGCCACTGCAATTTCTCCGTCCGGTCTCTTGGGCATCAAGTAGAACAGGCTCTCCAACGGCACAAACTGCGGCCTGCGAACAGCCTCTGGTTTTCCCAATCCCAGGTTGAAATCGAGGTCGTAGCAATTATACTTGGCCCAGGAACTAAGCATGATGTCCGCGGACAGGTCCAGTGTTGCGGTCACGTTGATATTGGTGTCCTCCGGTGAGCGATGAAGCTGTGTTGCGAGTGCGCGGGTCGCATAGGCCAGATTCGAAGTTGCAGGGTCGATGGCATCGCGGAGTTTCGAGGCGATGTGACCTAGTGGTGCATTGAGTAGCCTCTCAAATGTGTATGTACAGTACGTCATGTTTTGAACGAGTCCTGGATATGTGGCTGGAATGCCCAGGTAGCGCCGTGGATCGATTGCGCGCGCCAAAGTTGTCTCTCTGTGAGCCTCCAAGCGGGGAAGACGGGCCCGGGCCACACATATCCAGATGAAAGCGCTCAGGACGTCGTCGGTCGAGACATAGCCTGATTGGCTGGTGACGAATTGCATTGCCTGCGATTTCAGGCGGGCGAGGGACGCGGCAGAGAAATCAAAGTAAATCCAGCTGCACTTTGGAGGTTGAGGTTGTGCAGTTTGGCCTTCCGCAGCATTCGATGCGGATTGATGTGCAGAACGCTCCCCAATCTGATAGGCCAGTTCAGGCCCCGGTTCGCAGGTTTCATCCAGGAGTGGGACGAGATTGCGCCGGTCGAGGTTGCCGTTAGAGACTTCTTCGACCGTGAATGGCTCATTACGACAGGCCTTTGAGAGGAGGTGCATGACTTGGGCCATGCCAGTCATGTCCATTGTATTATACTGCGTCACAAAGGTGAGCAGCAGACCGCCTATGATGAAGTTGGCCTGCATCAGAAAAACCGGCGCTGGACCGTCTGTGCCCGCCGCCAGTGTATTGATGGGTGCGATTATGGACTCGTCCAGCATGCGGAAAGGGAAATTGTTCTGTCGAAGGACATCCATGGTTGCTATCCAAGGCCCATCTTTGAGCTCCTTGACCACCAGCCGAGGCGTCTTTTCGAAGGGATTGATTTTGTAAATATTTCGGGCGCCATCACCTGGGCTTTCGCGAAGTACTTGGCCTGCTACCCACGGAAAGCTGGCAGTCAGTCTCTCGAGCCCTTTCGTCAGTGTGTCGATAATGTCTGACTGGGACGAGCCACCATCCATCGGAAAGCACAGACATAGCTGAGTGTATAGCTTGTAGAGCCCTTGTTGTTGCCCGAAGATATTCAGATGAAGGGCGAGGTCCTCCATGTTTTGCAACCGAGGGGTTTGTGGTTTGGTACTTACATTGCCAGTGAGAGGGTGGATCGTATTTGTATTTGACATAAAATAACCACTGTGCCTCTGTCTGCGGTCTTTGCGAGACGTTGCCCGTTTGGCATTTTGCGATTGGGGAGCTTTTAGCCTTTCCAGCCAGGGAAAGTGGAAAATTCAGTCGAACATCAGTCCGGTCGGACGGACGAGCAATCCAAGGCCATGTACGGAGTACAGAGTCCATAAATCTGGAGTAGATCTAAGAGAGATATGTCAAGTTAATTACGACTGCTATCGCTTCCCTGTCATCCCCTACCAGTTTGCGTGACTGGATATAAGACAGTTGACTTATAGGCGATTGATGTGTGAATATGTAGTGATTTGTCAAAGTCTCGCAACGCGCCGGTGACGCTGGAGCTTCATGCGTGCCGACGTTTCCATCCGGCCTCAGATCTTCGGTGGGTGGTGATTGTGCTTCGTCGGTACATACATACGAGGTACAAGTATCGAGTGTTCCTCTCCAGCAGTATCATGCCTGAAGTCCGGCCATCAGTAGCCTCCTCCGACTCCGCCATGCCGCCCTTGCAACTTCCACCAAATCTGAGATTCGGCCCCTTTCTCGTCGCATCACAGGTCTTTCACATCTCGCCTTCTCGCCTTTCCTACGGCCTGGTGAACCTCAAACCTCTGCTTCCAGGCCACGTCTTGATCTGCCCGGTGCGCAGCGTCCCGCGTCTCTCGCAACTCACCAGCGCCGAAACAGCCGACTTATTCAACACGGTCCGCATTGTGTCGAGGACCCTTCAACGGGTGTACCATGCCAGTTCGTTCAACGTCGCCGTCCAGGATGGGGTCGATGCAGGCCAGTCAGTGCCACATGTGCATGTTCATGTGATTCCGCGACAGAGAGGAGACTACGATGACAAGGGTGGTGGCGACAGGATCTACGACGCGATGGATGGAGAGGAAGGCGATCTCGGCAAAGCCTTTCTTGAGATGCGGAGAATGAAAGACGGAAAGGTGAAGTCAGGAAGGGAGGCTTTGGGCGGCCCAGACAGCGACAGGGAGCCAAGGAGTGAGGAGGAAATGAGCCAGGAGGCACAGTGGCTGAGAGGGGAGATCCAGAATGATCGTGTACACGCACAGGATGAGGAATGACAGACGCCTTCGACGATTGATTATTGTATCACCAACTCAACCGCTCAACCGCTTGTCTATGGAGATAGAGTCAGTGTACGCCAGAATACAGGGAGCTTGTCAGCAGCGGAAAATGAGCACAGGTCAAAACACGACGTCTATTGTTTTCTGGGTATCATTGGTCTTCGTGGCTTTCAGAGACGTTTCCGGCAAATGGCACTTCTGGTCCAATCCACCTCGCATCATTCATTCCTCTCATCACTTTGCATGTCCATTCATCTCGGCCACTCCGTTGCCCAACACCCGGCCTTCCCCGTTGCTGTAGTATTCGTCCTGTTGCTCCTTGATTGTTGACGCCTTTGTGGGCTCTCTCGGTTCCATATCTTTGCTCTTCCAAAGCTCTGCTCTCTCATCCAAGATCTCCTGTGCCCAGGCCTTCATCTCTTCCAGACTGATTCTCCTCGCCACCCAGCTGAACTCACTCAGATCAATGGCGCAATTGTTGGCGCGCTCGTACTCCACCATCTGCAGTATCAGCTCCAGCTTGTCCACATCATGAACAAACTTTGACTCCAGAGTCTCGCTGTCTTCGTATTCTTGCCAAATCGCGCGGAGATCCTTGCCCGGGATTCCGCCATGCACCTTTCCGAGCAATGACTGAGCCACCCAGTCCATGGTCTGGGCCTCACGTCTGTTCTTTTCCACTTTCGGTACACCATCAACGGGCGTCAAGTCCCCGACGAGGCCTTCAGCCATGTCATGGACCAACGCCATCTTCGTACACCTCGGGATATCCAAGCGTGAACTTAGTTCGGGTGGAGCAAGCATAGTGATCAGGGACATGCGGTACATGTGGTCTGCTATAGATTCGCCGGTTGAGATCCCAAATCTTCGCCATCCTTCCCGCTTCTCGATCTTTAGGCGCTCAAGGTAGTGGAAGAAGGGTATGGGAGAGGAGGAGTTTTCCGGTGGTGGATTGGGGAGGTCTTTCAGCACTGCGCGGACGGACCACGGGTTCGGCTTGGGCAGAAGGGATGTGTGTGAGTTTCTGAGGGTGTACGAAGGTTGAGTAGGAGGAACTAGACATTGTCAGTGCTGAGCCGTGACCTAAAGGCGGAATACATACTCTGCGGTCTGTCTGAAGCCATTGTGCTGTAAGGTAGAGCAATGTAGTCGTGGGATAATGAGTCAGGTGGGAGACGTGGAGAAGGAAATGATGAAGACAACAGGGGCAGAAATCTAGATACGCCCTCCAGTTTATATTGCCATACCTCTAATGCTTGAACATACAGACCAAACTTTGCAGGACAAAGAGTGACGCTTGAGGGTGCCCATTCAAAATGTTTGTTGAGCAAACTCCGAAGGAGACTTTAGGTTGTTTACTGGTACCAAGCGACGTCTCCCCGCCAAACGAAAGGATGCTGCCCGTCCCGCCCGCAGCCGCCAAGGAGCCAAGTTAAAACGGCAAGAGGGCTCACCCTATTTGGGAAAATGTGTGATGCTGCTATGTGTACTGGGTAAACCCTTGGTGAGGAAGGTTTACCGCATGAACAGCCTCGCCTCCAAGGCTGAAGTTCCCTTTTTTGAAAGCAATGCTTCATTGGGAGTGGTCCTGGAAATACCTCGTACTATATTTTTAACAACAATACGTCCCCACTGCCCGGTCAAAGCATTCTAGTGACAAGCTGATTGGTCGTCGCTGTCTTTGAAATCTCGGCAGGTGGGTTTCCTGCCACTTGACCGGTCGTTCGACCCAGGGATACTCGGTAATTAGAAACTTTACGAGGTACCTCGTGTTGTACCGCCGACCTCCAATGGGCTTGGCTTAGCCGCAAACTCGTATCACTCTTGTTTTCAGCCTTTGGTTGTAGTTTTCAGCCCGAGCCAGACCGAAGTGGTACGTTGGCGGAAGCGTTCAGCCGCCAAATTGATTTGACAAAGCCCCTGGAGCTTTTGGCGGCTGCCTTGGGCTGCTGCTTTTCATCCTCTTCAAGATGGGCGCCTTTTATTGTTTTGACGCTGGGCCAGGTTTCGCTTAGAGAAGGTATTTCTAGTTCTCGCCGTGCGAGCTGTTGTTGGCATTTGAAGTTTCAACATCCTAACGCAATCAGACGACTGTCTGAGATTCCCCTTCCACTGTAATTGGCAAAGAGCTAGGCGTCCCGAACGGCGGGCTGCCTCAGTCAAACCCTGGGAAGGACCAAATGACACACCAACTCCAATTCCTCATCATATATGCGTTTCTTGCCGTTCATCAGTCCTCATCCACATACATCTCAATCTGGAACGATCCCGATCTAAAGCTCCAACGAGCCTGCCTGCAATGTTGTGGGGTCGGGGCGACGACTGCCCTCTTGCCATAGCATCCCTGCTTGGCTGTTCGAGGATATGCGCTCGTCCGCTAGCTCTTATATCTCTGAATGTATCTTCCATAGCTATACGACGTGCGCGACTTCAGGCGACTATATACCGGCAGTCTCGATCTATGATAGATACTACTCGTTCACGGGGCCTGCGACGGTCACCGACTACGCTACCATCCAGAGCAACACCCCAATCTACAGCAACGAACCCATCACCGTGGCGTTAGCAGTACGCCTGGAATAACGGTATACATCTCATCAACCCTCTACGCTTTCTCAGGCACGAGTCAGGCAAACTGGGCCACAGTCAGTGAGTGGCTTGCCGTCCTTATTGCCGAGAATATTTTGGAGGTTGGTGGACTGCTCATGTTGTGGCGGCACTGATGGTCGAGTTTCGTGGAGACGAAACTCATCCTTTACCATGTTAAAGACTCAATCAGCTACTACCGACCCCGTTCAGACCGCTGCTCGGCGGAGGCATAAGCAGACTGTGGTGGTCTAACCACGACCGAAGTCCTTCTCCATCGAGATGGTCAGTTCGGGGTTCCAAGAAACGTTTCTTGATCTGCAGTGAATCGCAACCACTGAACAACCTCCTTGTACAATGATGAGTTTGGTCGGCTCGAATCACTCCGAATCTATTGCCCTCGAGCGATATCTATTCGTACACTCTGAAGGCCGACGAATTCAGGAATTCCCACACACCTGTCAGCAGTGCTCGCTGGACGTTCTCTTGGCTAATTACGGAATATAGAAACGGCATCGTGCGACTCAGGCCATTGGTGTCGGGGTCGATGGCGAGATGACAGATATCGCGTTCATCGGGGCGTGGGGTCACCGATTCAATAGCTCTGTCAACCCGCTTCGAACCTGGTCGGGAGCCATTTACCTCAAACATGGAGAAAATACTTAGCTCGTATGTTCTGCATCTTGTTCTATATATACTCTTATCATGCAGCCTTCTTCAAAAAATAGGGTATCCATCCCTGTCCGACCCGACCACCTTCCTCGCGCATTGGCACATGCTGAGTGCTCTATCTACATGCTGTTTGTACCTTCCTGAATCCATCGCCTCGTCCACCACTATCTCTTGCAGTTGGGTTTGATGCAAGGAACAGCAATGCGGCTCATCGTCGGGCTTGATTTTGTCACGCCTTCTGATGTTTGGACACCCGATGGGTGCCTCGGAAAACGCCCGAGGAGAATGTTCGGAGGCTGGTCAGCGCTACAACTGAGGATACCCACGATACCTCATCACTCATTCTCTAGACTGCAAGCTTGTCCAATCTAACCCGATGCCAGGTATTAAATCATCTAATCTGATAAGCTCCGCGAACCTCCATCCAGCTCTGCTACTGACAGCGCATGGCCTCGATTCAGATCTGGTGTGTATGTCAAGTCCGTTACCGCTTGCCATTGGCGGCCAGTTGCCTATCCGTCGACAAAGAATAGGTTTGTTTCCCTTCGAACGGATTGTTCTGATTCGCCTCGGTCAGTCAGCTTTGCTTGCTGGGGAATTGCAGCCAGTCTCTCACGGGGAGCAGGATCCGTTGGCTCAGAGGAACATAATGGTGCGATAATGTAGGATTCTATATTGCGCCATCTGCCAAAGGGGTGGACTCTGCTTGATCACGAAATGGGAGCCTTTGGTTTTCCCTTGGCTCGGGCTGAGGAGCACAAAAGGAGCAGCATTGGCCCTCTTCCTCCGCCTTCCTTTTCTTTTCTGTATCTCCCTTGACACTGTTTATTGAACATTGCTCTTAGCAGTCGAGGATTGAGCACTGCGCTCCTGCTGAAAGGATGCCGTTTCCGCCGAGGTCATTCTCTTTACTTCTCCTTCTTCTCCTCATCGAGGCAATTCATGCCCTAGCAGCGTCGACTGCCGAAGTGGCTGCCAGCACCGAAAGTGCGCTCCTACCACGGTCCGTACCAGCGGTAACAAAGCACCGCTCCGACAAGGTTCACGGCATCATGATGGGGACCACGGTCATCATCATCTTCCCTTTCGGCTCGATCTGTTGGAGACTGCTCGATCGCGTTGTTAGCGGAACAACGCTCTTCAGGATCCACGTATGCTGCCAGCTGCTGGGTCTGGGGATGCTCATATCCGGTTTTGGTCTTGGGGCCTGGGTCTGCATTATCCACAATGAGGTGGGTGCAGGAAGCTTTGTTTGTTAGCATATAAATTCATCCTGTGACACGGTGGATCATCGTTATCAGCATGCTTTACAGATCTCACCGCACTTGACTATGAGCCTGACTGATACACACTACTCTAGGTATACAATGATGCATACGGCCATGTCATTCTCGGCACCATCCTCACGGCTCTGTTTATTCTCCAGCCCCTCATCGGCCAGTGGCATCATTACCTGTACAAATCTCCGAGTCGCAAAGTCAACCCTTGGATCCGCAGATTCCACATGTGGTTGGGACGACTGCTGATGGCCGCGGCGATCGTGAACGGCGCCACGGGCATCGTGCTGGCTGCCAACACTCCTGGAGGCGAGAAGGGCTACGGCGCTGCGGCCGGGATCGTCGGAGTGACCTACCTGGTGATCGTTCTGCTTTGGTACTGGAACAGAAGCCGACAGAATGTTGAAGAGAGCAGCCGCCGTGACATGCCGGTGGAGGGACACACTGACAGGGAAAGCAAAACCATCCCCGCTGTGGCAGTTGGCCGGATATAGATACACAAGAGTATTTTGACGACCACACCGGCTCCGACTGGGTGGGGGGCCATGATATAGACAATCAGCGCCACTGAGTAGTTAATCTCAGCGTCAACCCGATGCTACAACAGGACTATGATGCAAGACGTTGGTTTTACAGGGCTAGAGACAAGTAGATTGAGGAACCTGAAAAATGCGCGGCGTTCATAACTTCATATCTCTTCTCAAGCAAAGAGCTTGACGGCCGGTTAAACGAAAGCGTGAAGTATTTCTGTCTTCCCTATTGTTTGTTTTCGTCTCGTGTCTCAACATGGCAAGCCGTGTACCTAGCTAGATATGATCATCCTAGACAATAAATGTGTAGAATACCCGGAGGTGTACACGGTCGACTTTCTGTTCCATTCCGCTGTCTAACACCTCTCCGTCCCCCCTGGAATGGGGAAACATAAGCGACAAAATCTCAATTGTACGTCGATCGAACTCTCCACCACCTCTTTAATATGGCCTACATATTTTGAACCCAGTAAAAATGATGAAACTATAGTACGAAGATGTATTCCGTGTACCATCCCTTATAGGCTGAACGCGGTTGTTGCCCACATGAGCCAGCCAACGCACCTGTCCTCGCGCGCAATATGTTTACTCCATCACCACTTGCTCCGAGATTTCACTTTGAGTCACTGCATCACGGAACCTCACACAATCAGCACCTGGACCAGCAGGATTGTACACTGCTTCAAGGCAGGGCCGACGGAAGCACGAGATGCCCATGCGCCTCTTTCCCCGAACTCAGACAATGTGGATCGCATCCATCGTCTTGGGAGCATAAGCTACCGCCTTGTTTACTGCGGTTTCTGACAAGAACGCCTCACCGACCAGCACATACTGCTCCGCCGTTCCTTCCGCTCCGGACAGCTTTCGCAGCACGTATGGAAACGTGGCCCCTCTGAAGACGGCCATCGCATCACCGGGCATGGCGTCTCCAGGCAGAAGCACGGGTGTCTGCTGTCCCGCGCAGATTCCCAATCGTCGACCGACATCATACTTCTTCAATGCCGCTCGAATGGGTCGGAGCGGATGCAAACTCGACTCAGACGACGCAGGAAGCAGATAGCTCTGCGCCAGTTTCAGATTCAGGCCAAGGTACTGCATTTTCAACCTGTCTTCGCGCTCGGAGAGAAGGGTGGTGTTATCGTCGGGCGAGTAGCGGAGATTGCTGCTGGCCATTCGGTCTGTGGAGAGGAAATTGACCCAAAACATATCCTTTCTCTCGTGGATGCCGTATTTCGCTCCGTATTGGTATCCATGAACATCGACGTGTCCTGCCTCGTGTGCCTTCTCAGTGAACTGTTGCATGCTGTCTCCAGCTTGACTGTTATCGGCATCAGAACAAAGACCTGGGATTTGGTGGTCCAGGTTGTCCGCATACTCAATGGCCATCACAGCTTGTGATATCACGTCAAAACTGACACTTTGATCGCCCCAACTGACTTGTGTGCGCGATCCCAAGGAGACTTCTTGACGGATCCCTACAAAACATCTGTTAGTCCTGTATCTCGATTGATTCGGTAATGGTGAAGATCCTTTTGAAAGCGAAACAAGGTGAAGAAACACTTACAACTTCGTTCCCACCAAGATCGCTCCAACAATAGACGAAGGGCTTGCCAATGTTTCTGCACATCGCCTTCCGAAAATCTTGGATATTCAACTTCCCTCTCCCCAGGACCTGGGGTAGGGGGCCGACCAATCTTGTTAACAACGTCCGTGGCGAGTTCAGACCCCTCAATAGCATCGCCTAGCCAGATATGAACTGACTGAGCTCCCCTGTAGATGCGGCGCATTAGTGAGACTTGATTTCCTCGGCTCTTCAATATCTTCTTGGTTGATGCCTCCAACGAGCCAGCTTCGTCTTCGATCGCACCCGAATGAAAAAAAAGGAATCACTTACAGATCTGGTCAATCCACCAGAACGTCTTTGGAGAAGAAGCCCTAGCTGCCGTCGCTTCCTTTGCGGCTCTTTTCCTCATCTGACGCAAGGCGCTTTCCAAATTTTGTGTGACCCGAAACACATGACCGTCGACGATGACACGTCCATCCATCATCGGTTCGCCCCAGCGATATGATATGGCGTTGTACTGCCTCAGTCGCGCAGTTTGATTTTCTTCGAGACTAACATGCACTATGGAGCCTCTAATGTCTTCCGAGTCATCACCCGGATTGTGCAGGGCAAGCAGGCGAATTTCGGCTTTTCCGAAATCGAGCGCTTTGTATTCACACGGCCCGTCAGAGACCTGTGAGTTTGGAGCACCTTTAGGTTGAGAAGTGGAGAGAAGGGCGTCTGGTTCTCCATCCGACGGCCCAATCCTGTCGGGCAGTGACCTGTTCAGATGCTTCAATATAGCGTTCACTGCGAGATCGACTCGATCCAATTGCTGTTCAAGGCCCTGTAGACGGTCCCAGACAGGAGCAACCATTGGGTGCTTTTCAAAGTTGACTCCGAAGCTGTCGGCCATGACCGAAGCACCTGCTACAGGACTGTTGGAGATGAGTAAGAAGCACAATAAAACTTTGCCCAAACTCGTGGTGAATTACGCTTAAAAAGCTGCTTTCAGAGGATTCTTGGATCTGTACGGAGCACGAGGAGAGACTTTTGGTGAGAGAGAGGGAATGGGCGAGTAGACGGAATCATTATATTGAGGGCTCCCTCGTAGTCCTTCAACTATGGAACGAATATCTCGTACTCGGTATTGATTTCAGTCCTCCACGATTCCCAAGGAGTGTGATATTGGTCATTGTCATTCTCAGTTTCACGATTCGAGACTATGCGGGGAGAGCGTAACATGATGGCATCCCGCCCCTTAGATTGGAAAAGGAGTTTAGGGCAAGGCTCGCTTAAACACGGGGTCATTGACGAGGCTGGCACCAACTTGGGGGCCAATTCTCTAGCAGCTCCAATGACGCGCAACAAATACACGCCCCTCGTCTTTAACCGACTTTCTTCGACATGGATGCCTCACAGTCACGAGTCCAATGGCATCTTCGGAACAACACCGCAATCTTCGTCCGTGCCCTGCACATCCTCGACCTCGACCTCCTCCCAGACTGGCCTAACATCTCCGACTCGACATTCCTATCTGTTCCCACAAAAGCCTCCACCGATAGAACAAGTACAGCACAAAGCCATCCCCGGAACCGCATAAAGTCCCTCGAATGGGCCCTCTACCATCTCTTCCGCCTGTATTCCCCCACTGAGGCAGCCTCAAGACTCTCGCCGTTTTTCCCACCTGTAACACCGATACAGTCGAGGGATCTGAGAGCCGGGATATACAAATGGCTCGCGGAGCTGAAGCAGAGCGGCGAGTTGCCGAGAGAAACGGTGCTGAGAAAGACAATGCTGGATGAGTGCAAAGGCGACAAGTTTGAGGAGTTGGTCGCGAGATTCGCCATGCTCGTGGTGAGGAAGACGCTGGCACAAGACCGAGGTGAAGCAAGCAACAGGCAAGTCAGACAAAGGGAACACGATATAAGGCGTCAGAAGAGGAGCACCACCGAAGGAGACAGGCGCCATGACCAGGAGTTATTATTGCCCTTGATTCTTGCCCATCGAGTCTCTCTGCAGCACTCGCTCTGCAAGCGCCAGGAGCTCAGAGACAAGGCTACGTCGTATGCGCAAAAGCTGGCTCAGCTACGGAAGGACGTCGCGAGCGGCTTGCAGGATATTTCTCAGTGCCCCTCCGCTACCGATGATGATAATGCCGAGTCCATCCTATCTGCAACGGAACACAAATCGCTGAGTGAACGAACCAACCTGGCATTTGCGAGTGATCGCCGCTGGGCACGATATATCTTCGAGGGCGCCCCTGCGCCGTCGACTCCTGCTTCTTCTCGAGACCTGCCGGAGTGGCCCTTCGACGACCCACTCCCGTCTACACCTCAGTTAGCAGGTACGGTGATACCATCAACGGATAGGACGACTGATACAGAAGACGAAGAAGCTAACCAGCCAATGCGCCAACTGCAATCTTTGATATCTCAGCACCAGGAGCGAATCACGCGACTCACCGCCGTACGCGACTCTCTACTCTCCGCTTCGGAGTCGAAAGGCCAGGCGGGAGAGACACCTCGTCTGCCTACTCCGCATTATTCGACCGAGACAATCCTAGAGAGGGCAGCAGTGCCGCATTCCAGCGCGAGCAACAACCCGTCGACTCGCCCAAGGCCTCGGTTTACCCAGCACCAAGACCTGATAGTGACTTGGAAAAGCTAGGACCTCAATCAACCCTCTTTCATTCCTTTGCTCCGAGTTATTTCGGGATCAGCGTGAGTAAACTTTCCAGCTCCCCTGCTGATCGATGAACACGGACCCCGTCCCGTGAGGAGATAAATGTCCAATTAAATGAATGGCGTTCTTCACAGTTTAGGTGTCTCACCACAACCCAGTTTACATGCCTGCCGGCCGCCAATCTATCCCGTTGTCTCCTCAGATCGACTCCTATGTGGACTTACCCAGTGTGGAGAGAACATAACTTGGCAGAGACTTCCAAGAATCAATATACTGAATTCTACTTCAATTCAAGCCACACATCAATTCAACATGCCGGTTGTGCCGTCAGACCTTTCTTCTACTATTCCATTCGTCAAGCGATCTAAGAAGTGTGCAGAAAAAGAGTCTAGGATATGTTTCTCATCATCCGAAAATGTGAAATCGTTCAATTGGGAATTTGCCGTTAGGGGTATCATGTCTGACACGACGTTCCACAGGAAGAAAGGAGAGGGTACTGAAGACAATATGAACAAGAAAAGCGGAATGGGCAGTGACTGACCTCTCTGCCCCCTTCTCCCCAGCGATCCCCCGGGACGGTGTGAGCCGCCCATGCTCCTGTCAGTCCTCCCTCTCCATAGGTGCCGGATTCTCGTTTTGGGTGGATTCGTGCTCACAACATCAGCCAACCTCGCCGTTCCATTCACTCGACGGGTCGACTCGTGCATGAATCTAGTTTGATTGGGCACCCGATACTTCACACCACTCTCCACATTCTTCCCCATCGCGGTCTTGACACTCGTCCTCGACCTCAGTCTCCGGAAGCGGATCGCGCTACGACCATGCTCCTAGACCAGGCGCCAGGCGTCCACCCTGCTGGTCCCAGCTCCACGTTTCCTTCGTTGCGTCTCTATCTAGGGGTCCATCGCCGAAGTATCCCTCATCTACATCCCCGTCATTCTGGTAATCTTCAACCTCAACCTCGACTCGACTCCCCAACGCTGCCTGCCCTTCCTTTATCATCGCCTGCAATTGCATGTTGAACCGATTCATCGTCGCATCTTGCTTAGCTTCTTTCCGACGAAGTTTTTGTTCGAATTTGCGGACTTCGGGAGACTGCTTTGGTGACGCGGGGGTCGAAGCGGACGACAGTCGACGAGAAGTAGAGAGTGAGGCCCTGTGGGTGCTAGAGATACCGCTCGGGCGCTTTGAAGGTTTGTCTGAGCTGTAACGCTGGTCGATCGCAGAAGCTGCGGAAACCGAGTTCCAAGGTTGATGCTGTAGTGGCGCGGTGTTGCTGGCGCTTGCGCTCATTGAAACCCGCGGCGATGCATATGACGCTGACGATCTAAGTGTCGATGATCGAGGCGTCAAGCGGGGGCGAGACAGAGGGTGGCTTGAATGGCGGGGCGCAGATGATGGTCGAGATGCATAGAGGTTCGCCGTGCTTGCTCTGGATTTCTTGTGTACAGGACTGGATTCTGTTGATGCTGACGTGTTGTTGGCACCATCAACCACTACCCAACTATTATAGCGGGTGATCGATGGAGAATCTTGGTCTGGTAGGATGGCTGAAGCTGAATTGTTCTCCTGGCTGGGTTGAACAGACAGTTTGGACATGTAATCCTCGATAAATTCAGGTCCCTCTCCAGGAAACCCACCAGGAACAGGGGTCCGCTCTCGATCAAGTCGCCTTGAGTCGGCAGTAGTGTCGTCATCGTGAAATACATCGGGCGTTGAATCAATTTCCGTCCAGACACTAGAAGAACCAACATCCGGGGGTCCGATATCGAACTTGTACCCACCGCCCCCGCCGGCGTAAAAGCCCTTGAAGGTAGTGTTCCAACAGAAATTGAAGACTCTGCCTGCCAAACCACCAGTCAAAGCCCAAACTGTCTTTCCCCAGCTCTTCATTGGTGGCGCCGGGGGCGATAGTCTCCGTTTACTCCTCCGGCACCGATCTGGGGCTGGCGTCTGTGGGAAGTAGGACTCTGACGTCTGGTGCGACTTTTGGCTGTTGTACCTGTTAGGCCTGCAGTCGATCTCATAGTCAAATTCATGGGCATCGTCTTCCTTTTGGGTGTCTAGTGCGGTAGGCGTATCCAAACCACCTGCGATACGGTAGTTTGTGTTGACGAGAGGCGGGGGACTGAGGGCTTCTCGCCAGAACGAGGATTCTGAGGTGGTGTAATGGTCATCGTAGACTGACTTCGTGTCAAGTCGCGGTCGCTTGCGGCTATGCTGGTGATCATCTTCTGAGAGGTGAGGACCGTTTGCAGTCTCCAGTGGTCTCGAAGGTCGTGGCTGCGACCAGGCAGCTGATGAATCGGGAGTAGAATTGCCGTCAAGGGGAGGCAGAAATGGAGAGGCTTTGAACCGTGCGCAGTGCAGCGAAATGTCGTTCTCGGGCAGATATGAGCCTAGCACTAGGCCTGAAGGTTCCATGACTGCAGCCATTTCGAGAAACAGGCTGATCAGGCGGTATAGTATGGTCTGGGCGGTAGTCTAGGAAGGACTGACAAGAATCATCCGAGGCTTGAAGATGACATTGTCGGTGCGAAAATGATGATTATGATTCAGATCTCAAAGGCAGAAATGGAGCAGGTGATGAGAGATTCAGGCTGTGCGTGATGAGCTGGCAATGAGATGTCGTGGTACAATCAGACTCCAGGCTCCAGCTGGCAGAATACGAGGAGAGCGCAGTCAACAGGACGCAGAGAGCGACAAGTCACGAGTGGGGGCGCAGTGAATTGTGGAGATGGCGTCATTGTTTACTGGGCGCGGTTGACATGGCAATCGTTTCAGCTTCGATTTCTCTATCACCGCTTCACGTTTCACTCTGCCGAGCGTGAGGTACCCATCTCGACGACCAATTCATCGAGCTATTCACTGAACAACTACTCTCGCCCCGACATGTATCACGCGTGTTAAATTTCCCTGAGAATCTCTTCCTCTTCTTTGTTGTCTTCCGCAACGTCGGAGATCTGCCACTCCTCCTTCCGGTGCAGTCACCCGCTTCCGTCCCAGCAATTATGGGATTGCCCATGCGAAGTGCTTCAGCTCTCGGCGCAACGCATCTGTAAGTGCCTATATAGGCTGATACGTATGCACACTTCCGGCCGTTGGAAGAAACACGTGTCGCTCTCAAGCCGGAAAAGGAGGAGAGGGAAGGGGAAGACGCAGTCCGCCAGAAGGGCGTATGCATAGTCCGCCGGTTTTACATTCATTCGCTGACATGCACCATGGTCTGCGTCTACCCTTAAGGATCCAGTGTCCGCCCATTTTCCGCTGCCTTCTTCGCTCCTTTCTTTGCGTTGATACCAACTCGCACGAAATGCCCCTTCTTGAAAACATCTCTTGTTTCGCTAAAGATGCTTAATCTCTGGGCCAGATGGATAGCAGAAATCAATTGAAAGCACATTTTGATTGCTCAATGGAGCTCGAGGAGCGGGAATGGGAGTTGGCGAGGTGGAGATTGGACATGGATCGGAGGAAGCATGAGGCCGAGAGACGCTTCAGAAGTTTCATTGACCTCGCCGATGTGGTTGAGATTAAAGACGAGCAATCCGAAGGAAACCAGACAGACAGCCAAACCACTGTTGGAAACACGCCACAGCCACCTTCCCCGGCTCTTGAGAGTCCAACACCACTCACTGCAGATAGCATGGACGGCGAGCGATGTAACGTGCTCACTTCCAAGCAGCATCATGCGGCTCATGAACTTTCGGCATCCAAAACAATCCAACGACCTCGGAAGATGACTTCCCAGCTCCAAGGTGCGTATAATGCGAGACGACGTATTGACTAGGCAAAGCTCAACTCATTCTCCTTTAGAGGCCTCACATCCCTTGACTGATAATATCCGAACCTTGATGTCGGCCACAGTCAACAGCAATGCTAGTCTTGCTATACCCACCCCATCGGCAGCAGAATCACGAAATCAGGAGAATAATATCAGTCGGTGTGAGCATCTAGATATTGATGGTCTCTTACATTCTAGTTCAGAACCACTAGAGCCCAGAGGCTCGACTCCATCGGTTCGTGCACCCAAACGACATGCTGGTTCTATGCAGGAACCTCGGCGAGAAATTGAAGCCTTGGACAATTGTCTCAAGAACCAACTGATTTCCCACTACAAAGACCTCTTGTTGAAACACTTCCAAGAATCCGGGGAGTTGGGCAGATGTGAGGACAAGGTGCCAGGTCGGACTCAAGTCGGCCAGGCTGTGATGGACGTGCGCCGCACGATCAAAGGACGGAGGTATGAGAGCTTGTCTGATGTGCATGATGGGTTCAGCAAAAAAGTCGAAAGCCGTGTGTTGGACCGGGATCTACGCCGCTCGGTTCAAGAGGAACTAGGCAAATTTGTTCAAGCCGGGCAACATTGGTGGGCAAAGTGCACGGCAATAACAACCCAACAGGAGAAACCGTCCTTTGTGACATCTGTCATCCCAGAAATTGCAATGGGCCAGTTCGAAGCTGTTTGAGTTCGGATGAAGATGAAGCAGGGCAACTTGTGAGCAGGAAAGGGACAAAGGCTCCTTTGGCAAGTCATAACACCATGAAGCCACCATCGAGTCGAATAAATACGAAGAGCTAGTCAACCTCAACGTCTGGACCTCATAAAGAATAAACAGAGGAGACTAAAGACGGCAACATCCGAAATCCCTGTTCACAACTCCAGAGCATAAATTTCCTCTTGTCCTATACGAACCTGAAACATGGATCTGGTTGTCGCTTAAAGGCACTTTTGTGGGGTGACATGTCAGCAACGCGTGAGCCGTGGCGTGATAAACACCAAAACTTGTTCCGATGATAGATCTCTTCGATACCCGAGAATTGAACGCATTCTGCATCGCAAATGCCGGTAGTCTTACAACCCCTCACGCCTAGCTATTTAAAACAGTACTGCTTTGCACGACCACCACCACCACCACCAACATATGAAGGGGTACTGGCATAGACTAGGTCAAATTCTCGTATTTTCAGTTCTTGCAGCTCTTCTCTCTATGCTCGCTGGTCGGTTCCGGATGACGTCGTCTATTACCCAAGTTACAGCCGCGCCCTCCCGAGTTATCGTTGTCGGTTCAGGTCTAGCAGGTCTCTGTGCTTCTTCCGAGCTCGTCGCCAGAGGGGTGCCAGTCTATATTGTCGAACGCCAGCAGAAGCCCGGCGGAAACTCGATCAAGGCGTCGAGCGGGATCAATGGTGTCCCCACGCGGTTTCAAGCCCCGGGGTCGGACACGGTGGCAGAGTTCTACGCCGACACCGTGAAATCGGCCGGGGCAAGCTTCAGGGCCGCCAAGACAGAGGCAAGGCAGAAGCTCATTTCGGAGCTGACGAGTTCCTCGGCGTCGGCGATCAATTGGCTTGTGGATGAAAAGGGTATCGATTTGTCTCACGTCGCCCTACTAGGCGGCCACAGCCATGCTCGAACACATCGAGGAGGGGGCCCCACTCCACCCGGGGCCAGCATTGTCTTGACGCTGTTGAAACTGCTCCAAGCGAGTCCTCTTGTGACTCTCCAAACAGGTACGACCGTCACAAAGATTCTGAAGTCGGACAATGGGGAGGTTGTAGGAGTGGAAGTCTCCCGCGAGGGCAAACCGGAGACGATTGAAGGGCCCGTGATATTCGCGGCTGGCGGGTTTGCGGGTGACTCGTCCGGTCTGCTCGCTCAATATCGACCAGACCTAGCGGGATTCCCATCCACAAACGAAGCTCTCCCAGGGTCCCAGTCCTTGTTGGCTGATGTCGGCGCCCATCTGGTCGATATGGAACAAGTCCAGGTGCACCCGACGGGATTCGTGGATCCAAAGGAACCATCCAAGCGGACCAAGTTCCTGGCGGCCGAAGTCTTGCGGGGAGAGGGTGGAATCCTCCTAAGACAGGGCAAAAGATTCATCAACGAGTTGAAGATAAGGAAGGAGGTAACAGATGCCATTATAGCGCTACCTCCCAAAGACTTACAGCAGACCAAACAGTGGGATATCCAGATCTTGTTGGACGAAGCCGCGTATGAGACCGCAAAGGCACACATCGACTTCTATATTTGGAAAGGGCTGATGCAGAAGACGACAATATCAGAGCTGGAGCATCCAGAGTTGGCTTTGGAGTCGATAAAGGAATACGCTGCCACAGTGCAAGGCAAACATTCCGATCCTCTGGGCCGATCATCATTTGGCCATTGGGGACTGGAAGATCCGCAACCGGAATCGACAGTCTACGTCGGCACCGTGACCCCAGTCGTGCATTACACAATGGGAGGAGCCATATTCTCGCCCGAGGCAGAAGTCCTGGACGACAGCGGGAAGCCAATCAAGGGCCTGTGGGCGGCAGGGGAAGCCACAGGTGGCATTCACGGAGAGAACCGGCTGGGAGGAAGCAGTCTGCTCGAGTGCGTCGTGTTTGGACGGATTGCGGGTCGAAATGCTGCCAATTTCTTGGGGCCCAAAGCTCTGTAGACCAGGCTGGTGAGACCAGTGGCCCGATTCTGAGAGTCGTGTCTTCTGTTGTGTCGACGATGGACGAGGCTCCAGGCTCAGTTACAACGCACTCGGTCGCTTCCCAGGCAGACACTTTGACCGGGTCTAGAGACCGGGGGGATTGATTTGAGAAAGGTCATGGTTCAGGGAGGTCAAGTACTCGCTACCGAGCTGGGGTAAAAGGGTGCGCTTGCCAAGGTCTATACTCAGTAGGTTACCACTTGGTAAACTCAGCAAGACATGAAGTTTCTTGGCACTCATGTATATCTCTTCTCTTTCCTCTTCTCTTCCGTTGTTCGGTTCTTCGACAGTCCTCTTGTCTTCCGTTGTTCGGTTCTTCACAGTCATCTTCTCTTCCGTCGTCCTTTACAGCCTTGCGTCGCCATGAATTCTGCGAATGACGCCGAGGCCGAATTTCTTCACGAAGATCGCCTTGCACTACTTCAGAATCTGGAGAATGCTCTCGACTTTGCAGTGGTCCCACCAACAATCTGAGCGTGCCTGTGGCTCTCTGATATTGCGAATCTACGGAATTTAGTATCACGAGTTCAACAGGACTCAATACCCTGGCCATCGTATTTCAGAAACATTGAGAGTGAACTCCAACTGGTCAAAATGTGTACGTCAACAAGGCGCATCTTACTCTTGCAAATTATGAATATTGTTTAGGGACTCAACGAAGTGCGAGAGACCTCGTAAGTCCTCGAGCTCTATCTTATTCCGAACAGTTTGGTTCATATAACAAAATCAACCATTTAGTGTCAAAAGAGAGATAAATGGAAATGTGTCCTAACAAAGGACGACGGCGCCGTTGAAGTTGCCCACATTTGCCCGTTCTGCAGGAGGCACATAATCGATCGTCCCCCAGCCGCAGGTCGCACAGTCACCTTTTGGAATGCCTTAAGACTGTTCTGGTCCGAAGACCGGGTGAAGGCTTGGCTAAGATCGATATTCCCTGCAGGGACAGAAGTTTGCAATAATATGATTTCTCTCACGGCGACCGCCCACAAGTATTGGTCAAATGGTTACTTCGCCCTAAAACCGGTCGAACTCTCAGATGACCAAAAAAACCTCCAGGTACGGTTCTATTGGCTGTCAAAAATTCCATATGTTCCGATTGCCAACATCACAACGTTTCCTTCGCTGTCGTTGGAGGATTCAGATCGCGGTCCAGGCACAGCCAGGTTGTTTGATCATGAGGACTGCAAGGTGATTCGTTCCGGAGATACTTTCACTCTCCACACCGACGACCCGGACTCACAACCACTTCCTGACTTCAAGCTGCTGGAGCTGCAGTGGTTCTTGCAACGTCTCACAACGCTGAGCGGGGCGGCTGATGCTCCAGACGACGACGACGACGACGACGACGACAGTGAGTTCGGAGACGAATATGGCAACATATATGAGTCAGACACAGACGTAGGGGGGACCGGTCGAAGGGAGGGGGGATTTTAGGAGAGGCGTTTCCCTTTCCGACCACTGTGATTCCAAGGGGTTCACCAAGGGGTTCTGCTGCATCTTCGCGGGGGCGCAGGGAATCCCGGGGACTTTCTGGGTTACGACCAAAAGGAGGCAGAGGAGGAGGCAGAGGAGGAGGCAGAGGAGGAGGCAGAGGAGGAGGCAGAGGAGGAGGCAGAGGAGGAGGCAGAGGAGGAGGCAGAG